ACACAGCAGAACTGGAAATGCCTGCGCACACAGACTGCAGCTTGCAAAAATAAGATGAAGAATATTTGCAGCTCACTCCTAAACTGACTGTCCCTGTGCGTTTATAGGACCGACACAGTTCTACCAGATGTTTTTTTTTTGCTGCAGCTCCTGAATCTCAGATGCTATATTTAAAAAGAAACAAACAGGAACAGGATATTACATTAACTTGGGATAAGCTAACATTTACTCCTCTTTTCCTCTGCTTCTTTTTGGAATCTTTCCTCTCCAGCCCTCCAGATGTGCTTTCTGCTCAGACAGGGCAGCTGGGAGTCGTTACCTCAGTGCAACACACGCACACACATGGCTGTGCACACATCTTGCAGGCTCAGGGTCAAGTCCATGTGCAAAACTGATGTCACTCTTCCAGTGGATTTCAGTGGAAAAGGGTCTTGCTGAGGTCTGGAAGCAAGATGGTAATGTGAGGATCTATGAGAACAAACACGAATAAAATGCACAAATGTTGATAAGTGGCTCAGAAACAGCATAACAGAAAAATAGGCAGGGAAGAAATAAAAAAAGCTGATCTTGGATTGGTTCTGTTGCGCTTCTCTTGGATTTCTTTAGAAATTCTGCTGCAAAGGACATGAAAAAAAGTTGGGGAGTAAGATGGTGGTGCGAGGTCCAGTAGACTTCAGAAAACAGGAGGAAAGAGGAAATGGGCTCTTAGAAAAACTTCAGAGGAGCCAAGACAAATTTCAAAAGAGCAGTTCCAAAATGCACACCCGCACCACCATGCACACAAATCATGCACGCACACATGCAGTAAATCCTGTGCAGATATATATGCATCATCATGCAAGGCGGATAAACATCCATGCACATGCCAACAAACAAACAAACACATACATCATTGGGTGTGGACTCTGTGGTATGTGATTGCTGATAAGAGCAATTCAGGCTCCAGATTCTCAAAATTAGTGAGACACAGGAAGAGATGTATCAGGCATCCCAGACGCCACGCCGTGCACAAACACAGACACACAGACACACAAGAATGAAAATGTGGAAAAAAGAAGGTCAAAGTCTGCACTTACACGTGTTGCCCTGTGAAGCAAAGTGTAGTGTGCACAATATTTCTGTGGAAAAGGTTCTTAATAAAACATAATGACAGATGGAAAGGTTAAAGAGTAACTCAATCCTGGATTGTTCCGTTTAATTCCTGATGAAATTTTGTGGAAATTCTGTTTCCATTTACAGTGGTGAGAGCTCATTACCATATTCCCTTCGATTATTAGGGACTATTTAGTGCTCTGTGTTTGAATAGCAAAAGAGGAGATGTTGATGTTTCAACTAAAGTTTGATTAAAAAAAAGAAGTGTGTATCAGCTGAAGAGATAAAAAGTACAATTGGGCAATTTTCTCTAAAGTTTTCTGTAAAGAAATTTATAGTCAGAACGTGGGCATTAGTTACTTTCTGAAAAAGTTCTAAGAACAGTTTGATCAAAATATTATTTTGAAAGGCTGTGGGAAATTTGCTTATAAATGGCTGTCACCATATTGAAAATGCTGACTCAGCCTAACAAGACCAATGTCAATACTCTCAGTTATGAGAATTCAGGCTCCTTTTAGTTACTCGGGCCATTTGGCCCAGCAAGAACCATCTCTTTTGGCTCTTAGGTTTTCATAGTGTTGTTCATGTCAAAGAGACAGCTTTCAGAGCAGAATCAGCTGACACATAAGCATAGATAAATTCAGTGTAGATACTGCCTGCTGCATTCCTGTAAGCAAAAATGAATTTGGAAATAAATGGAAGTCAAAGGCTTTGATAATCAATTTTCAAATGGCAGTCCTTATTAAAAATTGATTCAAAAAAGTAAGTCTTATAGTTAACGATTAACAGACTTGTCCAGCTCTGTGTCAATTTATAAATTACCTTCAACTTAAATATGATCAAACTGGCTAAATTATCAAAACTCCTCCCTGCACAGAGTGCATGAATAAAGAAATTAACCTGTTTGCTTGTACACCACAGAGTATAAGGGCCACCCCCGCAGTGGACAAAGGAGTCTCTGCTTATCTTGTCCTTTAGGTGCTTAAAGGGATATTCTGGTGTAAAATTAATTTAGGATCAAACACACTGTAACACTGAGTTAGACACCCCCTCGAGAGATGAATGTTGCTGACCACTTGTTTCTCTAGTTACTCCAACTTAAATAATGCCCAACCATAGCAATACACAGCAGTCTCAGGAGCCACACACAAACCTCAACCAAAAAGCCACTCTGTAGCCACAAGTAGAGCTTAGAACAGCACCTGACTTCATCAACAGTACATATAGGGTCCCTGCCATAGTACTAGCCATCAATCATCTTCTTAGCTTTGCCTGATTTCTCTAGAAAAGAGACTAAACACAACTCACCTACTCCCCTCCAGCAACCGCTTGTTTGTAGGGAGACCTCGACCAGTCCATCATCGACTGAGGTGGGGGAGTGCAGCACAAGGAAGAATATTTATGATGTGTATTGCTATGGTGCGGTCATTACTAAAGTTGGTATAATCTAGAGAAGCGAGCAGTAAGCAACATTCATCTCTCGAGGGGGTATCTAACTCTCATCCTGCTGAATTTTGACAGCCAAAGTAAGAATAAGAATAACCTTATTTTATCCCTGAAGGAAAGGTCAATTGTCTGTAGTCTCAGTTGTCATGTGTTAAAAAGTCATCTACTATTTACAGAAGAGTTGTAAGGTCTGATGGCTGTGGGTACAAAAGATTTTCTGAATCTTTCTGTCCTGCAGCAAAGAGAGAGGAGCCGTCCACCACCATTAGCCCTTTGGTCCCCAAAGTGCCTTGTGTCATTTATTGTATTTTCTGTGCAAATTGTAAAAGCAGGCACTTCTCTTCAATAGCTTTGCTAATATCTAGCCACTCAAGCCAATTTGATAAAAAATTACAACATAAAAATGGCCGCTCTTGCCCCTGATGGTCTTGTTTGCTTTTGTATTGCATCAAAAGGTGAAAAATGAATTTAGAAAATGATTCAATTAGGCCCAAAGATGTCATCTTTCTTGTATCAGGCTGTACTTATCTAAAAAATTACTGTAATGGGGGCAATCAAAGATGGTGTTAATGGGACCTTCTTCTATTTTGGAGCCAGCCTCCTGGGTACTTTTTTGTGTACACACACACAAATATCTGTATATATATATATATATATATATATATATATATATATATATATATATATGAAGTTGTTCAACAATTCTGAAAATACTCGGTGTTAAAAGTTTGAGGGACCTTACAGGGGTTATGCAGAGCGGGTTATCACTGAAGTAACCTAAATATAGGAGGTAAGAGTTAACATATAATGTCTGGTGATCTGATAAACTCACTGCATGTTAAAGAGAGTTGCTAGGGCCTGAACTCACCAGGATGCATCCTTGTATATTGTGTGGGGAGTCTGTAAGAGTTCATGAAGACAAAGATGAGCAGAGACTTTTCGGTGTAGCAACCTTTATTCAGGGAGGTCTTACATCATGACTGAGGTTTTATCTCTCAGGTAAAAATATCTTCTTTAAAACATGGGAAGAGGCTGATACACGGACATTTTTAGCACCACAGATTATAACAAAAGTACAGTGACTCTGGGACACTGATGACAAGGTGAACTGATGGTGTGGAAACTGAAAGTGATGGCATCTAAAGGTGTGTGTGTGTGAGGGAATCACGCCATCAGTCCCTTTAGGTTTCTTTAGCAGCCCTCAGCCATGGCAGATGTTTTTCTACCTCACAGAAGGAGTACGAAGGTGTGTGTGTGTGTGTGTGTGTGCGTGTTAGTCTGTGTGTGTGTTTGACAGCCCCTCTCAGCACAGACAATAAAAAACAGGTTTCTGTCATTCTGTCATTTGAACTGGTGACCCTGACACAACTGTTTATGGAACAATCGCCCAAGGACACTCTTAAAAAAAATCACCTCCACACACACACGCGCACACACACACTATAATGTACACAGAAGTGTTGACACCTGCACACACACACAGACACACACACAGACATACAGGCAGAATCACACATGTTGAGTCCAGCTGGAGGATCTTCATTAGTACCAGGTGGAGATCTCGTGGGTTTGTTTGAGTCTGGCTGATGTCATGTCCTGTTGTCGCTGTCGGTCTGGTGATCTAATACAGCTTTCAAGTGATGTCAGGTTTGAGTTTCAGTAAGTTTTATCATTGGTTCGAATTATCTTAGTAAGGACAAAAACTCAAACAAACAGTGATGAGGGTAACAATCATGTTAGAGTTGGTGAGTTTTTAATCAAAGCTGTGGGTTTTTTTCTTTAGGTAAAACTGAAACACTTCAAACCGGACACCACTTATAAGAGTGGTAACAGCTACATTATTGAGTCCAAACACTAAACACAAAGCCTTCAGATATCAGGAACTTTGGTCCTGGAGAGACCCCAGAGTTAAGTCTTGATGATCTTTTTGACCCAGACGAGCTTAACTTCAAGTCAAAGTGGGAGTCAGGCAAACTTACAGTGAATTTGGATTACATAATACCTGAGAAGAAATCAGCCCCATGCTTTTAAGACATTAAGAATTTGGGTTTATTCATGGCAAATACGGTCAGCTCTCCAGGACCAAAGCTACTTTTTTCATTTGGGACTTTTTCACCCTGATCTTTACCTTCAGGCAGATTTTCTTCCAGTTGTGTTCTGTCACAACAAGCTCTGAGCTCTGAAATAGTTTAGGTTAGCACCATCAATTTGTTTACTGTCTCATGATCCCTGCCTGATATGGTCTGCCTTGGAGGCAAAATTCAGGGTAAAAAAGTCCCACACCATTCTCATAAAGACATTTTCATTCCTCTGCCACACAATCATTTGTCGTTTTGTGACATTTCATGTTTTTTCTTAAAAAAAGTACTCCAACAAAGTGTATTGTAAATGAGTGAGACTGAATATTTATGATGGGACTAAAAATCTAAGGTGTGTTGGTCCTGTTATCCAGAGTCCTGCACTCAAGGCATGGAAACCCTGCGGGAGACGGTTTGGTGGTAGACTCCACGCAGCAGAGATGGGAAGTCTGGGACACGGAAGAGGTGGCGTTGGACGTAGATGTTGTCATTTGGACGCCCCCTGCTCACCAACATGCGCAGGTTGGCCTCGTTGACTCGGTTGCCAGCGGCAATGACGAAAACTTCCACCCCGGAACCCACCAAATCTTTAACACGCTTGTCTAACACAGCTTCAGTGATGCCCTGAGACCTGCCATCAGAGAACAGCAACAGCTTCTTTCCGCCTCCAGCTGCATCTCCACGGCCACGTAAGGTCTTCATCGCGAAATCCATGGCCTCTAAAACATCTGTGCCATCGTTTTGGAAGGCAGCATCTTCAATTTTGCTATGTAGAAGGGTCAGGTTGCTGGTCAAGGCCTGCTCCATCCGGGCGGTTCTGCTGTACTGAGCCACACCCACTCTGACATTCACACCTCTCTGCTTCTCAGCGGTCAGGAAACGCTCGGCCAAGCGGCGGACAAAGGCCTTGCTTGTGTCAAAGTTCTTCTGGCCAACACTGGCTGAACTATCCATCATCATCAAAATATCAGCACCGCTAGAGAAAGTGACTGCAAATACACACAGACACAATACATTCAATCAATAAGTGTGTATATTCATCCTAAAAACAACATTAATAAGCACTACAGCTAAATATGAGCAGACATGTTCAGTTTGCTGCATCATACTAATGTACATATCCTCAGGTATAAACTAAGCTAGCAGCAGTATGATAGTAGTAATAGTATTGAATAGTGCACTAACTGGCTAACTATCTAAAACCAAATTTTAATGGTATCATGATAAACTGCTTTAGGAACAACTCTATGTGAAATGATCACTGTTGAGGATTAAAATCCGACTTACTTGGACATTTGTAGTCTGGGCATTTCTTATCTAGATAAAAGAAAAACAGAGGTTATATCATTCTTTTAGTGTTCTATACAAAGTGTTAGAGTTGGAATATAAATAACTTGCCAAGTCTGAGCTTATGGTCGTGTGCTTACCTTGACAGATTTTAGCAGTGAGGTTCTGCAAGAAAGAGTCATCGAGCAGCTCGCCAAAGTTGTTCAGGACAAAAGAGAACCCTGGTTTGGGGTCACTCTTACATACAACATCCTCAAGCTGCTCCTGGTTGGGCTGACGGCCCGAGTAGTCGATGACTCCCAATCCGCCCACCTGGAGAGGAGGAAATGTGTGTTAATGTTAGAGGGAACTTCAGAACTAGAATGAGCATTTATCGTGTTTTTTTGGCTTGTCACACCCACCCGGACGTTGTTCCCGCAGAGTACAGTGAGAGGAACTTTGTCTCTGATGATATCAGAACGTCCATCTGTCAGAACCAAAACGACTCGGTTGTCCTGCTGCATCAGCTTGATTGTGTTGGTCAGAGCGAAATCAAGAGCTTCTCCAGTGTAAGTGGCCTCAGCCAGCCAGCGCAAGTCCTTCACTGCCCTGCACAAACACACATAAACACAAAGACATTTAATGGCCAAAAACCAATAGTACTGAAATATTACCTTTAGCCAGTTACAAAAGTCCAGACCATCTTTTTTATATCTCGATACAAGGAGTGTGAACAGAGGGAAATGGTTAGCCTTTGTCCAACAGATAAAAAAATGTCTATTGAGTCAAAAAAAACACAAAAAAAACAAAACAAAAACAAAAACAAAAACAAACGAACATGTAGCTAGCATTGTTGAAGCCAACAACTTTGTTCAAGAATTGGCCTTTTTTTAAATCATCAGTTTGTGAAACTGTTCTTGCTCAAGAAATAGAATAGAATCAAATAGAATCAATGTGTTCAATACATCTGCACAAAGACAGCTTTTAGTCTGTGCTTCAGTCGTAATCCGCAGTTTGGCTGGTTTTCAGCCTTTGTAGCCAAGACAGAAACCAGCATTGTAACAAGGTTGTGTACAGGACTCAATCCCAGATGTCTTTTTTGGTATTGAGGTGTTTCAAGTAGGAATCAATATATTCACGAAAAACAACCCAAATCTCAAAATAACTCAGGTGTGGTTCAAGCTCAGTATTGGTGGGATTATGTGTGACTGCTTTCTTTTCTGCAGTTGGTTGTAAATATTCACAGCATGCTCATTTGTATGTGCGATATTAAAAGAGGTGATTAGATGCATGTAGAAAACATAAAAACAACAACCCTGATTTTTTTAAAACAATCTCAGAAGCTTAAAGTTTTTTCTAAGTTTTGCCGCTTTTGTTAAATCTTGAGCTCTCCCCTGCTACAACTACTTCCACCTATAGCGTGATTAAAAATAAAATGTCTGCTACACAATTCAAAAACACAGCATGAAGGTTAACCAGTCAGGCTGGCTGTTAGTCCCTTAGCAAAGTTAGGTCTATTTATAGGCTGTGTTTATTTTGAACTGTATTCACACACTTGCACAAAACTCCCAAAAAATCACAAATTATTTAATGCGGGCTGCTGGTGCAAACACAGACACCTGAATTTGGTCACTAAGACTTAATCCAGATGTTTTTCTCTGATAAACCCAACTGTAAAAAGTTGGGTTTAACTGATATGAGAGCAACACAGGAAACACTCTACATGCAAGGTGGTGATGGCATTCATATAATGCAACTAGAAGATGAACACAGAACAGGATGAATAAAATCAGAGGAGGATGAAGGAGAATCCTTTTTAAAATCAGTATAGTGAAAATGTCGACACCTCTGTCTTTAACATGCCATCACATTAAGTATTTTAATGTGGCAACTGCAGCAGGCTTTTGAAGAAATCTCCCGCATTTCCAGACTCTTCACCTGCTCACCAGCCCACTAATTCCAACAGGGAATTTCTCACAGTGTGGTGGGCATGTGTGAATAAACAAATTTGGAAAATTTACACCTATCACACTCTCTGTTTTGCTTTTGTTGCTTACCTCTCAAACCTGCATCCAATTAAATAAACTCTTCTTAGAGCTTCTCATTTAAGAGTTTGTGGTTTGGAATAGTTTGGAAAGCTAGTATGTGTGTGGTTTAAATGCGAAAACAGTTTGAAACTACAAAATATGATCATCAGGGATCCAGTTTAGCTCAGCTGGCAGAGCAGACACATCGCATTGGTCTTTGGATCCACTCCTGGTCCTAGTGTCCTTGAGTGGTCAGGTGTGCTCTGGGTTTTGCTCCGACTGTGACCTGACTCATTTGTATGTGAAGCAAAGTTGTAAAGCCTATCGGTGGTGGTCGCCATATTGGTAAAGCTAACTTAACGTAACTTTTGGGAAACCTACCAGAGCCTCCTTGCAAATAGTCACAGTGCGCCTGCCTGTCAGTCTACTCAGCTGTGTCTCCGATTCGCCAGTCTTCTTGTCTTAATATCTTTGAAATGAACGTGTTACCAAAAATATTCACTCCCTGTACAGTGAGTGCTGTGGGAGCCCTGAGCTGTTCAGACTAAAACCATTTTTGAATCAGGCTGTGAACGTGTACATTTGCTTAAAAAAAAAATAAAAAAACAATTTGTTGATGTTTCACATTGCGATTGGCTGTATGTCACCTGAGCCCATCTTTCACATTCACTTCATTAGCATACGCATGACCCAGAGTCGATCTGACCACTGGTAATACTGAATAAGAAATGCTGTATTTCAAGAACTTGCACATTTTTATAATATTCAGTGGTCTTTAAAAGCCAAATTCTGGATTATTCTACATTCACACTGCCAAATTTAGTCATTCCAACTGAGCAGTACATCAGATTAATCTCTAATTAAAAAAAGTGAGGAAGCTGCAAAAGCTCATCATTTCTGTTCTTTATGTAATATATTTATTCATGGACTCCCCCTGACTCTGGCTTTTTATATGAATTAATGACTCTATGTGTTTCTATGTGAAAACTAAATCTTACAACTTTTTGGCATGTAGCCAGTCACAATATGACATCATCATAAAAACGCACAGTCAATCATATTGTGTAACGTAGCTGACAGGCACCGGACTCAAAGCTTTCTGACCACTGAGCACATCTGGTGCTTATGTTAACATGATTTGGTACATTTTGTGTCTCTCTCAATCTGTTCTTTCAATATAAAGACAAGACAAACCTCTAAAAAATATTAAAAATAAAGGCATTAAAGGCATCGAGCTACTAAACGGGCAGCTTCAGTGATTCTCAAGGGGAGGTTATAAATTTGAGTAGCACTTAAACACAACAGACTTTGTTTGAAATACTGTCAGATTGATGTAAAGTTCAGAGACAGAGAAAATTTGCAGCCACAAACTCCAACCCTGAAATCAAACCTCTGACTGCTGCAGTGGTACTTTGTGCAGTAAGAGAACAAGCCTGTCTGGCTGTGTGCACGTGAACTCACTGTTTGAAGTCGGTGAGGCTATTCACGTTGCCGCCCAGCTGGACAACTTCCTGTGCTCGCGATCCACTGTACTGGACCACACTCACTTTGGACTCATTGGCTGCAAACTGAAAAGAAAAGCGTTTCATGGTGACTGTGTGTTTTGGTCTGTGTGTGTGTTACGTCTACAAGAGTGTGTTTTTCTCTGTCAACATTTCTGCGTCCCACCCATCCTGACTAATTATATCCAAAGTGGAAGAGGAGAGTCATTGGAGAGACATAAAAACACGCTCCAAAACCAAGAGACAGCATCGCTCATTCACACTTTCTATTTCGAGGTCTGCTCTCATAGCTGTGTTTCCTATCATCCCAGAAAACAGCTTTTGCAACACTTTTTGGGTTAATTTTGGATAAACAACACAATCTACGGGGTTAAATGTGGGATATTGTTCAGACAAATAAAGACCAAAGAAGATGATACACAGTGTTGTCAAAAAGTGAGGATATGAGTTCAGAGAGGGACTTTACCTTGACTTGCTGGTCTTTTATCAGTCTGTCTACGACAGTCACAATGAAATCTTTGGCGAGAGCAAAGTTTGTGGCACCAATACTCTCTGAGCTGTCCACAATGAACGCCAAGTCCAGAGACGCGCACTTACACTCTGGAGAGGAACAAAACAGAAACAAAATCACAATGTTTCCCCTTAGAAAAATGATAATAATGTTGATGAGTGAGAGAAAGACTGAGCACAAACTCACCACAACAAGCTGTGAAGTCGTGGAAGAATGAGAGAAAGAAAACAAATCAAAGTTAATTAACTGAGCAGGAAAAAAAACGTCTCACAACATAACCTGTATAACCTTCACATCCATCAGGTTTCGATTGCATGTTTGGCTAATCAGGGCTGGGGTTGAGGAGGTCAGAGTGTTTAGCTCTGAGTACATGTGGCTTCGTTTCAGTGGGCGGGTGCGTTCAAAAGCCCAAAGAGTTGAACTTACAGCAGAGCTTCATGATGATATCCAGGATTTCACAGTCCTGAAGAGAGAAGTGGAGAACGCATTCAAGTTCAGTTATGAGCATTAAATCATGTTACATAACTTCAAAGACAACACACATATCCTGGTTCATGACTGTTTCAAGCTGCTCTACAAATAAAAAACAAAACATGATAATGGTGGTTTTTCACTCAGCGGTCTGCTCGCTGAAAGGCTGAAGGGGTTTTGTGTTCAGGAAATGAGATGTGCGGCTTTGGACTGAAAATACAGTATCAGATTCAGAGTCAAAAGTAGCCCAGCCTTAAGGAGGGAATTGAGTCTGAGGGGCTGAGCAGCGAAAAAATCGAGCGAGGGTCCTGATTGAGTGGACTGACTGGATTTTTAAAAAATACTTACATCAGTTCCTGCAGGTCCAGGAGGCCCAGGAGGTCCCTGCAGAGAAAAGGAGAGTAAGTGAGCGAAGAAGATAAGGGGGCTGAGTGATTCATCCACCTGATAAATGTGTTTATCTGTTTAAAAAACAGAGCTGAAGAGGTTGAACTGGCTTCAGGAGGACAGAGTTAGTCCTGGATGACTCTTTCACTCAAATAAAAAAGTCACTCCTGTGGAAAACCATCCCTCCTATGACTGCAAACCAAAATCCCTCAGTCACTGAACCCACATCCACACCCACACATTTTCTATCTTTCTGCAACAACACGTGAATCCTACAGAAGTTCGTTGCCACAGCATTTTGTTTTTGCTCGGCTGCAGGAAAACCATCTGTTTTGTTTTACCAGACATTAAACAGTTTAAGAGCATTCTTCTCTGTGACAAAGACGCCAGTCGAGTTCACATGTGTGCACAAAGAAAAACAGACACACACACCAAAGGAAGAGAGAGAGGAAAAGAAAGACAGAGAGTTTAATTGTAGTCGGGAGAAACGATCCTGAAAACACATGACGCAAACAAATCATACAGAAATATGCTGTAGAGACTCGAGCCAGGGAGAGAGAAGAGGAAAGGGAGGAGAGACAGGGTACGGAGAGTGTGAAAAGGCAGAGTTTGATGCACAGTGTTATATTTAGATCGAATCTTTGTTGATCTTTTCTCATGATCCAGCACCACAAGATTTGACTCACCACTCGGTCAAAGAGAAGGGAATTACCCCGTCTTTCCTACACACTGTGAGCAAAACTGAAGAGAGCCCCTCTGTTTTAACTTCTTTACATGCATGTTCATGTCATGTTCAGCAATAAGGTTAACTAACTTAGCTAAGAAAACGATTAGATTTAAAAAAGAAGTTATCATATCCTCTTGTTCACTTCACCGGATGCCCTAAAAACTAAGGATGGATGTTTTTTACTCGTTTATTTTTGATAATTTCTTATACTTGTTAAGATCCTCTACTGGAGGTGAACTGTCAGGGCCCAGAAGCCTGATTTTGTTTGAATTATTCACTTGTTAATTTGTAATTTGACAGCAAATAAAAGGTTTCTGAGATAGAAGACACTTGAAACCTTCCTGTTCAGCTCATGTTGAAAGAAAAGATGAAATAAAAGACACCAGATTCTCCGCCTATCAGAATTTTTCATCTCGAGAGAAGAAAAGACTTTTTCTCCAGTTCTGTACAAAACACTGCAACGTCAAGAGCATTTTTCTTAACTGAAATACAAATTAAACAAAAGTTTGCCACTAGAAAATGGGATAGGGGGACTAGGTCTAAATACATGGACAGATAACCAGCTCAAAGGGAGAGCTCCTCTCTGGATGAGTGAACAGCAGTTCCCCTAAAGTCTAAACCTGCAGATACGTACACGCAGAAAAACCCTCCAAAATGCACGCACACACACACACACACACACACACACACACACACACACACACACACACACACACACACACACACACACACACACACACACACACACACACACACACACACACACACTTTGGTTCCTCGGTATTCTTACCGGTCTTCCCTCAGGTCCTCTGTGACCTTTGGCCCCCTTGGCTCCTCTAGCTCCTGGGTCGCTGTTCTGTAAAAGAGAAATTGAAAGGACGTTGAGAAAGAAACCCTCACCTGCGACCTCAAGTTTCTCAAAAAAAAAAACTCATTTTCAAGATAAAATGTCAGACTTAGAGAAAACCTGAATGTGTTCATTTACAGTCTGGGCAAAAGATGCAATCACTCTGAAGTCAGGGTGGGAGCTTTGTGTCCTGCAGGTTTTACAAATAGAGATATCTTCATGTGACAGCATGCAGCTTTGTGAATGTGTTGCTTCTCTTCTAACACTCAACATTATGTGCATTCAACAGTTTTGTGCACAGCTCAGCCTTACTTTTTAACAGTGTTCAGCTCTATTATCAAAGCATAGACAATTTTAGGGATGGGGATTTGGTTCAGGGGCAAAAAAGACTGATAGAGACATCCTAGACTGATAAGTTCTGTTAAATGAGGTAGGACTGTCAGTTCTTCAAAGAATGTACTTTTATTCAACATTGAATATAAAGTGCAGATTTGGATCTTATCGGAGATGGCCTTTTTCGGAGCCTCTGAAGGGGCCTACCATAAAAACGACAATCACACAGGATTGAGCACTTGCCATTGAAAAAGTTGTCAGTGGTGCTTCACGCTATCTGGTGAGCCTGCAAATTTGTCATTGTTGATAAGCTGTGTACAAAGTCAACGTACATGCTTACTCGTCTTTATGTTTTTGGGTGTAAAACACAAAATACTTCCACGCTGAGTTTCTCAAATGTTATGGTGTTGTGATTGTCTGCTCACCAAGTCCTCCATTTTTGTAGAATAACATTATTGTTATCGGCTAGGATGGGAGACCTTAAGCTAGATCAAACATTAAGCTATTTCAGGCTGCCTGATGCACTTGTATACAGTGTTATTGTGAGTTCGAACAGCCTATTACAGTTCCAATATGAACTTTTCCCCCAGAGCTTGAATGAAGGTTTGGGCTTTATCATTGTTTAAGTTTTTAATCCTTGTCTTTCTTTCTATCTTTTTTTAAATTTTATTTTATTTTTGGAGTCTAACGCTCTGAGCTATGAGTGTATTCTCTTTTAAGATCAATAAAATTTTTGTTTTTGAAAATGTTGACTTTTTTTCAGAAGTTTTCTTTTGGAATTTCCCCTTGTGGGACAAATATCTAATCTTATCTTATCTTTGTTGTGACGGGAAAGTAAAAGTAAAGCAGAGGAGCTGCGCTTAACTGCCTGAGTGCCTCCCAGCTTTGAGTGTGGAGGCTCTTCCTCTCTTCCTGGTAATTTTATGATCTCAGTAATTGACTGCATGCATGGCTTGACCTCACTTCAACCTAATCAGTGTAAGTTAAAACACCTGCATGTTTCTGCATACATCTGGGGAACCTTTCACTAAAACATGAAGAGGTTTTTGCTCTCTTTCTTATGCAGCTTTTAGAAACTTCTAATACTGCAGTCAGACTACACCTAATGAACATGGTGATTGCCTGATACAGTAGACATAGGATTTAGCACGTTTGATTTTTTCTTTTTACTTTAACAAACCCAACGGTGAAGCCAAAGAAGAACAGTGAAGCTGGTGCAGCGAGATGGAACTGAGAGGCAGGAAAAGTTTGTCAAACTTTGGCAACAACATCCTTAATTATTATGTAACGTGTCGCAGAGGGATGACAACGACGGATTAAATGTTGGCGAGTAAAAGCAGACACATTTTAGAAAGCTGGTGAATAGCTGCCGTAAGCATTTCTGAGTACTGTCTAGCTCGGCTCTTCCTCCTTCAGGTATTGGATCAGTACCGCAGTTAAGTCATAACATTATCATAACAGACAAAAAGATTGTGTTGTCTGACCTCAGCATTAAAGGCGGCAGTTCATATCATGAGACTTATAACGTCTCAGACAAGGAATCAGCTTATAAGAACACTTCCCAAGGGAACAGTCAGTCTGAGATAAGCCTCAAATTCATTTCAGATTTTAGTTTAAGGCCCAGGGAGAGGGCAGCCAAAGCCCCTCCAGCTGTTGCACTTTGGCCCGTTGATTGCTGTGAGATTGTGACCATGAGTGTTAAAGTGTGGAGAATAAAGAGCTTGATACTGTAAATCAATTTAGGACAATTATCCCGTCTTTAAGGTTCATGTTCCCACAGATACTCAGACACTTAGACTTCAAAGTAACCCAAGCATCTTGGTGAGAGGAGGGCGGCAGACAGCTGCAGAGGGTTTAAGTACTAAGTGGAGTAGATGCCATGCTAAATGTTACACATGCTACAAGAACAGCTCTGTAATGGCTCTTAACCATGTGCATATTTAAGATGAGTCAGTGTTTTAAAAAAACAGACATCCATTCAGGCTTTTTTTGAAAGAGCTGAATGTGAAGTTTAATCCAGCTTGATTCAGTTAAGAAGGACATTTTCTTCCTGATTCAAAATTCAGTCTGTTTGGTTGTCACATGAACCTTGTATGTTAGACAGAAATGAGGTGTAGAGAGGTCAGAGGTCAAGCTCGATCTTTAAAGTCACAAATTGTTACAAAAGTCACAAACACTGAAGTACCTAAAGAGGACATACATGAAAGAGAGGTACAGAGGGAGGAGGTAATGCCAACCACCTGGTCTGTAACACACACACACATATGCATACGCGCACACACATATTTGCTGTTGGCCTTGAATATGAATACACACTTTTCCAATTACTGTACCACACACTCTCAACTTCAAACAAACTGACATAAAGAGTAAGTGCCGTTTCATCCACACAAATACTCTCTCACACACACACACAAATGCCCTGACTGTAATTATATAGCGTCATTCTAGACGATACACAGCCAGATGTGGTTGTCTGTCGTACCTTGTCGAATATGTGTGCATCATCATTCCTCAGTGTGTGAGCTAAAAAGTTAAATAGGTGTAAAAGTCAAAAGGTCCGTCTCCACCTTCATCTTTCCTGACACACCCTGCCAATAGCCTCCAGTCCCCTCTGGCCAGAGAAAAGCAGGCAACAAACTACATGCCTGTGCAGTGTGAAAATATTCAAACAATTTTACACTATAAATCTGGTTCACAAGACAATCTCAACACAGGCAGACACAAAAGATTCACAAAAGTTGTTGTGAGCTGGTTTGTGGTCTCTTAATCTTGAATTAACTGGTGGCTTTTTTCCACTGCATGGTCCAAAACAGTGAGAAACGGATGTGAAACTTGTGGGAACAAATAAGTGACTGTTCTAAAACGCAGATTTTCGGCCTGTTAAAAAGAGGGAAGAAGAGACAAATGCCTCCGAGGGGAATGGATTCATTTTTTCCACAGAGATGGACAAAGTACTGTGAAGTTTATTTTTATTCCCTTTGCAGCTCTTCTGTTGGACAGGCCTATATAAACACGACGTATGGGACTGACTGATGGAAGAGATGAGCGACACTTTGTTTATATGTAGTACATTTTTGATGGGATGTGTGAATTAAACGCTAGTGGTATCAGTACTGAATGCAATTTAAATACAGTAACACGCTGTTGGATGAATGACAGGAAATGCTCATACAACTGTTACGTCTCTAAGTAAAACACACAATACACAACCCCAAATGGTCTGTATGCACAGGTCATCTTCAGGCATCACACTCTTAGAAACAACATTTCTTTGCTGTCAAAGAGTGGTTTAAAACTTTGCCTGTTTTTAAACTGCTCTATTGGACTATCACTGTGTCTCTCCATTGTCATCCCTCTGCACTGTGGTTATGAACGATGACAGGCCTCAGCCATAAATGGTACATTCTCTTGGCATTGTCCACTGTTGTCAACAAATTTTGACATGTAATAACCAAATCTAAACATGACACAATTTCACTTTATTCAAATATATTTTTAAAGGGGAAAAAACCTACAACTAATTAACTAGAGAAAAGAAACAGGAGGTATCAGTTATCCTGGCTCAGTTGAGAGGTAACAAAATCTGCCAGCCCTCCCCTCAAACTGGAATGTAAAGATGATGACCTGCTGTTTCATGAGGGTTATGTCTGGGGCTCTTAGAGGTAACTTTCCCCAGTCAAAAAAGATAGAATAATCCTAAAACTCTGTTAAATTATAACTTCTAAAATATAAACATAATAACTAAAATATAAACATGAAAAAGGTGTCTTCAGTTGTAAAGAGGCATCTATGATTTATTTCAGCCTCTTTCTGAAACACTTCATTATAGCTACAGTCTCTTTGAATCCCCCCTCTTCCCTCCTCCAAAGTGAGACCACTTTCAAATGAGTGGCCAACTCTCTATGAGTCTCCTCCACTGTTGTAATGCCACTAAGTTACTCAGTACATTTACATGCATAATCTATTCAATACTATAGTTCTTGTCCCAGTTTACAAGATTCAAATTACTGACAGAAGCATGTTCGTCCCCATTACAGTGGGTGGTGTCATTGCCCCCCTTTCAGCCTGTTACTTCTCATTGTCTCTCGGTTGACCTTCTACATATCAAAACAATCAACAAAAGACATAAGGAAGAGGCTAACTAGGTGTAAACACTGTCACTTTTACAGCTCTGTACTGCTTATTTGTGCAGTAGAAAAGTTTCATCTTTTTACATACTTTCCTGGTTTATCAAGATTTAGTTTACTACCTGGTTTTCTAGAGACGCATCAATGTCATTCAATCTCTGGCTTAAGTGTGGTGTGCAAACACTGGGGCATGTACAGAAGGCGCAGGGCAGTTTCAGTTCAGCTGAGAGGTGTGCATGACAGAAAAATTGATCCCCTATTGCATTTATCCAACTATGTTAGTCTGACTATATGAGAAGTTCGTTTTGGTGGGATTTCATTGGTACTAATGCTTTAAGATTAAAAAAAAAAAATCTACAGTTTCAATTTTTTTCAAACATGGAAACATGCTGACTGTTGTGAGTTAACCACTCTCTCAATCTATGTCATGAATTTGGCCTGGTGTCTTAAGGTTTAAGAAGGGATGAAGAAAATCTCCAGCAACCAGAAAAGAGCAGGACATCTTCATGTGGTAACTTCAACATTTATTGAGCTCTTCCAAAGAGTTCCTTTAATCAGTGGCACCACAAATTAAACAAATCTTGTTCTCCTCTCACATAGGTTTTTGGACAAACCATGCAGAGCAGCCAGCAATGTTAGCTTGGGATTACTCAAACATACTTTTACCTTACGGTTTGAAATTTTACAGTACATGGATTTTTTTTTTAACTCAACATTTACTTTTAGAAGAATATAGAAAGCATACTATCATCTGTAAAAATCTTATGTGAGGAGCTTTCTGTTTGTGTCGGCTACCTTTGGTTTTGGAGGGCGGTGAACAACAGAAATTATTCATCAACGGATCATCATCTCTTCCTCTTTGAGTGTGGATGGGAAAATTTCTTTTTGAAAAAGATGTTGTGATCACACTGTTTGGCCAATATGTTGACTTCACTTTGAAGTCCCGCCCACTTTCTGTGGAGTCGGTTTCAGCCCATTTATTTAAGTTTTTGACCACTACTTTCCAAGGAAAACCACTTTTGGTCACCTGATGGATGCATGGCTTTGATTGTTTAAATTTCAGTTAGAAAATCAGTCCAGAAAAATCTAACCGAGCGAAAACATCCAAGAGGACTTACGACTTTATTCCACGACTGTTTCCTTTAAACTGACTCATTTGGTGAACACTATTTGACTGGGTGGTTTGAGAACTTAACGGTCAGGCAACGGTTCACAGTTTTTTAGATCCGTTACTGAGGTGATTAGATTTTTCCTGCATGAAACTCAAAGACAGACTGCACATGGAAAGATGCTGGAGGTACCAGGCAGAGTTGACTCCTACATCTAACAGAGTTCTGCTGAGTGGTAAACTGATCTGATCCGCTGTAAATCTAAGGCTCAAAAAGGGTGACGGCCTTCAAAAAAGAGGGGTCAGAGTGCACTGGTGAGTAGATGAGAGAAAAGTACAAACATGTGCAGAAATGTTTATAACACCAAACACTGGACCCTGGAAATGCCGAAACTTTACTCTAAACACGACCGAGTTGATCCGGGGTTTAGGATGTTCAAACTGGCATGCTATATGGCCATGGCTGAGTGCAGCTTTCACGCATACACACACACATGCAAACACACTCACTCACACACCAAAAGAGTAATGTAGTCCCTTCATCGTTTCTGCTCATTTCCTAGTATCCCAGACAACGACATATACACAGCTGCATCAGCTCAAAGCCCTCTTCCCCAGTGACACACACACACACACACACACACACACACACACACACACACACACACACACACACACACACACACACACACACACACACACACACACTTGAGAAAGCATTTCCAGCTGCAGAACAGAAGGAGAGTGTAAGAGTGAGATGGATGAGCTGAGATAAAGTAAAGAATGTGACGCTCTGATACCAAAAATGAAACGAAACACAGAAATTTAAAAGTCAAAAACTCTCAATGTGGATTTGTTTGAGTGTTTAAAGAGAGCAATAAAAAAGAAACATGTAAATCTGTCCTTAAACCAAGAAATGTGACTCACATCCTGTCAGTGCAGTCTGCCAAAAGCAGACTGAGGGAAGATAAAATGAGACGCGGAGTGAGAAGAAGACAAAAACTCACATCAGGGCCAGGCTCTCCGGGCTCTCCATCGTCTCCTTTGGGTCCAGGGGTTCCCTTACCGCCCTGAGGGTCACAGGTTGACAAGACAAATGAGCACGACAATTGATTACACCCTGTTGTCATGCAAGTCAAACATGGATGTGTTAACATAAAAAAACCTGTCCTGGTTTGGTAATTCACCTCTCTCAATACAACTACTGACCCTCTCTTTGTTTTTTAAAAAAAGTGCCTTTAATTCCTCGAAAAAGGAATCTCTCAGAGATGACTCACCGGCTCACCAGAGTCTCCACGGGGCCCAGGATATCCCTGAAAATAAGATAAGAGTTCACTTTTAACATTTTACACACAGCATGACCAACATAATTTACCCATAACCCTTTGAAGACTGATTCCTGCAGCAGTGAGATATCCTTTCAAACTTTCTCCTGATTAAGTCAATCTGAGCTAAAAACTAGAAAAGCTGCAGACTCAGTCCTTGAGCAGCTGAAAGCCTAGACTCCTGTCTTTTGTTGCATCATTCTGAATGATACTTGAAGATGTCATTACGTTATATTACAAACAGATTTTAACGTGTTGACAACACTTGGCTGGCAGCATTGCTCTCTTGAGACGGTTTTTGACATGATTTGCTAAAGTAGATCTGAAAATGAAACCCACACCCAAACTTAAATAACTTGAAATTTAAAGGGAAATTTGAACATGATTTGAAATGTACGACAGTAAAAAAAAAAAATGTTGGAACCATCATTTTCTTGAGGAAGAGAATATCAGAGAGTCTTTGCTCTAAAACAAGCACAGAGTTCTTGAGGAGTTATGCACCTTTTTTTATTTCTAGTATATAAATCCTTGGTATAAATATGTTTTACTGTTAATTACTGTTACTGTTTGTTAGCAATACATGATGAAATAGCATGAACCATTTCCTTGCTTTTTAAGTCAGGACATAATCTTTATACTTTTATTAGAGCTGCATGCTATTGGAGAAAACTGGGGTTGTGATTAGTTTCCTTTCTGCCTGTTTATTAAAATCAAATAACTGATTCTCTTTTGTAAAAATCATGACCCTGAGTCTATTTTCCCTGACAAAACAAAAGCTGCCTTTTATTTTTACCACATGTTGTTTCCAAATATGATACCAAGCCTGCATGATACGAAAACTATAGGAGTTGGGGTAAATTAACAAATATTCAAGAGTGCGTACTAGCTAAAACAGGTACACATTCTCAGAGTTTGCAACATGTTTCTCCTGAATCCTTGGTGGCGTAAGATAAGACTGAGTCTTACCTGTAAGATGAGACTGGATCATATATTAACATAAGGTCTTTGTAAATATCATAACTTGGAGTACGGTCTAGACCTGCTCTTTTTTTTTAACATCTCAAGATGACATTTGTCATAAATTGGCACAATATTAATATAGATGAGTTGAGTAGTTGAATCCAAGAACCTCTCCAAAAAAATCAGTTTTATCATCACTAAATCGTCATCAATCAATCGTAGGTTAGCTAACAGCTAGATAAAGCTTCATATGACTGCATCCAAATGGTGGCAATGATACTTACGTGTACATCTAACATATAAAGTGTCAGTACTGTAGATAAAACATTGATTCTTTTATTATGCATTACATAATTTTCCAATTTTATGTGATTTTCTGATTCTTTCCCAATGCTAATTGCAAATATTCTTTTCAGGGTATTGATAAATTTGAATTTAGTGTACAGTTTGCTGACTCATATCCTTTTACATCACAAACAGCACCAAAGTAGAAAGACACCATTACATTTGCAAAGTTAAAGGGTTTGCACACAAACACAAACACACACACATACAGTACACATACCTGGAATCCAGGACATCCAGCAGTGCCGTTTCCAGGTGCACCATCAGCCCCCTGAAATAAACAACAAAATACATTTACAAAATACATTTACAGACCCATACACACATACACACACACACACACACTGTCATACATTCACAAATCTCATGGCAGGGGATATGATGGATGGCACACATCTGTCTCTCCCACCCCCTCTGTCTCTCACATGCACACACCCACCCTCTCCCCCAGCTGGCCTCTGTCTCCTGGAGCTCCTTTGATTCCTCTCGGTCCTTTGGCTCCCTGTGAGATTGAAAGAACCATCAGATTAGAAACATGTGAAATGTAAGATGACATGTGTTTGCTGAAAACATTTGGATTCTGTCAGGAGACTTGTGTGTTTTTATGTGTGTGTGGGAACAAAACCTCATGTATCTGAATGTTTCTCAAGGTTACGTAACGCTCAGTCGGTGCTGTCTGTTACAGGTTATTACTGACTGATTGCCATGAGTATGTGATAGGTCACTGAAAAGGCCAACTTCTAATGGCTGCTAATGCTTCCAATATACACAGTTGACTATTACAACAGCTGTTATTGTAGCTGATATCGTTGACTGCACATCTTTTTTTAATTGAACATGTTACAAAAAAGTTGGTGCTCCTCTGGTTTAGGCTTCAAAACCTAAAATTGATAAATATAGCTCTAAAAAATGAGACTTTCATGAATAAATAAGCCAAACAAAACATCTGTAGACAATTTTTTAATAAAAAATACCACCATGACAACAAAAGTTTTAAAGTTCTACACTGGGCTTAATAAAAAGTGTATGACTTTGTGAATATTTTATTAAGAGGGACCAAAAAACCCGTGACTGTCTCAAGATTATGACTCATACACTGCTTGATCCTGATTGGTGCACAGATTATTATGACATAGCCACATTCCAACCAAGCCCCACCCACTTAAAAATGAGAGCGACTTGATCACAGAGTCCTCCACTCAAATAAATGCTATAAAACAATCGTTGCAACAAGAACCACTGATTTAAGTGGGACAGTACACTCTGGTGTGTAGAACCTACACTTCTAAAATCAACCTCTTATACTGAGGCTGAGAGTTACAATGGAGTGATAATTGCTACTTGATGATATCTTGTAAAATTTGTTATGTAAATGTTTTTTTCTAAGGTTGATCATGTGATGGCCCATGTGAATATGGGATGGCGCCGCATGTTGTAACCTTATCCTGATGAAGAGCAGGTTTGCTCTAAATGTCACTAAACTGGTAAATTAAATCTCTGGTATATTGGAGCCCTGCAGTGTACAAGCTGTTTTCTTCAATCTATTCACTGTAGTTATACTTTTGCTCAACTCACACCAACAAGAGAACAAAGAAGTTTCCACTAACTCTTACTTTTTTTTCCACTTGAAGCACCAGTTAGAAGTTTAGCAGAAAGTTGCTTGCCAAAGACTCACTCACAAATAATGAAAATGAAGTAAACAGGTTCTCAGTGCTGTTAAAAATAAGTATCACTCATCAATAATCCATTTTCATGTGTCTTTGTGTGTTTGTGTGTCCTGTAGGACTCACCTCAGGTCCAAGAGGGCCCTCATCGCCTCTATAGCCAGGAGGCCCGACCTTGCCAGGCTCACCCTGAAAAACAACAACAACAACAACACCTTTAATGAGACACTGTTAAAACTCGTTCCAAAAAAAAAAAAAAGAAGAAGAAGAAGAAGAAAATAAAGACATTAAACCTACTCTGCTGGAAAAAAAAAATTGGCAAGAATAATTTTCAACAAACACAACCAGCAGCACTAAAGGAAACCCCACCTCACCCTCAGAATAGCTTAACAAGGCTCTCATTAATTTTATGTTTTATTTTCACCTCAGTCCTCACTAATACAGTATTAAACACCATGTTATTCAAAACAACAACATAAAAATCATTACTCTGTGTCTCCATCTGTTTTGGATGTCCCATAGAATTTAAACCAGCAGAACTCAGCTAGAACAGGACTTTCAGTCTAATTGACCCTTTCAGTGTGATGATCACAGCACGAGTCTTAGTTTTATAGATGGGTATACGTTTTATTGATCTTTATTATGTTATACCTGACACAGTCTGATAACGGCCATACTGCAGTAAATTGAAAATTAGCTGCTGGCTGATGTGAAGACATAAAGCTCCACTGAGTTGAGCTTCCTTAGATAGGCAACTATTTTTTAAGTGTCTATAGATTTTTTATCCTGTGGACTTCTGAGTAAAGACCCTAACTAAGTCTAAATAAATAAACTTTAATGTGTACTCTATGTCAATTACATGATTTACAAATCCTGATACAGACCAGGTGGCAACTGAAAAATAAAGCCAATCTGAGAGTCCAAAACTACTGTTCTGGAGGCCACTGTGGAGGTCTGTAACCAAAGTTATTGACATATTAAGAGATTTTCTCCACTTTCACAACTCGGCCTCATTTGTTTCAAACCTAGGAGTTTTAGCTCCAGCGGTGACAGTGCCTTTTTTGTCTAGTGGTCTAGGAGGTTGCTCTTTAAAGCTCCTGTGAGGAACTTCTGGTTTGTGTTCATTTTGGCACCCCCTGTGGACAAAATAGTTTTTCGTTGTCTTGTTCTCTACTCTTTAAAAATTTTTATCATGCTGACTTCTGGCAGTTTAATTTATCATTTATTGGGAGTTTTTAAGTGCATATTGTAAAAACAGGATGGTTTCTTCAGCTGTTTGGCTGACGACTACACCCTGGCACTGGTTTCTGGCATCAAAATAGTCCACAAAAGAATTATGTTTTTTTGTTTTTTTTTGCTTTTGGATATCATGTCAAGCAACAACGTCAATTTCAGACAGTTTTAAAAAACTTAATGAAAGAGCTTTTATGAATTCAAACAGGTTTTACTGGACAAAACAAAACCTTAAAACAGCTCACTGATTACCTACCCAATTGCTCTTATTAACCGTCTTGCAAATAAAATAAACTTGATTTGTTTGTGGTTATTTGAGTAGAAACGTTTTAGTTTTTCTTTCTACTTTGTTTCTTCTATTTAAGGCTAACTGTTTCCTTGCTGTGCGGGCTCGCTAAGCTAACACACCGAGACTTGTTTAAGAGCTGGATGCACAAATTTAAGTGAATAAAGTTTTTCTTACCTGACTCAGGGTAAGATAGTATAAAAAATATGTGAAACTGGGACTGAGTGTTCTGTATTTTCAGTTAGGTTGAAAAAGCTGCAAAAACATGCAGCTGAAATGAGTCAGCACAGTGTAAATGTAAAACCGAATCCTCCAGCCCTGCAGTGTTTAATGATGTGTTGCACATGACTGCTTGTGTGGTTCCGTTTTTCCCTGCCTGTGTGAGGTAAACCCATCATGTCAGTTCTTCCATGTTTTCTGCTCAGTTCAGTTAATATTCATGGAACGCTGATGAAGAAGGAGGTGCATCTGAAAGCACAATAGAGCCATTGAAAGTTCTGACATCACAGCGGTTACCACAAATAAGGCTTGTAATGTATTATTATTATTACTCTGCCTGGTGCCTTGTTAAGAAGAAAATCTTACTGAGGCTTTGGCTGGAGCGGACAAGAGAAGAACTGAGTCAGAGGGGAAAGAGTGAGTGTGGACGCTCCCAGGAGAAGGAGGAGGAGGAGAAGCTGAGAACAGAGGAGGGGAGCTGGAGTGTGGAGTGGTGGGCAGCACTCTGGGGCTGCAGCCAGGTTTGCCTCTGTTTAAGCTTCCCCCTCAAAGTGAAATATGGATGCACATGTGCGCACACACTAGAAACTGTGCACGCACTTGGACACAAGTTCTCCTCTCCAAGTGGAAAAAAACGGATGCTGCCAAAGAGAAAAGTGGGTGGCTCTCCCTCTGAAGTTCTCCTAACAGGCTAAAATACAGTGGTACTGCAGCTCCTGTGTGTGTGTGTGAGTGTGTATCTATGAAATAAATGTGAATGTGATTATTTTTCAGTGTGTCTTACAGGGTCTCCGTTGGGGCCAGTTGAGCCCTCCCTCCCCTGATCTCCTCGGGGTCCTGGTTCGCCCTGGCAGAGAAAAGAACAAAATGTAAAAACTTCAAAAACTTTTTTTAAACTGTTACAACAGAGATGAGAAGCAGAAGGAGCCAAGTTTGAAACCGAGTTAGATCAGCAGGAGAGCTCGGAGGACGGCTTTATAAAAACAGTCTGAGATCCATTAGGGTCACTGTGGTGTATTACAAGGGCCAAACACTGTTTCCCATGACTGTCTCAGGAGGAGCTGCTGAATTCAACAGAGCCACAGTAACTGGGGGTCTGTTCTTCAGCACTCCTCCTCATCTTCGCATCACTCACCAGAAGGTGGAAAAAAATAAAGGACAAATACTGACTCATGTCTTCAGTGTGAAAATACTTGGTTACCAACCGAAAAAAAATACATCTACTGAAGCTTCATTCAAGTCCAGCAGACTTCTTGGTCAAACAGAAAAATATTTTCCACATAAGTTGACCAACTTTTTCCTGTTTGAAGCACAAGTCATTTTTTTCAAACACGCTTTTACTTTTGATTAGAATTTTCATCTTGACTTCATTTGTATCTCCTTAATTATTCTTTCAAATAGTTACTCGGTTATCTCAGTCTTTTTTTTTTTTTTTTTGGGGGGGGGGGGGTGGCTCACCTTTTACAGATGGAGCAGGTGAAGAGAGAAAGGAAAATGGGATGTAAGGATTAGGAAATGATATGGAGCAAAGGCTAGCAACTGCTGCAACAAGGATTTTAGCCTCTTTGTATCAGATTTCAAAAGCCTTCCTTGAAATCTGGTTGGCTACCCCCTAATCCATTATGATGACTGGTTTTCTTTACTTTTATGAGCATCAATTTCCTTCTCCATTTGCTCCATCTCAATGTCTAATTCTTAAAACAAATGATATTAATAATATCTAAGAATAACAGCACCCACTAAGTCCTGCAGCTCTTTGCAGTTTGCTCCAGCTGTGAGTCTGATTGAAATAAGCTGTAAGCATCCCCACACTCTGTGCAGAATTGAGGGTCTGAGCCACACACTAATTTATAGTATAGGTGAATTAAATGTTATTTTCAATAAGGTTCATTTGCATAGAAAGGGGACTCATTCAGCCCCAAATGAATGCATGATGTTTAATTTAAAAATCTACGAAAAATACCAGCAAAGCACAGTTTGCTCTGCAATGCTGTGTAAGAAGTACTCAACCCTTCACATGTGCTTTGTGACTAAAGGAATGTATTTTAGCTCCCTTGTACAGATTGAGCAGACACAAAAGCCCTTCACATTTTCAGTCTGTATAGATTCATATTTTTAAAAGTAATAAGTTGCACTACTTTTTTTAACTTAGAAGTTTGTGTACAAGTTTAATGTTGTTAATGTGTAGTATATGGAATATATATTTGTGGAAAAAGAGCAGGTTAATGAATCCTGCAGAGAGACTGCATTGTTTTTGAATTGGTACATTTATTGACTTCCAAGGAATTCAGGATGGACTTTTGCATCATGATATCTTAAATTAGATTCGTTTCCAGACTTGTATGATGAAAGAGACTTAAATTCATTGTAACAAGATGTTTTGACTAGCAATAGGACAAATACTTTTGATTTAGTTGGAATTTTATTTGCTGTGTGTGGCTGTGAGCTTTGCACAGACACAGCCAATGGAAACATTTTAAAGAGGTCGACTCTAACTTGAAACGGTGAATCCATCATAGCCTAACCTTTTCATTGGAACTTTTTAGCATAGTTTCTCAGCCTATGTCATTTTCCCTTTTCTCTTTCTTTCTCGATATTGTTTTCTACAATATAATTTTATGTTTATGTCTCTCAATGTCACATTTCTCTAGTGCTAGTGTAAATGTTTTGTTTTTACTCACTTTGGAGAGTGCTTTGTTGCTTTATAAATGAACTTGCCTCATTTCAATAAAGTCTGCTTTTACCTAGGCGTATTTTCTGTTCCAGTCTTGTTAAAGAAAGTAAGTATTTATATTTGTGACTCACAGGTTCTCCTCTTGGTCCTCTGTTTCCACGAGTACCCTCCTCTCCCTTCTCTCCAATTTGTCCCTATGAGAAAAGTTTTAAAGAAACAGTGTTAGCATATACACTATATTGATTTCTAAAAAACCAGAACACTTGAGATTAATGAGTCAAAAGTCTGATTATTAAGAAGTCTGACTTACTCTCTCTCCAGGAGGCCCATCTGGCGGTATTGGACCCTAAAACACACACACACAAATCAGGATATCAGATAAAATATTAAAAACAACACAAGTTGATGTTCCTGACGTTGACAGGAGCTTTATTACTTACATCATCACCACGCTCTCCTTTGTCTCCATCAAGTCCACGAGGGCCCCGGTCTCCCTGAAACAACACAGATATCAGATGTGTCAGATGTCCTGCTCAGTGTTATACTAAGTTTTTTATCTTGACTTTTTCTTCCTCTTCAGATTTACCTGAGGTCCCATAGGGCCATAGTTTCCAGGCCTTCCTGGCTCTCCATCTCTTCCAGGATCTCCCTGAAATAAGATGATGATATCTCAATAAAAGGAACTCCAGCGCTACCTTATCCTTCATGAATATATTTATTTTTATTTTGCATGTCTTACTTTTCCTCCTTTCAGTCCGTAAGACCCAGAGTCTCCCTTTGGTCCAGGCTCTCCCTGCATACCCTGAAAGCAGAGAAACACAGACACAGTCTCAACGAATGATCACAAGCAGCTAAAGCCACAACACTCTCTGAGGCCGGTGTGCATGTACGCACATGTATGTGTGTGTGTGTTTGTTTACAGTGGAACGATATGGCTCCATTTAAACAATCTGACAGTGAAGAATGTAAACGAAACATGATTAAGAGCTGAGGGCCCCGGTCTGCCTCTACCCCCAGGGACCCAGACACAGTTGGTGCAGCTGATCAGGCAGAGGGGGCTGTGGCTAACAGCTAATCAGTAAACATTGTCTGTGCCTCAGGGAAAGACTAGAGTGGACTATCAGGGCTTCAAAGAGAGTTAAATCTAGGACATCGAAACAGAACTATTCAGGGTGGGTGTGGGCGTGTCTTCAGATCTGTACATCTGAGTGTGTATTTGTAGTCTTAAAACCTGGTGTCATTGTCAGAGTGTGTGAGTGTTCAGTGATTGTTTCTCATCTGGTTGTTATCCAAACAGTCAGTGATGCATGACATTAGCCTGAGTGGAGCTCCGGTCGAGGTCAAAGCAAAAGGTCATGTTAAAAGGATTCATCTGAGTTTAATATACACGACTTACATTTGAACCTGGAGAGCCTTTACAGCCGGGGAGACCAGGGAAACCAGCTTCACCCTAAAGAAGATGACCAGAGAGACAAAGCCTTAGAAAAAAAGAAAAAAAGGAAATGTGGCAGACTTACAGGGACTTCCAGATCTGTTACCCACCTTGCGTCCATCAACCCCATCATTTCCTCTGAGACCTTTATCTCCCTGAAAAAAAAAGGGGATAAAATCATAGAACCATTAGTTTTGAGAGCGCTCGATGATAACAAACCACTGTGTGAATGTATGAAGGCCTCACCTTGAAGCCTTTGTGTCCTCTTTCACCCTGTAGGTGGAAAAAGCAAAACATGAATCAGCATTGTCCACTGGTTATACAGCAAATCAATGATGGATCTTAAGGTATGTGCATTTCTTGTGCTTGTGTGTTCTGAAAGTACCTTATCTCCTCTGCCTCCACGGTCTCCCTGCACACAGAAAAAACACACAAAAGTTCAATTAATTGCAGACAGCAAAAGTAATCAGTGAGAAGGAGTGAGTGATCACTTACATGTAAATAAGTAGCTTTTTAATTATGAGTCATTGTTCATTGTATCTTGGTAATGTCATGAGCTTTAAACAGCTGTGTATAGCACTACACTTAAACTTGGTGTATTTTCTCTTCCTTTCATTATATCTAATCGATTTGTTTCGTGTAGTGATAACTGAATCAACTTATTCTAACACTTGGTACAACAGCAGATCCATCGAAAGTGAAAGCCGCTGCAGGATAAACATGGGAGTCAAAGTGATGATGCACTGCAAATTCCAGCAAAGGCTCACCACAGGTGCACGGATACGATAAATCAACTGATCACCCCCACGCCACCAAAAACCACACCCAATCATCAGCGTGGAAACCAAATCCCACCTACACCAAAGGCATCCCCAAAACTTACATAATTGACTCTTACACTAGCTATCACATTTCATTATACCTTAATGTTGTATTACAATGTTTGTAACTCATAATGATGTATGAAATATATTATTTTATACCATATCATATCAAATCGTATCATAATGTTTTGTATCAAATTGTAATATACCATATGGTATTGTAACAGTCCATATCTTATCTATGTGTATTAATTTCAAATCCTATTTCATTATTTACCATGCCGTAGCATGTTATGTTGTTTTATATTCTTTTGTATCGTATTGTTTCGTATCATCTCATTTTGTATCGAACTCAATTGTTTTATTTTGATGATCATTACTACTACTATAACTACTACTACCATAAAACTATAAATTATTAGTGATTTTTTGTACCTTCATTCCACTGTAACCCACAGGACCAGGATCTCCAATGCTGCCCTGAAAGAGAGAATAAGACATATTAGATCATTTGGACTGCACCCTTATCAAGCCCTGCAAAGAAAAACAAACAAAAAGCAAAAACATTTCCAGGGATACTGTACTCAATAATTGTGATGGTGTAAAGTGATTGTGTGAAGATGATGAAAAGTGATTTCTTACCACGTCACCAATGTCTCCCTTCTCTCCTGGCATTCCTGGTCTACCTGTTTCTCCCTGAACAGAGGTAAGAGAGAAGAGTTCTTCACATTTGTGCATTTTGACTAAATATGTTGGATTTTTTTTTTTCACATATTTCTCAAAAATATTGTTTTATCGTCACACCTTGGAGCCAATATCTCCTCCTGGACCTTTAGGCCCTCCTGGAGCCTGCAAACAAACAAAAAACAAAAGTCAAACAACCATTCATAAGTTGGTACAACAGCAAATTTTGTATGGGTAAGAGTGAATTGATGGCGTACTTACATTGCACTCATAAGAGCAACACTGGAAGAAAAAAGAAAACAAAGGTTATGAATATCTGAAAGCATGTTAAAAGTTCAATGTCTCCATGCACGTATTAGATCATTCTTAATAAATCTTTCATTACCAAGTATATTTTTTTCTGACCTCTAAAGTCAACTAAAATCAACATTTTTCAATCTTCACACTACAGTTGGTTGTTTTAGGCAATATTTCCAGAATCTAAGAAAAAGCAGCAGTGATTTTGTTCAAGATCTTTTAGGCCAAATCTAGAGATTACATTGCTATCTCAGTTTACATGTTTGAGCTGATTTCAGCTTCCTGTAGCCTGCTCCCTCTTTGTTTCCTGAGTGCAACAGAAACTCTGGCAGAAGCAGAGAAAGGTAACAGAAACACAGCCTGGTAAACAACCGAACTGCACTTCTCAAATACTTGTTTCACTAAATAAACAACTACATCAGCCTCAAACTGGGTCAAGTGGGGAAATCTGGTTTGTAAACATTTTAATGTCATGATATTAAGCCTGCATACAAGATTTTGTCAGATTCAAGATGCATCAACAAAACTTTTCCTTGAAAAGTAAGAGAGAAAAGACTAATTCCTTTGAACTAATTTAAAAAAACTGTAGTACAGTTATGTATGCACAATATTCACTGACAGGTAAGAAAAGATGATGTATCAAAAAAACATACCGTATCTTTTGTCTCATTCGTCTGAAAAGAAGAAGAGAGAAAAACACATTAGTCAAATTCAAACCTTAAATTCTGAAAAAAGGAGAGTAAAAGAAAAAAAGATGAGGGAAAAAGGAGAGATAAGAAGGACAGAGGGAATGAAGAGGTGCATACAATGATGTCAATGATGGTTTGGATGGTGCCCATGTGCGTGGATCTGGCGTCATCTGCAGCAGTGAAGTTCTGTCTGTAGGCCTGATCTGTGGCGATCAGAGACAGTCTGGTGTCCTGCACACAAACACAACATAAACACAATCATTACAGGCATGACAGCAGGACCTGCGGTATTCTCTCTGTGAAATTGCATACAGCATGTTTCTGCTTGCTTTATCTTGTTCTTTGATTGTTTTATTTGTTTTTATGTGTCATTGTACAGCACTTTGGCTACCCTTGTGGTTCTTTTAAATGTGCTATAGAAATAAAGTTGATTGATTGATTGATATTCTTTTATACTTTAATAATTCATAACCAACATGTAGATCTTTGATTTTTGCCTGAGTTTTAGGGCCTGTCTAGATATCTGTGCTTGTGTCACTGCGCATGTCTGTGTGACACTATAACTTTCTTCTACCTCACCCTAAGTTACATTATTTGGTTTAACAGAAAGGTGAGGGTTGTCTTGTCTTTACGATTCATTTAAATCTACTGTTTACCTTTTCACTTTAAAGCTCCTGTAAAGGCCTTCAGATTCATGTCAATTTTGGCACCCCCTGTGGGCTAAACAGCCTCTGCTCATCTTGTCCTCGACATGCTTTCATAGTGTCTACTTACAAGTGTCTCCCATCCTGCTAACTGTAAAATGTCAGCAGAATATTAAAAAACAGGGCTGTTTTTTTAGCTGCTCAGCTGCCACATACCCTCTCATGTTTGTTTCAGGCATTGAAAATGAGAATCATCAGTCTTATCCCTGATGGTCCAGTTTGCTATTGGATATCATGAAAATGCATCAATGTGGATTTTAGTCAATTCGTCAACGTCAAAAAACTCACAAGAGCTTTGGAGCAAATATAGGAGGCAGCACTCTGTCCACAGAGAGGGACACAATTAACACAAACCGGAACTTCCTCACAGGAGCTTTAAGTGTGTCTCTAAACTGAGACTGCATTATTGGACCAGACAGCAGCTCTGGAGTTTGGATCTCTTCTCTTGTTTTTTTCAAATACTTTTCTTTACAGCTGTTGTTACCTTTCTCAGTTTGAAAATTTGATAAAATAATTCAAATAAAAAAATATGAGGACTAAATTATGCTCAAAGCAATATGAAGGCGCTGTAGATGAGAAAATAGGAAATCCTGATAATAATTTAATAAGTGAATCCAAGGCACTCTACATTAACATAAAAAAGATTGGTGACTCCTGGGATTAGGGAGCATACATTGGCTTTTGATTAGTTGTTGATAGGCATGTACTGTATATAAATAGCACATTAGCTTTTAATTACTTGTTGTAAAGCACCAATTAAAACCTTTGCCTATATTCTACAACCACTAAGCACTAGTGATTAACCACTAAAACCTCCTTATTACTGCTTATCAATATTAAGTATGGTCATCATAGTTCAATAACTGTCTTCTGCTCAGCAAAGGTGGTACTACCACCTTCATTAGCCTTTACAAAGCAAAGCTCACTAGGCTGGTTATTAAGGTATGACAACTTCCTTACTTGCATTAATCAGCAGTAATTAAGCGGTTTTAAGGGAAAATCATCAGCTGATGGTGAGTGGTTGTAATGTTTAGTAAAGCAAAATAAGAGCTTATTAATGAGTGGTTGCTTGGTTTTGAATATCACAAAAAGGCATCAATATGAATTTCAGTTTATTCCATGAACATTTAAAAGCTCCTCAGAGGAGCTTTGGTAGCATAACTGTGTTTTCTGATCTAAAGTGTTACTTAAAGCTTTAACATGAGGTTGGTTCAGACAGATAACATAGCCTCATGTCAAAGCTTTTACCTTGTTAAAGAGTACTTTGGATTCATCTTTTCTTTCACTAGAGCACCAAAAAATTATAAATAATAGACTTTATTTTTTTAAATTGAAGATTCAGCGGGTTTGATTGGCAGCAAGTTGACAACACCAGCTGTCAACAGCTTTTTGGTTTGTGTTGATTTTGGCAGCCTCTGTTTGTCGTTGCTTCACTGATTTGTTGTGTTCACTGTGTGGTGGGACTTCTTGTAGAAAAATCTCTTTGTCTTTTAACTGACAAAATCGTCAGTTACTGAGAATACCTGTCAATAAAAGTCATCAAAAATTACGATAAAGAAATGGTCAGTTTTGTCGATTATGGTCTCATCTGCTCTTTTAGGTAAAAAAAAAAAAAGCATCAGTGTCAATTTCAATGTGTTACATACCTAACTGGCTTTAATACATCGCTTTAATTATAAAATACATGACCTAATCTTGATTGTGACTGACACAAGTGACTTATTTTCCTTTTTTCAACTTGGCCCTGCCAACTTTGAATCAAAACTAGGAGAAAAGCTGAAAAAACTCAAAAAAAAACAAAACAAAACAAAAAAACTGGAAAGCTGATTTTAACTTAATACATTTGTAGATATTGTTTTACTCTTTTTAAGCACATTAAGCCTGATGATGTTGTGTTTTTGGTTTTGTGTGTTTATGTGTGTGTGTGTTTTCATACCTCCTGGTCAGGTGAGATGGCCACAGCGAACACTTTGACTCCATGTTGTTTGGCCTCATTAGCCGCCTCCTGAACTCCTCCGCATGGCTCTTTGTACCCAGTGATGGGATGTCCATCAGTCACCACCACAATGTACTTGTTCTCACGGAAGTGTGAACCCCTGCATGTGCACACACAAACACACCCTTAAAAAATAAGGATTTTTTGATCAGAGAATCTATTACCGGGATTTGAATGTGTCATAGCTGTTACCCAGTGAGCAGCTCAGCCAGGCCCCTCTTGATAGCACAGTCGGTGTATGTTCCTTTGCCAATGTACTCAATGCCAAGGATGTCCTTCTTCAGGGCCTCACGCTCCGTGTGAAGGACGCTCAGCTCACGCACAAGTTTCACATCGTCACTGTAGTGCAGAGCTCCTGAGTTCCATGTCAGGATACGGTCACAGCGGAAGCGCCTGGATGGATACAGGTGATGAAAAAAGAAAAATTCTCTACTACAAGACTAAAAAAACTTTTAATTTTGCAGAAAAGAAAGTTTTTAGGAAAGTTGATGTTTTTGTTTCTATGTATTCATTGCTTGATGCTCCACTGTGTCTTTGAACAACACGACCAGATACTGCGTTATTCTGTACAGATCACAACCTTTGAGTCAACAAAACAAACATCTGCAAAATGAAGCAAACAGGCTATGGTGGACTTGATCTGCCCTAAAGTTCAGAGGTTAAAGGGTGACTGTACTGCACATCTTGCACTCAAAGCTGTGCACTCATCAGCTTCCTGGGGATTATGCTGATTCTGATTTTATATCAAAACCCCTAAAGACCCCCCAAAATATGATGAACTAGTATAGATAAAAACCAACCAAGGGGGTTGAGGAGGGGTTAAATATTACATTGATGACGCATCCTGCTGTTATCACATTGTTCAGAATTTATTTACCTTCACAGTGACATTTTTCTTTGGTACTATAAATATCTGTTTGGCATTGTTACTGTAATTTTACTTCAAGAGCATATTCACATGAACTATGAAGAGCTGTGCTTTACTCCCCCTGTAGGTAAGAGTTATATTGAGTGATGTGTGTATGGGTGTGGTCAGAGGTGTACAGTACTGCACATGTGACCACACCCACCTGTGTTGTCAGAGCATCTAAGTGTAAACCTGCATATCTCCACTGCAAGGTGAGGTGTTCAAACACTGATACTGTTAAATTTCTTTTTCAGATTTTGTTTATTAAACCTTCTTGAGGGTGTTAACTTGTGCTGGTAAAACTTTCAAGTGCTACTCTTTTACAAATGCATTACTGCACATATGCAGGTGTGAGCAGGTGTGAACAGGTGTGAACAGGTGTGAACAGGTGTGAACAGGTGCAGGTCTTACGTGTCCCTGAGGTTATCAATGAAGAGATTGGTGAATGATTTGATCTGGTCAATGTAAAAGTTTGGAGGTTTCTGTCTGAGGGCGACACTCTCCGAGGTATCCAGAACGAAGAAGAGGTCAACTGGACAATCTGTTCACAACACCAATGAAGAAAACAAACAAACAAATAAACAAATAAACAAAGATGGCTGTCAGCAAAATGCCTTAATCAAAGAAAGACAGATCTAACAAATAAGTCTATGAACTGTCACAAATCTTAAACTAAATTAAAAGCAATCGTCATTTGATGACATCAGGCCATCAGGATGCTGAATGAAGCTTCCTGTACCACTATGTGTGTCATGTCAGATTTATCCTCCCTCACACAGGTAGATAGATCTATGACTGGTTTAGGCCTGTGCTGGCTGTAAGATGGCTTGATTAATTTGTACCTGAACAATAGCCTGGTTGGATAAGGAAGCAGACCCCAAAGACCATCACCTGTATCTTTTTTTTTTATCACTCTGGCGCTCCCACTACAGGTCTTACCCTGTAGGGCATCCATTGCTTAGATTCAGGCCCATTGCTGTAGGACAGAACAAGGGCCTGCTCAGGGTTGCTTTTGCTACTTCGTTGATATAGACAAACTTGAATTGTACTGGCGTCTGTGCAGCTGATTTTTAAGGCTCGTCAGTCTTTGAGAAGTATGCAACCTCGAGACAAGGAACATCTGGACTCGCTCTTGCAGCAAACATCACTCCAGTTGATCGCATATGCAGTCAGGAACATTGAGACTACTCTGCATGCAGTTTACTTATTCAAAGCTAAAACTTTTGGTGTTTTAACAAAAAATTTAACAAACTTACCCGCAAACTTCAGGAGTCCGTTCTGCTGTTGCGCTCCAGCTAGAAAAACGCACAGCAGTGCGATGAGACTTCTGAGAGTCTCCATGGCTAAACTGCAAAAAAACACCCAAAAATTACAAACTACAACTCCCCAGTCCCCTTAAAAGGCCACCGAACCACTCCGACCCCAAACCCGGTACCTCTGAACGGATTTGACAAATTTTTAGTGATCCAGCGTTCCGCCGCAGCTTGTCCGAGGTGGGACCCAGAGCGCGCAGAAGAGGACCAGAGCGCACGGCGAGAGAGGAGGAGGAGGAGGAAGAGGAGAAGGAGGAGGAGGAGTTCACGCGCTTTCCTCTGGAGAAGATTAGCAGAAATTGACGGGAGCGCGCACGGGCCAAAAGTTTACACAAAATCAGAGATATGAATGTTTCCTTAAAAGGGTCCACAGAGCCAGAGACGCAAAAGAATAAACAGTAAACCTGCTGGGTTTGGAGGGCGCTTCTGTATGTGGCGTGTACACACACACACACACACACACACACACACACACACAGAGAGAGAGAGAGAGAGAGAGAGAGAGAGAGAGAGAGAGAGAGAGAGAGAGAACCAAACTGATCTGAGAGTGAATGGAGGTTTTAGATGGCATGGATGAGATGAAACATGGAATAAAAGGGAGAAATGAAGGGCAAAGAATACAACTCTGCTTTTCTAGTGAAATCATAAAAGTCAGCACAGATGGAAGAGATGAATCACAATGTGTCTGTTACGGTTTGACTTCAGAGGTTTATCTGTCTGGGATCCAACTTAGGAGACATTGTCCTGGGACTGATTGAGGTCCAGTACAAACTTTTTTGTTCTCAAGAATCAAAACAACCTAAAATCAACAGACCACCGTTTTTACCATGAACTTAGCAACTGAAATGGCCATGTTTTCTTGATTTCAGAGCATGTTAAAAGATCTATAGGGGATATTGTTTTAAATCATGAAAGAATAGGATACAAGGTAACAAAAGTAGTGAGGAAATTTAAGTAGTGCAGCTGTGAGTACATGCACACTGGAGTTATTTCGCCAAACTTAATGAAAAGCAGCTGACGCTCATGTTGGAAACATTTTGTATTCTCTATCTGTAAAAGTTTTTCAGTGGAAGATGGTGGTGGGTGGAGTTTTAATACATCTGGTTCACTTCGGCGTCCAGACCTGACCCTGAACATAAAAGCTGGGGGAAGGAGGGGGGGCTTTTCACTCCCTTTTCTCTTGACAACTAAAGAGACACAGTGCCATCTAGCGCTCATTGCGCGTAAATCTTGGAGTCCACTTTGGGGTACATTTCCATGCAGGGAGGAAAAGAGGTGTGGGCGTGTGGTGCTAATATGGCAAGGTGTTGGGGGTAGGAAACGGGGAGGGGGGGTTGAGTTCATGGTTGCCATGGACACAGCCAACATATGTGTTTCTGTGTTTGTGCTCGAACTGGGGGATTTCTGCACCTGGACTCAGATTTTCCGCTGAGATCACTGCTTGAGGGAGAGAAAAGTTGTGTGAAAATGCAAAAAGGGAGGGAAGGAAAAGAAAAGGAGGAGGTATGAGCAGGGGGGAGAAAAGAGGGGGTGCATCTGGTTGTGATCAGTGTTTATTAGCGAGCTCTCATAGTAAATCTGTTGTGTTTTTGGCAGCTGTTGAGGGGCGTTTGAATGCAATGTATGCATTTCGAGATGTCTCAATACCCTACATCAGGACTGCATTACTCCATTACTTTTATTAGCCACACAGTGGGGAGTGTTTTCAGTTTTCACGGTTTCTAGGGTGATTGTGTTCAAAGGCAGCCCCCCCTTTTTTGGCCTTTTATAGTCCTTAAACTGGCAGGTGGGACTAAGATCGCTGAAAAGTCATCATCTTTCGGCCCTGAGGACACGTTACCAGGTTATGTCCTCAGAAGACCGACACACGGCTGCATTACATGTAGAAAAGCATGCAAAAACACCCAGGCTTCCTAAGGCTGAGGGAATCTGCATAATGTCCCTGGCACAGCCTGTTGGCAGACAGGATGCAGCAGAGTTTCCACAGGATCCTGACGTTCAACAGAGGAGATTAGCCACATTTCTGAGTCAGAGAGAAAGAAGAAACAGAGCTGAGAGCAGCCAGTGTCTCCAGCATGACAGCATTCTGCAGTTTGTGGTTTTGTACATCTTGCAACAGTTTACACACACACACCACATTTCATCTGTGGGGTTGATCTCAGAGTGAATGGAGGAGTTTTTGGGTTCATTTGAGAGAATACGATTCAAATGTTCGACACAGAAGTGAACATGGAAAAAAGAAAGAAAAAACACAGTGCCTCTTTTTCAAGGCAAAATATAAAAGTCAGCACAGATGGAAGAGGTGAATCACAACGTGCCTGCAACGATGTGACTTCAAAATTCATCAACTTTGGAGACACAGCTTTATGGCTAATGTTGGTCCAGAAGAGTGTTTCTGCTCTCAAGGAGAGGAAAATAACCTAACAAATGGTGCAGTTTCATCGCAGTTCAAACCGTTTCAGATACCATGAGGCGCCAGTCACATGGGGAAATTATGGCCCAATCAAGATTCTCAACCACACCAAATAGACTTAATGACAGGAAATGAGGAACAGGATCTTCCGCTGCATTAGTGCCTCATCAACCTCTGCCTCCTCAGACATCTTGAAACAGTCTGTTGCTCCAGTTTGATGAGAAAACAAAAATATTTGATCTTTTTGTAGATTCAGCATCTATGCTCAAAAACTGAAACTGTCTCATTAGGAGGGGAAATGATTCCTTACTGCCATCTAGGGAAAGATATTTCACCCTTAACCCATCAGAGACATTTCCCTTTGTTGAATAAATTCAAAAGAAATTCAAAAGGTATAACCAAGGTCTTTAATTTGAACTTCACAAACTTTGCAAGCCGTGGTGGCATATAAAAGGCCTGCAGTAATAAAGTTCTGTCAAGTTTAAATAAACAGTACCATTGTAGTCACTTTACAGTCTCTCAATAGTTGTTATTCTGCATATTTACAGTGACACTCATTTCTTCAACTTTTGAGGCCTTTCCAAAATATATATATATTTGAGTAATTTACAGCTTCTGAACATACAGTATCCAATCAAAACAAGATCCAGAACATCATCCACATGTGTTCATGCTAACTGGCTAATGTGAATCAAAGATTATGATAATAAAGCAGGGGGATACCCTGACAGGGAGGAGGGAAAGACCTGATTGTGCTTATGTCAGAGGAACAGTTTGGCACTTCATAAAAAATTGCTTTTACATTTCCCTGCTGGGGTTTGATGAAATGATTGATACCATTCACACCACCTTCAATATGAAGCTTAAACCAACACTAGATTAGCTTAGCTTTAACATATGACCTGCGGAAAACCTATCTTGATTACACTAAATTGCCTGAAAATTAATGCTAGTTAAGTTTAAGTTCAACAGAGTGATAGCCCAACTCCCAGTCTTTTTAAATAGCTAATGGCGCAGTCTTTGTGTTTTTTAAAAATTTCTTTTTTTTTCCTTAAACAAAAATAGTTTAATCTTCTTCTGTAGTGAGAAGGCTTTAGTGAGAAGGCTGAATTGTTCTGCTTTCAGCACTAATCCATTGTTCAGCAACATTTAGCCGCTGACATGGCCTTGCTTCGCTACATTTTTTTTGGCTGTGTACTCTGTCACTGAAAATCACAAGTTTAAGAAATAATTCAGCCAAACACTTCATCCATAACAAACTCTGAGTTCACATTTTCAGATTTTTTTTTCTTTTTCGTGGCTTTGCATGCCAGGGAGATGGTGGATTGCAAGCAAAGGCAGTGAAATCCTGACCTCTTTAAGGTCACTCACTCTGTCAAACTCAACTTGCAGCTGCCAGGTTTTGCAGCTGCAGCAATCTGCACCCAACAGACAGAAAACAGCTGCAACAACTGAAAGCATTTCTCACACTTTATCTAGATCAATAGAGATTAATAGAGATTAGCGTGGTATCATTCTTCCCATTAAATCATTGAGAGAAAAAAAAGTGCATTTTCCAAACATAAACTATTCCTCAGACAGTTCCCTGCCCTTTACTTTGGCTAAGGTGATTGAAGTCAATTTAAAGTGGAGAAGATACCAACCCTTCATTTTATTTCAAAAGCAGCTGTCTCATAAACCTTCATGTATTGCTTAAGTTTAGTTGGTCCATTGTGACTTTAGTGGCCTCTCTGCCAAATCCAGAGCCTATGAATGTGTCAAATGTTCAAAGTTTTTTCCTCAGTTCATATTGGAGTGACTCTTCAGGTGCCTCCTCAGGTGGTTTAGACAGGTGTAGGTCTTGGGGCAGATCTGGCAGTGGTACGGTCTGACCCCTGAGTGGTTCAGCATGTGCTGCTTCAACACACTCCCATCGGAGAAGGCTTTCCCACACTGTGAGCACACATACGGCCGCTCTCCTGTGTGCACACGCATGTGGACTGTCACCTTGTGTGCCATGGTGAAACCTTTTCCACACACTGTGCACTTAAACGGCCTCTCTCCTGTGTGGGTGAGCCTGTGGGTACGCATTGCACCCATCTGGGAGAAAGCTTTACCGCAGTCAGGACAAACATGTGGCTTCTCTCCAGTGTGAACCCGGGTGTGGCTCCTCAGGCCTCCTGCTGTGGAGAAACACTGGGAGCAGTGGGTGCACTGGTATGGTCGCTCCCCTGTGTGTGTGCGCATATGCTGCTTCAGGTCGTAGCGGTTTCTGAAGCCACGGCCGCACACCAAACAGCTCTCTGGGCGGTCATCATTGTGGCGCAGCTCGTGGTTGTTGAGGCATTTCTCAGACAGGAAACACTTCCCACACTCCTGACACTGATACGGTTTCTCATGATCAACTCTCTGATGATACTTGAGTTCACTAATGCCAGGGAATGTCTCATCGCAGTATCGGCACCTGAAGCGATGGTTGGGGCTGTAGGGGAGCTGGTGGTCACTCATCTGGTGGTTCCTCAGCAGGTGAGCCATCTTGAACGTCTTCCCACAGTGAGAACACTCATATTTGGTCAGCAGCTGGACGCACTGATGTCTGACCCGCTCATGCAGAGACCTGAACTGACAGCCACATTTGGTGCAGATGTGGGCAGCATTTTTACACTTCCTCTTTCTGTGACCGGACAGGTGAGCTTCTGTTCGGAAAGCTTTACCGCACTGAGAGCATTTATAAGGCTTCACCGCTGTGTGGAACCTCTGGTGCTCCAGAAATTCAAAGCGGTACTTAAAGCTCCTCCCACACAGCGGACAGTTGTGTGTGACTCGGCCTCTAGGGTAGATGTTTTTGATGGAGGTTTTCCTGGAGGACAGAGATGAGGAGGAAGTCCGATGAGCTGAGCTAACCTTCCTATGTTTACCTCCGCTCATTAATTTGTCCGTCTCCATGTCACCAAGCTCTTCGTGCCTCTGCTGATGTTTGGTTAGACACTTAGAGGAGATAAAGCTCTTTCCACACTGTTTACACTGGAAAGGTTTATCATGATCCACCTGCTGATGATATTTCAGGTCACCGATTCCTGAAAAGCCGACCCCACAGTGACTGCACTTGAAAAGTCGGCTCTGGATGTGGGTTAAGACGTGTTCTTTTAAACTGCTTGACTTCTGAAAACTCTTCCCACAGTGGCCACAATCATAGTTTCGGCCTCGCTTTGGACAGTGATGTCTGAATTTATCCAGTGAGGTTGGAAAACTGTTCCCACATTTGATGCATAGATATGCTGCATTTTTGCATTTGCGCAGCCTATGACCAGCCAGCAGAGTGGCTGTCCTGAACGCCCTCCCACACTCAGAGCAGTTGTATGGCTGTAGCCCACTGTGGACTCTTTGGTGCTCGATGAGGACTGAGTGATGCTTGAAGCATTTGTCGCACTCGGGGCATTTATGCAGCCCTGAGGTCTGTCTTCTGCGAGGAGAAGACGGCATGTCTGTTCTTTTTGGTGATTCAGGAAAGTCGGCTGATGTGGAAGGGTTTGTGGACAGTTCTTCATCAAACATGACAATCTGAGGAACATCATTATTGTCGTCATCACATGCACTTGGATGAGAAGCAATTGCCACTTCTAGCGACGGAGGAAGACACAGTGAGGGGATGAGCAGATCATCCGACTGAAATGGAGCTGCAAAGAGAATATGAGAAGATCATTACCACACAGTGATTTAAAACTATGACTCAAACCTAACACCTTCAGTACTCCTCGGCAACAGGTCTAGATGGACTGATACAGCAATTCAAGTTTTAAAAATTAATTCAACTTGACACACTGTAAAAACCATGATAATTTTTTCTCCTTTTAGATAATACCAAACAATATACATGGACATATATATATATATATATATATATATATATATATATATATATATATATATATATTTCAGTGTGTGAAAGATTAGAAACAAACTTCAAATTCAAATTCAAGATTTAAATGGGCTAAAGACAGAGTCACAAGGAATACTGACATTTCTATACCTTTTGTATTCTTTTATTCTAAACAGTAGGGTTTTAGAACTTCTTTAAGTTCAGTATTTTCTTTGGGTGAAATGGTCCAGTGTAGCTCAAATAAAGCAGCATTTTCTCATGTAAGTGAATAAAGCTTGCTACCTGAATCTCCACAAGGTGGCAGTATCAACTGAGAAGGCACATCAGATAGTGGGACCTTAAGGAGTTGCCCCTGATGGTAATCTATGTTTATACAACATTTGACTCAGCTTTCAATGAGAGAGACAAGCAATGCCTCTGCCAAAGGGTGTCCACTACCCAGGACTGCAGTGAGCCATCTTCCAAAAGAATACTTCCACACCATGAGCTGGAGAACAGAACCACTTGCTGGAGTCCCCCCTTTGGGGCTACTTTGCCTATGGAGTAGAGTCTGACAGTGAACACACCGACCCTTTAAATCTGTTTGCAAAATTGCTGCAAAACAATGTCATGTAAGGAAGGGTAAACTTCAGACCTCAATGAACCTCAGTGACCAGATTTCTTTTTAGGAGTACAAAATATGACATAGTAGCATAAAAGCTAGCGGGCTAGTCCACTGGTTTGAAATGCACAAGCTGTTTCATTGTATTGTATGGGATATGTAACATCAGCTTAACAGTAGCATGTCAATATCAGACCAGCCCTGCATCATAAAAACACAACAATCAGATACACAAACAAGTGAGTTTCAGGAAAACAAAAGTACTCAGCTGCAGTTATTTCAGGTCTCGTTTGTGTGCACATTACAACACTCCTAAAGCTTAATAGTATTGGGCCACTCACTAACATTACTTGCCACTTCTTCTATGATGGCTCTGTAGTGTTCAATAACGCAGCCCACAAGGCACACCTCCAAAAAACTTTTGCAAACATGATAGTACATATAGTGAACATGATGCCCTGACATCAATATATTAAAATGTGATTTTGGTACTTTAGTAGTCTTGTTTCAGTTTTGAGTACTGTGTACTGCAGAAAGGGTTCCTGAGTTTAATCGAATGAATACTGCCTCTTAACAGGCAGAAACATTAGAAATGTTCATGTTGTTCATGTTCATGTTATCCAAAGAGTTGAATAAAATATTGTGTTGCGGCAAAACGTCTGATTTACACTTGAGATGTCTTTATATAGAAATACTGGCTGTGTACATACCAACACTTGTTTTTGCCAACTTTCCATGACACTGTTTGCTCTGGAGAAGAAATTTCAGGTCATCCCCATTTGACACACACTGCATGTATTCCTCTAGGACGGCAGGGGCAGCACTGATCCAGGACGCAGTCTACACAAGACAGGCATAGAGAAACGGATTCTGAGTTTCATGTAGACATGTGTATATGATACCAGAGCCCTGTAGCGTGGATTACTTGAATGAACTACCTAGCTTAAGTCTCTAGTGTCCAAGATTGTATTGAAAATGAAATGTCACACGACTGGTGACATTTTAAGATTTAAATATTACCAGCTCTTCAAAAATGTTTGATTCAGCCTGACAGTTCAGAGCATGTGTTACCAATGTGACCAATAAAAGTAAGAAAGTAGGCTACTCACTCAAATACAAATGTGTTAACTTATGTTTGATATCTGCAAATACAAGTAAGGACTAAATGCCGAAAGTACACAACAGGTTTGTTGAGCCGTGTCACTAATAGGGCTGCCAGCCACCAGACTCACGTTGTTTGCCAAGTTTAAAGCTTCGAAGCTTTGGATCTTTTTCAGCACAAATTCAAAGAAAGCCCCAGAGCCTCATAAGGCTTCATCCCCCATCCACTCTGTCTAATTCAAAAGAGATATCTTTGTGTCATTTCTGTTTTCCTATCTTTTGGGAATCCCCTATTCACCTGTTTGAAATCTGGAATTGGCAAAAGCTCCTCAAGTCTTGTGAAGAACTCACTGACCAGTGTCTCCAGAGCGGTGTCAAAGTCAGGGCCATACTCCACTGGAAACACATTCTGTTGGATGGAAAAACCTCAGCATGTGGCATCACAATATAATCACATATATTCACTGTCTTACATTTGTTGAAAGAATGGACTGGATAAAAAAAAACATCAGAACTCAAGACAGATGATGTGATTTTCCCATAAAAAATATAATTGAGATTTTATCTTAATTTTGACCTTGAGGAAGTGTTCTCTGCCATCAGTATCTTCAATGAGGCCTTGTACCAGCTTCATAAAGTTTGCCTCTGGTGCTTCAATCACTGGATCATTTGTCTGGATTAAAAAAAAAAGATTAAAAGATAATTTTCCACAGCCCTTAGCAATGTCGTCCACTTTACTGTCTTTTCTGAACAAAAAAATTCTGCTCATTGATATTAACTTTGGTTGTATAAGTAGTTATGAATTACCAATCCTATCACTTCCAAGACCTATCAATAAAAACACTAACCTCTTCGATACAAGAAGTCCGGATTCTGTTGAGGTGAGTCTCAACAGCCTTGAGGTCTTCAGGATGTTCAGAGCGCAGCAATTCAAGGGTTGTCTACGGGTTAAGGAATTCAGTATCTAGATTTATTATTTGAATCCTTGCTATAATATCTGTGACAGTCAACACATGACTCAAAACTCACCCTTGCCCTCAGACCCAATGAGAGCAGTCTCCCTTCTCTTTTACTCATCAGTTCAGGGACTGCATCGGTTACCATGGACACAAACTCTTCCAGCTTCCCATAGTGCTTTATGTTCCGCTGGCGAACCACTTCCCACATCACTGCTGACATCAGGCGAAGCGGAGGCACCAGGAGGGCCAGCGAGGACAGAGGCACGTTGAATTCTGCAGAGAAATTATGTTGCCAAACAAATGATGATCACAGCCATGAATAATGTAAAAGCTGAGACATGCAGAGAGTTCATTTGTGAGGTACGTGGATTTTGTTGATGTTAATGAAGTGAAACATCTGTTAACATGTCATGTTAGATTTTTCAACACTCAATACTTTCAATACTTGACTACTTGTGTCCTGGTCAAGACAGCAGAAGCATGTTCCAACAAAGTTACAGACACAAAAACACACCATTTAAAATTTGGTAACATGTTCTGGGCCATATCACAGAAATCATTATTCAAAGCATCTGCAGCCTGATGTAAACTGCTTTTGAAAATATTTAGGGAGACCAGCTCCTCCAGCATGCTGTTAGGCTATGGGCTCAATCTTGACTGTTTCCTGAGTGTTTTCATAGCCTCTAGACTAGCTGCCTGCTGGAATTTAAATGACCGGGGGCCTCATTTATAAAACCTGGCGTAGGAGCCATACTAAAAGTTTATGTAAGCCGAAAAGCTGAAAAGTGCAATCTTCCAGATCTCTGAACTCCCTCTCCAGTCAGATCCGTCCATTGGAATGGTCTTCAAGAAGCACAAGTGCATCCATTGTGCCGCACTGCGCACCGCTGGCATTGCATGGCTATTTATATGCACTTCCATTAACCAGTCTTTCTCACCTTGTCACAATTGTCTTCAAAATGTGTGTAAGCAAGTTGTGGAGTTTGCTTAAAGTTGCGCACATTCCTACGCTAGGTTTTTAAAATTTATTTTATAAATCCCAACTCTTGCGTAAGAAGTTGCGTACGAACTTCCAAGCCCGGTTTTGTGCTTAAGCAAGCTTTATAAATGAGGCCCTGGGGCATTAGCCAGCATTAAGCTGCACTGGCTACTTTTACCAACTGACAGTAAATGTTAATTGAATCAATAAAATAGTTATTTTCAAGTTGTTAAATGAGCTGTTTTGCACAGTGCAGGTATGAGTGAACAGACACATTAATGGTCTTTGTTTGGTGCATGTATTTACAGTTATTGCAGAGAGTATTAGTGAGTAATACTATTTGGGAATTTCCCCTTGTGGGACTAATAAAGGAGTATCTTATCTCAACAGTTATTGATTACTGAAGTTAGATAGATAGCTAGATATACTTTATTGATCCCAAACTAGGAAATTCTCAGTTAGTAGCTATTTCACAGTTCATTGCTAAGCCAACTTTGTGATAGTTACAATAGTATATAATTAAAACAGATAATAAGTGGAGACAGAACATTACACAAATCCTCACCCTGTAAACTGAATTCAGTTTTGTTTCACCATTACATGAGCTGTTGTTGTTGTTTTGATGTTGCTGCTGTCCCTTGTCTCTCTCTCCCTCCCTCTCCCTTACTCATTCTCTCTCTCCTTCCCTCTATCTTGTTGTCTTTTTCTCCCCCTGCCCTCTCTCCACTCCTCTCTCTCTCTCTCTCTCTTTCCCCCTATCTCTCTGTAATCCTCCCCAACCCAGAAGGGGCTTGGTGGCTGTCTGGCATGAGTCTGGTCCTTCCCAAGGTTTCTGCCTGTTAAAAGGAAGTTTTTCCTTGCCACTGTTACTCATGTTAGATGAGATGGGCCAAATCCCATCTTCAGTTGGGTCTTGATGATTCATAAAACAATGAGCGTGGTCCAGACCTGCTCTTGTTCTTTGAAAAGCGTCTTGGGATGACGACTGTTATGGCGCTATATAAACAAAATTTGATTGATTGATTGAACAGGTAAATAAACGCCATCCATTTGTTTTGTGTGTGTGCTTTCATGCCATCACCTCAGAGTCAGTGTTATATCCTGTCTCTTCAGTGCCAAACGCAAGGATTGAACTTTTTGTGTGTACTGTAACCATTTGTTTGTATCAAGTTGTATCAAGTATCAAGTATCAAGTGTAATTCTAACTCTTAAGGGTTAAACACAAGGGATCTAGAGGTGCGGTCCAACATTAGCCACCTCGAACTACAGACTCTGTGGACACTTTGTTGGAGTCATTGCTGCCCATGTTGGGCCACCATGGTCCAAAAAGTCTGGATACGCCCCTGTTGAAAGGCACTCTCGGCACAGCATCTCACTCTACACTTCAGTGTCTTTAACATGGTCATCTGTACCATACGTTGGTTCTTTGACAAACACCGCTGTCCTGTGCCATCAAATCAAATACAAGACTCAAGCACATACTCCTAGCATTGTGAGCTTGTGTTGTGTATGACTGATAAAACGTCTGAGTGTTTTCCGGTGTTTTAACACGGTGCAAGTTTGATTTATTTTATACTTTTGTGTTTGTTGGATCGTTTGTTTGTTTGTTTGTTGAAACGTTCACAGTCTGTATTCCCAAACGGCTGAGCGTCAGCTTACCGTTCGTATCTTTACCTCAAATTCACACGGACATGCTAACTGACAGCCAAAATGACCAAACAGCTGTTTTACAAGTAATGATTTTTAAAATCCCCCTTGTCCTCCGTAAAACAAAGTTTAGAAACACACTATCGCTGCTGTTAAGGCCTATCGCATAGCGCTAACCTGCTAGCCACAAGGCTGCTGGTGATGCCTGATTATACCGGCTTATTTTTGGCAAAAACAATTCTTGTTCCAGGGATTAGTCGAGGCCTGTTTAGCTAAGGCATATCCTCCGTTTTCTCTGCAAGACTGACTGCAAAGGTAATTGATAAACACAAGTTTCCCAAGCTCCGTCAAATTATACATACCCATGTCGTTCATTGTGAAATTATTTGATACAGACGGGAAGAAATATCAACACGGTAGACGATCTTTCATCCTTCGGTTTAGCATGCAAGCTAGCAGTCTATGGGTCCTCAGGCGCCAACTTCTTCCTGAAACACGTTGTTCATTCTGGAGAGTGTTGGTCCATTCAGTGTCAGCGTCTGACGGAGACGTTTGATTTGCTTTTCCAGGCAACCCGGAGGGTGGGATTTCCATTCACTCTAATGGCAAATTGAGAAACACCGCCTCTCCAAGCAACCCAAAACGGTACATGCGGAGTTAAAACTTCAACTTTTCATCATCTATCCTTGCTCTTTTCTTGACTAAAAATATTGTGTGATTATAGTCACTGAAACGTCTATAGTTTGAGGCCTTTTTATTTCTGCTTATGGATCACAAACTTGTACTTAGTTTCTTGCCGTAGTCGAAGGTATTTTTATTATATTCACAGATAAAAACAAAGATGACAGAGACTGTGACATACCTTGTTAGGTTAACATTGAAATGAAAATAAATGAGTTAATCGTCTTAAAACTGGCTGTAGTGGAGATATGATAGTAGTGTGCATGGTGTTTTTCTACTTCCTTTTAAAGCGTTTTAGGATGTCAAGGAAAAGGAATATACTCAATTGTCAGTCAAAAAAGCTGCTCTTAAATTATTTAGTGATCATGTTCAGAGCAGATCTAACAGAACTAGATGAGGAAGCCACTACTTCTGATATTCTCCATAAGAGATAGTAGTTCTTATTTATTTTACAGTGTAAGAAGTAAAAACTTCCACTGACACAAAGACCAAAACATAAGTAGAAATACATTTAATGGATCCCTTTAGTTATATGAAATTGTAGTAAGATTTTGATAATGGATGACACATTAACAAGGACACAGTTTTTTTTAAAGACAAAGAGAAGTTTAAAGCTCCTGTACAGATTTTTAAAATTTCTTTCAAACAGGCAGGAAACAAAAATCCAATCCATGGAAATGTATAGAAACCTGACTAAAGTGTTTATATCTGCTTGAAGTCTGGTATACGCAGAGTCTCTTCTAGTCTGGTGAAGGACTTATGAAGCAGTGTCTCCAGAGCTGCATCAATGTCTGCCTCAAACTCCACAGGAAACATTTCCTATTACAATACAAAGTGCTGACTCAAATCCTGGCAGTACAACCTCGTGTGAAAACAATCTTTTGACAAGAAAACAAACAAATGGCCACTATTAAAACAAAACAATTATCAGACAAAAATAAAGACAAAACTGAGAAAGTTCTTTTTTTTCTTCTAGGTCCAAAAGAAGTCTTTTGCACAAATCTGATAAAGCTCTTTTCTGAAGGTTCAGCTTCTGAACAAACCTGTGTAGAGTAAATTGTAAATAAAACATAGATTTCCTTTTATATCTCATGCTTTCAGATTACTTGTATTATGATTTGGCCTTAAATTATTATGAATGGACAGATTTTATTTATCGTAATCTGGGAAAACGCTCCTTCTTTCCACCAAATTTAACATCAATATTGCCTGTCGTGAGCTGAATGGTAGCAGGATGTCAAAGCGTGGTTTTACAGATACGGGATCCTCTGGTTGTTCAGAGCTTAACATCTGTGACACCATCTGTAAAAGTCATAAGGTAGGAGTCCTAGAGAGAAAGACAGAAGGAAAAGTCAAGAGACCCACTATAGTGCAACAAGTGCCTCAGGAAAGCTCTCTGCTCATGTAGAAGCTAAGCCATGTTTTAAGCTACTGAGACATTTCATACAGGAAACCTTCTTGACGAGCTGTTACTGTACCTTGCGGATGAGTGAGAGTCCAGGTGATCGGTGTTTAAGATTTAAACAAGCCTATTTATTTGACATCTAATGCTTTGATTTACACTCTCACACAAACATTTCAAAACATACGGCAGCGTCCGCGTCAGCGGTCAAAAACTGTTTCCCCTCGCTCCAATAGGAAACCCCTGACGAGCCTCCAAAGGTTCCCACTCTATATAGGCTGACCCATCACAGTTATGACATACAACAATTAACCGTAAATCTGCTCTTACACACCGGCCCCTAATTGTCATGGCCGGCAGACTTGGCAATTCAATACAGACAATCATAATAAGAGCACGAAAATGTCAATTTACACTTCTTTTACCAGGCAAAGTTTGGTCACAGGTCTCTCAATAACACTATTTTTAGTCTGCAGTTTCACAGAACGCACCATCCCCTTTGCATCAGGAAAGATCTCCAACACTTTCCCAAGAAGCCAGGACCCACGAGGAGCTGAGGGATCCATAATGACAACAACATCTCCAACAGCCAGACTCTTTTTCCTCTGGTTCCACTTCTGTCTTTCTTGCAGTAGGGGCAGATATTCCTGGATCCAACGCTTCCAAAACAAATCCAAGATGTACTGAGCTTGTCTCCAACGCCGCTTCACATACATGTCAGATGGTTTGAAAAGTCCTGGTGGTAAGGCTGGTTTTCCTTTCAGAAGAAGAATATGGTTGGGAGTGAGCGTCTCCAAGTCATTTGGGTCGTCAGACAGCGGTGTAATAGGACGATCATTCAGAATATCTTCAACCTCACACATGACAGTGTGAAGCCCATCATCATCAAGTGTCTGCTTTTGTAGAACTGAGTTTAGAACACGTCTGACCATATGTATCATGCGTTCCCAAACTCCGCCATGATGAGACCCAGCCGGAGGATTGAAGCTCCATTTAACTCCTGCAGGATAGCTCTTTGAATGCGCTCATGATTCAGCTCACCAATAGCCTCACGTAGTTCTCCCTCGGCTCCAATAAAATTGGTTCCATTGTCTGATCTGATGTGAATGACTTGGCCTCTCCTGCTGATGAAGCGTCGTATTGCATTGATGCAAGCGTCTGTTTCCAATGAGTTTGCTACCTCTAGATGAACTGCTCTGCTGGCCATACAGGTAAACAACACTCCATACCTCTTGCAAGTTGCTCTCCCTCTTTTTATTCCCACAGGTCCAAAATAATCCACTCCGACGTTTGTGAACGGAGGCAGATCTGGAACAATTCTTTCCTTTGGAAGAGCCTCCATCTTCTGTTCCTTGGTCCTGCTATTAAAGTGCCTACAATAACTGCACTGGGAAATGATCTTTCTCACTGCCGCATTGGCATTAGTTATCCAGTATTTTCTCCTGAGTGTAGAGAGCATATGGTTTCACCCACTGTGTCCCAGCAGTTGGTGCATGTTCCTGAGAAGAAGCTTGGAGATATGCTGTTCCTTAGAAAGGATGAGGGGATGTTTTTCCTCTGACGGCATCGCTCCTTTGCTCAATCTCCCTCCCACTCTTATGAGTCCATCTTCCAAAATGGGATCCAGCTTGTAAATGGAACTTTGTCTGCTTACTGTATGTTTCTCAGACAACAGTGAGGACATTTCAGTTGCAAACCTTTGCTGCTGACAGTAGCAAATGACAGCCAGTTCAGCTTCCTCCAAATCCTTTGTTGTTAGGACACCGCTCTGCTGCTTAACAGTAGCCCTTTTTCCTCCCACTTGACCAGTCTGTGGTCCAGAGGCCTTTCGCTGACGACTGAGCTCCAACAGATGCCCTTTCAATTTCAGGAACCAAGCCACTGCCACTTTGAGTCTTCTCGAACATGAAAAGTAATTTATGAGATGGTCTGTGGCATTCAGTGCATCATGAACAGTGACATTCACATAGGCCTCCTTCCTGATCTCTGGATCATCAGAGTCCATCCTGACATCAAGATTACTCACTGGTCAATCAGCCTCAGACTTCCAGAGAAAACTGGGCCCCTCCAACCAGCTTAGATTTTTCAATGATACCTTCATCCCCTGTGATGCAGCATCGGCTGGATTGTCTTCCCGATGTGCCTCCATTGAGCAGGGCTTGAGATTTCTCGTATGGCTGAGATCCTATTGGCCACAAATGTGTGGAACCGCTTATTTTCATTATTGATATATTTCAACACTGACGTGCTGTCCGTCCAAAACACAGACTCACCCAGCTGGACTTGAAGCTCGGCCTTTAGCATGGCATCCACTCTGGCAGCTAAGACGGCAGCAGTCAATTCCAATCTTGAGATCGTTACAGCCTTTAAAGGTGTGACTCTGGCTTTGCCCAAAAGGAATGTAACATGATCCTCACCTCTGGCGTTCTTCAGTCTGATGTAGCTTACAGTGCCATAGCCATCTTTGCTGGCATCTGCAAAATGATGCAGTTGGCTACATATGGGGTCTCCAAAGTTTTCTGGCTTTAAACAGCGTTCAGCTTTGAATGATGACAATAGTGTGACCTCCTGTAACCACACTTTCCATTGCTGTAAAATGTCTGGTGGTATTGCATCATCCCATCCACAATTTCTTCTGCACAGCTCCTGTTGTAGCATCTTAGCAGACAGAGTGACTGGCGACAGAAATCCAAGAAGATCATATAAAGAGCTGTTTGTAGACAACATCCCCCGTCGGGTTAGAGACTGCTGTTTGACCTCCATCTTGAACTTAAATGAGCCTGACTCGACACACCAGAGCAGACCCAAAGCTCTCTCAATGGGAAGTTTGTCTCTGTCCAGATCAAGCTCTTTTAGATCCTTTGCCCTCTGATCTTCAGCAATGCTCTGCAGCAATGAACGGCTGTTACTCACCCACTTCTCCAAGACGAAGCCACCTCTCTGACAGAGAGCACTGAGTTCTTTGACTCGTTGCTTTGCTGCTTCCTGAGAACTCAAACTCAGCAAACAGTCATCGACATAAAAGTTTTGTTTAACAGCTTGAACAGTTTCTGCAGAAAAATCAAAACTGTTAACATCAGCAGTTTTCCTCAGCGCTTAACTACCGCATGAGGCTGGGTGAGGACACAGCCCCAAACATGTGCACTGTCATCCTGTAGACTGCTAGTTCTTTGCTGAGGTCTCCCTCCGGCCACCAGAGAAAGCGCAGAAAGTCCCTGTATTCTTCTGCCACCTTCACCTGATAAAACATTGCCTGGATGTCACCCATACATGCCACAGGTTCCTGTCTGAAGCGAGTGAGGACTCCAAGCAGCAAGCTGGTAAGATTTGGTCCTTGCAACAGTTCATTGTTCAGTGACGTGCCTTGATAAGTGGCTCCACCATCAAACACAACTCGAAGATAGTCTTTTTTGGGATGATGGACACCGTGGTGGGGTATATACCACACCTTTCCTGGTCTGCCTTGTGACTGTTCCAGAGGCACATTTTCTGCATAGCCCTTTTCAATGACATCATTTAGACCATTTGAATATTCTTTGTGAAATTCTGGGTTGCTCATAAACCTTTTCCTGAGTCCAAGTATCCTTTTCTTTGCTACTTTAAAGCTGTTTGGCAGGTGAGCATCTGGCCTCTTGAAGGGCAACTTAAGGCAGTATCTCTGTTCCTGTAGAGTTGCAGAAAATTCCATAATATCCATAAACTTTATGTCTTCTCTAGACATCTCTTTGTCATCTGAAGGCCGTTCATTGAAATCATGATTGTACTGATTGTTCAGCATGATTTCCAAATTGGACACTGAAATCCGATTCACCACAACAGAGGAGTGCTTCATTTCATCATCCCTGCAGTTTCCATTTAAAGGACCATTGATCACCCAGCCCAACACTGTTCTTATTGCGTATGGACCGGATCCACAACTATTCACCACTTCCCACGGTTCCAGTAACCTGGGAGTGTTAGTTCCTATCAGCAGGTCCACAATGGCCTTTATGGAAGCGATGTGCACCTTGGACAGATAAGGCCACTGTTCCAAGTCAGCAGCAGTGACAATGTTGTCTTGATCGACTGGCATTTCCCTTTGAGTGAACATCTCAGGCAAAGCGTAAAAACTTTTTCCTGAAAGATCTGCGACCTCCATTCCAGACACAACAAAAGTGGGAACAACCTTTTCCTGTCCCATCGTTTTCAAAAGAAAACTTGTTCTTTTCCCTCTGATGTTCAATCATTGCATAAGAAGTTCAGAGCAAAATGTGGCTGTGCTCCCAGGATCCAAAAATGCATATGTCTGAATAATTTCATTTCCCTTTGCAGATTTGACCTGCACTGGGACAATGGAGAGAATGGAACGCTCATTACCGGCTCCTGTGCGTCCACATACCTGGGAAGAAGTGGATGGATTTTCTTCAGGTGGCTCACATGTACGGTGCAACTCAACATTGGTCTTTGGAATATGAAGTGCAGTAGGATGTTGTTGATCACAAACCTCGCAGATCAAGCGTTTCTTACAGTCGTGGCTCATGTGTCCAACCTTTAAACAACCAAAGCATATTCCTTTTTCCTTTGGGAACCGGATCTTCTCTCTGTGTTTTTTACTTTGGAACTGTTGGCATTTTTCCAAGAGGTGAGCACGTGTACAGCAAGAACAATACAAAAGGTCCTGTTTCTTTGCATTGCTTGTGTGAGCATTTTCTTCAGATGCATTGACAGGCATTGCTGTAGTGGCAAAACTACTTCCTTTCCCTCTGAGTGGTTTTGCTTGCATTTTGAATTTGTTATAGGGTTTTGAAGCAGTTACATTCTGTGATACAGGTGGTTCAATGTTTCCAAAAATTGGATCAGAGAGATCAGAGAGAGCCTTACTTGCTTCTCCAAAAACGCAACAACATCATCGAAATGCGCCCTCCGATCGTATTTTTCCATCATATCATGGGCAACAGTTCTCCACCTTTCACGATATTTATATGGCAATTTACAAACTATTGTTTTCATTAGTGCTGGGCGATAGGACGATAGATATCGTGGGCACTATAGAAAATGTCTATCGTGCCATTTCTATTTTTATCGTTTTGAGCGATAGGCTGTATTTTATCCATAGGGCTTGTGCCATCAGATGATTCATAGTAACAACAACAATAATTGCACATTCAGTAAGTGTATTTGGTGTCAAATGGGAAAGAAAACAATATTTTCTTACAAAGAAAAGGATGCGTTGACATGTAGGCTCGCATTTCTCTTTCGATTTTGCGACATGACGCCGCTTTACGTGCCCTCTTCGTGTCCAGCGTCTCCCGCCGCTGCCGTCTACATTATATGTAGAAGTTACAACTATAATTGTCCGTATATTTGTTCAGTCAACATTTCGCAAAATGGGTTTCCCAAGTGACTCTACAAACCATCCAAAAAGTAAAAAATAAACAAACAAAAGGAAAATAACAAAAATAGCTGACTCACCCCTCATTACTGTAGACTCGAGTTGGACTCCTGACCTCTCAAGAGCTATAATAGACCGAGTTGATCTTATTGACTTCATTTCTGTCTCTGTCGAGTGACGCCATGAAACTATTCAGTGTCATAGTCGGTATCTATTTGACAGTGGCTGCTGGTCAAACACAGCCAGCAATGGAGTCCTCATACATCGCTGCTGTGTATGAGCACAATTTAATCACCAACCCAGACCCTCGTGTCCTGGTGTCGCGGCAGGCTGCCCTTCAACACATGCAGAAAAACTTGGATATCTATGAAGTGCAGGCTGCACGAGCCGCTCAGCAGGTATGATTTATTGGAAAGTTATAAATGCTTAGTAGCGACTCATAAAAAGGGTTACTTATTGCTCTACTAAAAATCAATGAGCCACCATGTGCCAGGTTTTTTCTATTGCGTAACCAGTAAGTGTATTATTCAATAAAAGGGTCATACCTTATATGACAGCAAATGACTGTGCATTCAGAATCCTGGCATGTTTTTTCAGTCGTGTCTTCTCTGGTCTTTATCAGGGTGCCCAGATCCTGGTGTTTCCAGAAGATGGTCTACATGGGTTTAACTTCACTCGACATCCATCGTAGGTTATCTTGAAACAATTCCTGACCCCCAGCAGGAGAGCTGGAACCCCTGCACAGAGCCTGAGAAACACAACAATACTGAGGTGCACAGATATACACTCATGTTTGATGTCTATCTTGATTTAAAGATACCCACGAGCAGCCAACACTGGTCTGTTATTATGAATTACATTTCAGAATGGTTGTTTTACAGGTTCTTCAGCGGTTGAGCTGTATGGCTCGTCGGAATAACATCTACATTGTAGCTAATATGCCTGACCGGCAGCCCTGCCCCCTGTTTACAGATCCCACCTCCTCCTGTCCATCTGATGGACGCTGGCAGTTCAACACCAATATTGCCTTTAGGTGAAATTGAGATCTTAAAATAGAGACATCTGGCTTAACTCCAGCAAATGCATCAACACATGAATTCTTAATTTCATTATCTTCTAGCTCTGATGGCCTGCTGGTGGCACGCTACCATAAATACAACCTTTTCCATGAGGAGTCCTTTGACACTCCACCACAGCCTGAGATCATCACATTTGATACTCCTTTTGCTGGAAAATTTGGCCTGCTGACATGCTTTGACATCCTATTTTACAAGCCCACTATAGCACTGGTGGAAAAGGCAAAACCACTCACAATTGTGTATTTAGCTCTATGTCCCTGTGTCGGATCTCTTTTTTAAAAGCAGACTCTCTTCCCGCTCCTTTTAGGGTGTTCGTCAGCTGATCTTCCCTACAGCTTGGTTTAACACCCTCCCCCTGCTTGACTCTGTCCAGTACCATCGATCATTAAGCCGAAGCACCAATGTCACCCTGCTAGCAGCCAACCTCCACCATGATGATAAGAACATGGCTGGGAGTGGTATCTACACACCTTTTTCATCCATCTACCATCACTCAAAGAGGGGAGACCAAGAGGAGGGCAAGCTGCTGGTGGCCAGGGTGCCGGTCTTAGACCCAGAGTGGTCGGGGCAGAGGGTGGCCACAGAAGAGGAGAAATTGGAGTCTGAGTCCACTTCATCCCCTGTTACAGACTCTGGATTCTGTCACAGTGGGAGCTGCTCTGATGCATCTTCAGTCCCTTCATCATCAGCCACATTCACATCATTCATGATTGGTGACCCGTTCACATTTGTCCTCCTAAATGAAAAAGAAGGTAGGGTGAAGGTGTGCAATGGCTCCTTTTGCTGTCACCTGCAGTACAAGCGAATTTCACAGGGTGACAGTGAGGAGCTGTATGCATTTGGTGCGTTTGCTGGGCTGCACACTTTGGATGGAGACCTATCCCTGCAGGTATGAACTAAAGGGTTTATGGATATAGACACTGTCCTTTACAACATGTCTCACCTGTATCCTTCCTTCTGCAGGTGTGTGCACTCATCCGTTGTGCAGGGTCGGACCCAAGCTCCTGTGGACAGGGAGTGGTGGAGGGGAAGTTTGGAACCAGATATGTGTACCCATCAGTTTTGGTGAGTCAAATGGTTATAGGGGAAGTAAAGCATTTTGACAAATCTGCAGATGGAAGAGTGACTTTAAAACACTCAGACATGACTGCTGGACTGGTGACCGCCTGTCTGTACGGACGGATGTATCACCTGGACCACGAATAAAATGCTATTGAAAAGATGTGCTGAAATATTGTAGCTTAATAAAAAAAATAATGTACACAGTCATAAAATAGTTTTATCTAGTGTAACAAATCAGCTGTGCTAATCACACACTACAGTGAATTGGAAATGAATTGTTTGATTATTTTTCTAAAGAACTCAAAATAAATCTTTATGATCATTTGGTTTTCCTCTGTGTTTCAGTGGTATCAATCCTAAATATCTCTTGTTTCTTTGAAGATTTTTTTTTTTACATTTTATTTTGTCCCTACCTATGTTTGCAGTTTTCACCTGAATTTAGACACCCATGTGCTAAAATTTTACATGGTGTGTGCTATATCCAGATCATAAAAAAGGCTGCTTTATGTCATTATTTTAGAGAAAAAGGGATATTATTTTTATTCTGAATATTCCTTTAAAGCTAAGACACCAATCTTTGAACACAGAAAAACTGGGAAGAATGTTTTCTTTTACAAATTGAAGTTCATCTTTTACTTCTAACATGATTATTTTTGTTAACTATATAAAAAAAGAACTTTTTTTTCTCCGAAAATGTTTTAGTTAATTCTGAGATATAATTCTTGTTAATTCAGGAAACAAGAGCAGTTTTATCCTCAAATAAATGCAGTACGCCTCTGTGTTGAAGAACTCTACATTTCTGTCAAACATTAATCTCAAATATACCTCAAGGTAGGTAAAAAAAAATATGTTAAAAATAACTTTGAATGCATTAATCAGGTAAAAAGTTGAGATTTTATGGCGTTTCCGGGTTAAAATTGTGTAATTTCCTGTGGTTTTAGTCAACATCAAAGCAGAGCAGTGGATTAAACATGGAAAAATGTTATGCAGGCCATGCTGCAAGACCAAAACATTGCACAATTGTTTAAACAGCTTGTAACACCTGTTACTTACCACTTTATTGTATTATTTTCTCTTATTAAAAAGTAACACCTGTTACTAAACTTGTCTTATTTCACTTTTATTAGTCATCCACTAAATATATGTACTTGACTTTGACGTGTACACAGTAATCCAATAAGAGTTGCAAATGTTGACTTTTTACGGTTAATTTTAATATTTACCTCTTAAATTCGTGCTCACTGCAGTCTGTCCCGTTGAAGAGCATGGACAGTGCAGACTGCGCTTGGAACTATGGAGGGGTACATGAACCATGTGACCGCTCTGGCGGCGAGATCTGAAGTTGTCGCCACTCTGTTTAATCCACTGCTCTGGGCTGACCCGTCACAGTTATGACATATAACAATTAACCGTAAATCTGCTCTTACAGCTCATATTAGCATGAACTAATGCAACAACATGAAGGAGTGAAGAAAACTTACCAAAAATACAAGATCATGTACTAATATTGCCCAAACCTGTTTTTTTCCAAGTATTTACAATTCACTAATGTGATTTACATATGCTTTGTCCACTTTATTCTCAAGTTTAAATCAGGCAGCAGCCTCAGATGTTGCACTGAAGCATATGCAGTGCTGAAACCTGCAGTTCTTTGAGCTTCCATGATATATCAGTTATATTGTAAATTAAAAATAATCATAATAAAGAGAATAGGCAGAAGGTTATAGAGCTTTAACTTTAAAAGCTAGTATCTCCTGGAAATGAGACACAAATGTGCCATATCAAAACTTTGCCCCCAAGCCCAGAGTAAGCAGTATTTTCTATCTGTCTGTCTATCAGAAGGTCAGGGATGGCTTCAGCTACCATGGATACAAACTCCTCCACTCTCCCATAACGCTTAGTGTTCCTCAAATGACTTACCTTCTACATCATGGCTGACATCCCCTGCAGACAAGGAACCAAGAGCTTCAAGGAGGAGAGACGCAGAGGACCCTCTGCAACAGCAGAAGGGGAATGAAGGAATGAAGCAACATTATTTTTATTATGATTTTTCTTTTAAGTCAGAAAAATGGACATTTACAGTCATTGTCACAAGAGAAAAAAAATCCTCTTGGATTTGACAGTTCATTCAGGCACCCATTTAACACAATAAGAAAATTGCTTCTACATTTTTCACACTTATATGATCTCCACAGGTCACATTACTGTAGCTAAGACTGCATGTAACACTTCTTTATGCTAAATGAGTGATCTTTGTTGTTGTTAATTACAGTAAAAGAATAGGGTTAGACTTTTTCTTGTGTAAGGCACATTACAATGCTGCTCCCTGCTGTTTTATATTTTTAATGGCCGTTTATCCAAAAGGCAGTGTCAAATCTAAATCAATAACTGTCAATAGACCACTGGTGCTCCATGGGGCTGTAGTGTACACAAGCAAATGAAGCTCTTGCCCATTCAAAGATGGACAAGTATTCATTGATTCCACTTGTTGTCTGAGCTTTGGTCGTGTCAGGTTCTATTGTTTAGTAGCTTTACTGCCCATCAAGGCTCCCAATTTGTTTTTAAGATGTTAAGTAAATATTGTTATTATTATCATAATTTGCAACCAAAATTCCTATGGTCTGATTTTTGAGGTGATATTACCCATATCTGTTAGAGGAGCAGACGTCAGAGTAAAACAAAATGCTTCCCTGTTACAGAGCTGTATTTTGTACTTCATCTCTTTTTAATCACCATAGGAGCTGCTGATCCATGAGCCGCACATCTGTAATCCATAACTGATCTAACTGTTGCTCCATATATCACCATTATCATCATCATCGTCATTATCATTACAATCATCATTATCATCATCATAACCTTCATCTTCATTTCTCTATGAGTTATTAGATCTTATAAACTACAATCATTATTATGACAGAACATTGTGGATGTATACGGTCTTTTTACCCTGTGAGTAGTGAGAGTTGATAAGATGAATGTGCCCACATTTAGATGGTTGTTTGTCTCTTTCCTTCCCTCTTTTTGTTTCCCCACTTTTATGTTTTTTTTTTCTATCAATAATCAAGTCTTTGTTATCAATGTCATTACTATTGTTTGTATCATAATTTTTATTTGGAATTTCAAACTCCTGTGAGGAGTTTTTTGATACAGTGAAATTCATGTTAAAGTCATTTCTAACCTTTGCAGCTTAAAAAATGGAGATACATGATTCATGATGAACAGGCTTATAATTTGCTGTCATGTTAAATCAACCTTCATTTTTTGAAAATCAAATGTTGGATCACAAAAAAAGCATCTGGACACAGCCGCCTGACTGTCTTGTTATATATTTGAGCTTCTTGGTAGTTTATTGTCATTCACAATACAGTCTTACCTGACACAAAAAGCTGTAATATTGTGAAATGCACACTTTCCAACAATTTTATCACCATATATTTTTTCGCTATTTTCAATCAAGGCCAATTATTTCTGCATGAAAGTAAGACAATCAGCATTGATAAGCTGTAGATTAGCTGTGTTTGTGGAGTTTATACCCCCATGTTGAGAGGCTGAACCCTCATTTCATTGGCCACAGGTTTTCAGTGCACCCTTTCAGATCTTCACTTCTTGCTTTGTCCATTCCCTCATCCCTCTTTCTAGCTGTCCTATCAAGCCATGGCAAAACGAACAGAGGAACTTTTAACACATGCACCCAACATGACAAATAGACACAAGATACTGTAGAACTGAATCTGCCTCTAAAACACTAATCTCTAAAAGGAGGATGCAGATTATGGCAAAATGCCAATAATCTGTCCTGTATTGAATATTAAAGTTAAACATAAATCTATAGGCTACATAATCTGTAAATATTCATAGTATGGTGTTTTTTGCTCTATTTGTTAGATATTCTCTATTCCTTTTTTTATAGAATTGAAATCTTTCTCATTTCTTTTAAACTTTTCTGTCGTCATGCTTATAAAATATATCTTATATTTTTGATAGGCTCATACTGTGTTGAGGCAACTGTAACACCCAAATTCCTCCTCTCAGAATGAATAACGTTTGTATGATTCCGAATAACCACTAGAGGGCGCCATAACATTAACGTTGTACTTACTTTGCCTTTGGTTGGAAACACTAAACGCTGACAGCTTGTGTTTAGCCATGGCCTTTTAGTTTTCAGTCAAGTGTTGTGTAACGTCATCATGGCAGTCTGCTCTGTCTTTAATAGTGACAAACTCTATAATGGTGATATGGTTGTGTTTTTGTCTTGTTAGTGGGTAAATGCGATTCATGCACCCAAGGAAACTCCATGTCGATTTGGGGCCATGCTATTTCAAGTTATTGTTTATAATAAAAGCGCCGAATAATTCTCCACCAACCAAAATAGCACACACAGTGTTGTAAAAGTCCTCCTCGCGCTGAATGGTGGGTAATTAACAACGCCCCCTCCGCTGTCCTCAATACTTTCTGTTTTGTGTACTATACTTTATGTCAGCTGTCCTTACTGCAGAGTTACATGAGGCGGCTATAGGAGGGCTAATCCTCTGTGGTCCAGCAGCAGCTTCCACCCTGCCTCGCGCTCTTGCTGAAGGGCAAATCGAGGTGCTCCTCTTCCCCTCGCGCGCAGCATCCTCTGCAGGGCTCGCGACCTTTCCGCTGAGGGATGCACGCGGAAGGAACACTCGGGTGGACGGAAAGAGGACAACCTGTTCGTCGCACCTGTGGCAGCTGTCAAAATGTCCAGTACAAGCTGATTAAACCTCCGGAATTTGACTAGAAGTCCGTTTATACCGCTAAACTTTGGATTCTGGCGGTGAAGAAGCACTTTTTTTCTGTTTTCTGGGTCGGAGTTTTGGTCCGTCATGAAGAAAAAACTCTGAGGAGAGGACATGGATTGTGCACGGAGAGTTTGGCCGGTCCTTCTTCTGAAACTCGAGCAACTCAACTCTGGAAATGATGCTGTAAATCTCAGAGTTTCACACGTAAGTATTTTTGCAAGAATATGCAGGAATGAAATAGTTATGAATTTATCAAAGCGTTGTTGCTGCACTTAAATGGCTTGTTTCTCTCTGATTTTTCAATGAAGAGCATCACAACAACATCAATAAAATAACTTTAAAGTTTTTTCAAGGATAAAACCATATAACAGCTATACAAATTTACCACTGAGTACCACACAATAGATATAAACATCCTGAAGTACATGGTTTTCAAGATATCAGTTTATCAACATTGAAATTATCCACTAATGATAATTTATTTTGAAAAAGTTTTTTTTTTTACTACACCCATCACAAATATAAACTGAACTGTAGAGCACACTGTCCCTTGGCCCCCCTGACTGACTAAAATGTGATGGCTGACCCATTACATGTATTGATAAGGAAGGCTCACTTCAGTTAATTTTTCCTCCTTTGAAGGCTTTTTATTTTCTTCTCTGGAAAAATAAATATTTTTAACGTCAGAAAGGAATAATAATACTACAGCAGAAGTGAATCAAGCATATCTCTCATGAATTCATTACCCTGGTCATGGTAATAACTCCCCAGCTGTCTCATTTTGTAGCTCTGTACCTTCTGTTTCAGCAGTCTGACTCAATCACATTGAAAGGTTTTTGCAACAGAAGTAGGTCATCAGTTCAGTCTGCGCACCTATGATCACTTTGAGCGGCACAGACACATAACACAGCCCACTAGCAACAAACAACATGCACTCTATAAACTTTCTATGTCATTTGTCTCTCTTGTTAAATCTGTCTGACCTCAACTTACGCAATTTTTTTCATCAACAGTTTTACATTGGATCTTTTTTTTTGTAAAATGGAAGCGTATTCTCGAACCAGACATAAATGTTTAAAACATAAGATACTTTGCAGTCCATTTCATTAAGAGTTTAAAGAGCTCTGCAGTTTAAAACCCACGAGTCCTTAATGAAACCAACAACTTAGGATTTCATAATCAGTGTACGTCAGAGAATAAAATAAATGCCTTTTTATGAGACCCTCTGGCCTGAAATAACCCTCTGCATGATTTAGACTTTGTATCAGAGGAGCACAAAACCCAGGATTTAGTAAAGTAACAGAAAAGCAAACATTACATATTTCAGTCAAAATCCTCCGTCCTGTAACAGAACGGCATCTAAAATGACTATCCTGGTAACAGAGCGATGAAGATAGTTCATCCCTGGAGAGTTTTTTTGACATGTGCACAAACTACAGGAAAAGTGTGAGTTCAAGTACCTGCTATCTTAGACACAGAGATGAGAGAATGAGAGAATAAATCATTTAAATAAAAGAAAAAAAAAAGCCAGACAGCCTGTCAGAATATTTTTTAAATGCATTTTATAGCCCAGAGATTGTTTTCAAAATACATAAAACTGTATTTTGAGAAACTGGGATAAAACCGGCAGGGTCCAAGAAACAATATTTACCATAAGTCAGGTTTGAAAAGTCTTAAAATGTAGATAAACATTAATTTGTAAAGATTCTGCTCTTTGAGGCTGATATTCCCTCATGACTTTACCAAATGCATTTTTAGACATTGGATGTTTTCCAGAGAGATGAACCGTCTCACCCCTAAAATGTCTGACAAAGCTAAAAGGAGTCGGAGTGACGTGATGTGACGTTGTGTTGGGTTGTTGTCTCTCCTGAACAAGCTGCCCTGCACAGTTTTCAGCTGCGATTCAGTGACAGTTTAAAACATAGAACTTAAATGAGGGAGGCACTGTATTTATTAATGTAATTCTAAACAGAGCACCAAACAGTTCAATCTTGCATAAAATCTTAATGATCCTTCATTATTGTTAAAATAAAAAACATGAGGTTAATGCCACTGTAAGTTACAAAACTTTGATAATTTCTCTTTCTACATAAAATCTCAAACTGCTGTCAGTGAGGTCTTTGTTACATTTTGGACTCTTCAATAATTTCTATATCTTAAGTTTGGACATTTGCACTTTTATGAGAGAAAATTGAAAAAAAAAATGTTATCCCCCAAAATTAAACTAAGGATAATTATCAGAGAAATGGAATGAAAGAAATACATACCGTATTTAAATATAACAATTAACTGCACTTTAATTCCGGCTCCATACATTGTTTTACTCCTAAAGGTTGCAGCAAGCAAACCCCACATCAGCTAAGTTTTGGGAGCTCACGCTACAAATTTCTTTTTACAGATACATAGACTATATGCTGCAGTGCCTGTTTATTTTTTACTCTGTTTAGCTGCAACTTCACTTTTATTGTGCTGCATTTATATCGGTATATTTAGGTCAGCTTTTGAAGTTCACAACGTCATTTTTTTTTTTGTTGTTGTTGTTAAAGAAGATATTTAATTTGTGACAGCTTTTTAATCATTACCCTAAACATCAAACAGGTGAAAATGAAATATTATACACACAGCATTGAGAAATACTGTACAACCCCTGTGAGCAAAATCTTTTTTCCTTTTTTTGTTTTCTCCAACTCCAAATCAAACTGTTGTGTTTGGCTGCTTTATGGTGTTATTCATTCACCCATAACATTACATCACATGCTGTCATCCCTTTTAATCCTGTCATAAAGTCTCAAAGTCATCCCTTCTTTCTCCTGTTAAAAGCAAGAGAAAGACTTCAAAGATGGAGCAGATCTGCTGCTTGTTGTTTTTGTTGGCCTGTAGTTTACCCATTACTAGAAACACCAATCCATTTTTTCCCGATCCAATCCAAGGCTGACACCAATCCAATACAACTGTTGAATGAATGAACCATATACCTTGCCCTGTGAGTGAAGGCATTAGGCTTAAAATTAGCCTTGTTAAGAAAAAGGTAACAAATTAACACAGATATGAATGTACTTAATATTATTTATTAACAAATAACACATTAGCACACAGCAAAAATAAGTGAGACTTCCATGTATCAAAAGAAAAATTAATTAAAAGAAAAAAAAAGTGACTGGATTGGAACGCTGGATTGGCATCATTCATCCGATATCCGATCCAGTTAATTTGTCAATATCTGAGCCGATATCCGATCCAAATATCGGATCTGTGCATCCCTACCCATTACCTGACTTTAAACACTTCAAATACTGATATTAAAAATGGCTACTAGTGTCACCAGATAAAAGTTCAAAATAGAGGCTGTCTGGGTGCACATTTCCTCTTATTGAATTTGTCTGCTTGTCAATCATAATAAGAACAAGTGTGTCACAGAGGTTTGTGTGTGTTTGTGTGTGTGGGGGTTTGTGCATGTGTGTGCTTTCCAGTCCATGGGTCTGCTCTACTTTTCTTTAATTATCATAATTATTCCCACTGATAAAGACTGAATCACATCTGGCTGTTACGGGAATTAAATTTCATTCAGCTAAAATACTTTTTTTTTTTTTCTCTGTGTTGTCAAATGCTCCTCCACCATTTCCCAGCATGCAGAGTCAGAACACCTGAATGCAGATTAAAACTATTCGTACAGAGTTTTAGGTCATATACAGGTCATTGTCAGAGCCCCGTACTGATGGACGATTTGCCTCTCAGTAATATTATTGCATTGAACCTGTTTATCAGCTTTGTGACGCTGCAAATAGACCGTAACCTATTTATTTTGATAGGGACTGGGAGAGTGCTGGATTCAGCGTGTGAGACGAGCTGATCTGAGATCAACCTGGGCCAAATAAGCAGATCCAGTGAAAGCAGATAACTAGCGTCTGGCTGGACGTGTGAAGGGATCAATGCATTTCAGGACAGGAGGAGATGGAAAAGTCTCAGAGCTTAGTCAATCTGAAAGGGATACAATGGTATTTCTATGTGAAAAGGGGAACATAGAAATGTAATCCTCTCTTTGGAAAGCATTTTCAGTTATTAAAATATCAGACTCCCTTGCTGGCTGAAATGGGTGGGGGTGGTGGGATTTTTTGGTGGAAAGCCTTTCAGTAATGTCTTTATTTAGACTGTGGCTTTATTCTTTGATCAGATTACCTTTAAACTGTCTTTAGTCTTTGTTTAATGCCAGAGGAACAAAGTTTTTGATAAGAAAAACACAAATCTTTGTAAAAGAGATTTATTTCTAAGATTGATAGATGAGTGGATTAATTTATTCTTCATTTATTTTTCAATAATTTGACACAAGCTGACCCACAAGCTGTTCTTTAAAAGTTTAGCATCTCAATCACTAAGAGGGGTCTGGCTGCAGACCTCCACTGAGAGGAACCACCTCCACTGAGATCACCCGAGGTGACGTTTTTTTCTCACGCGCTCCAGTTTGTTTGAAGTGGTTAACCCCCTTTTGTATTTTGTCTTTATTGAACACATGAATACACAAAATACAAGATCCAAAGTCTAACTTTGATTTTTAAGAGGTCTATTATAAGAGTGATTTTAGAAAAATGACCCCTGACTCCACTGCTCACCTTCGCTCTATCAAACATTTTTGAGTTTTTGGTTCACGGACAGCTACATTGCTTCTCTTCTCTGTTTTTTTTTTTTCGGCAGCAGCTGAGAGCAGCTTCCACCCCAAAAAAAAAAACTAAAAACTTGAAACAATCAACTTTCTCTGCTCAACACCAGACAGGCCAATTAAAGGAGTAGTAGTAGTTTGTAAATATGTTTCATTCAGTGCATGATCAGATCATATAACAAAAAATTAACTCAGAGTAAGTGTTTTATATATCATAGGGGGTGGGCCTTCTTCCATGGAGGCTTCTTGTCTTTGGCAGCCATGATTGACTTGTGGGCTGGAGTGATGTGCAGGGGAGTGTTTAAATCTAATATCTGACCATTAGATATCTCTAATTTAACTGTTACTTCACACTTTATCTTTGAACAATCATTAAGCAGCCCTTGCCAAGCTTTTATGAGCTGAAGAGTTGTTTAAGAGGAAAACAGCGCTACACATTTGTCTGCTCTTATGAAACTCAACAGCAAATTAATGTAAAAGTGCCTCAAGGTTTTTTAAAGGGTAAAAATGTGCAAGTGAAGTGGAAAAAGAGTAAAATAGAGTAATCACACAACTCTAGACAGGTTTAAAAATACTAACAAAAAAAGAAAAGCAAAAAACAGGGAAACTTTATGATTTGGTTTACACATCTATCAAAAAGTGGGAGGAAGTACATTTTATTAAATCCCATGCATTCTATGTAAATTAGTAACATTAATTATAAAGATTCTTTATTGATATTAACCTACATAACAGTGCCTAGATGTTGTTCTAATACATTCATTGTTATATGATAGGATTAAATATAAATAGTAAACCAAAATGTAATTTTTCATTTATAAATCCTAATCAAAACGTACAAAATTCATCACTGACATACTAATCACCGAGAAAAAACAATCACTTGTTTGTTTGCCTATCAAAACACAGAGAAATGACGGATTTCTTTTATCCTATTAAAAATATATCTAAAGGAATGGGTATTTACAACTTACACACATAGTTTGAGATGAATTACATTTAATTTAAAATGTAATCAGTAAGATCAAGTCAGTTGGTCATTGTCACAAGTTATGGTCAACAAATTGAACTTGTATCTACTTTTAAGTATCTGGGGTTCTTGATTGATGACCACTTGTCTTTTAAGGCACAAATTCAGTATACTGTAAAGAAGCTGAAGCTTTTACTTGGATTTTACTTTAGAAACAAGATTTGCTTTTTTTTGAGGGTGAAACAGAAACTAGTGGAGTCAACCTTTCTTCCGATAAATGATTACGGTGATGTGTTATACATGAATGCCTCTGTTCAATGCCTTCACATGCTGGATAGTGTGTATCATGGTGCTCTGAGGTTTGTTACAAACTGTGGAGCTCTAACTCATCATTGTGTCTTATACAGTAAAGTAAACTGGCCATCTTTACATGTGTGCTGGCTCAGCCATTGTTGATTTATAAGGCTATTGTTCAGATGACTCCATCTTATTTATCATCCATCTTAATCTTGAATAAGAGGGCCTACAGTCTCCGCTCCTAGGGCTTTTATCATTTTACTGTTTGTAAGGTCAAAACAGAAATGGGGAAGAAAGCTTTTAGATTTTCTGCTCCGAGTACATCTTGCAATCAGACCTTAAACTCCAAAGTCTGGTATCTCTGAATGTCCATTCAAATCCATCAAATCCATTCCTTCAAATCCATGATAAATTCCATCACATCCAGGCTTCAGGAGTGCAAATGTTTTATTTGAGTGCAAATGTTTTACTAATCTTGTGAATTCTTTTAACTAATTGTGAAAATTCAATTATTACTTGTATTCTTTGTATTCTATATGATTAATGTGATTATGTATTGAAACTGTATGTGCTGCCATTCTTGGCCAGGTCTCTCTTCCAAAAGAGGTCTTAAATCACAATGGGACAAACCTGGTTAAATAAAGTTAATAATAATAATAATAATAATAATAATAATAATAATAATAATAATAATAATAATAATAAGTAAAACAATGAATATAATTTCCAATGTCAAATAAAACACATGTAGTCATATATGTTCTGGTTTATCTATACATATTTATACAAAGATACAAAATGACAAACCCTTTAATCTTAAGTCTTAGTCACAGAAAAAAATGGAGTTCAACAAATACTGAATAAATAACAAAAGAAACAAAAATTATTCACCAGATGATAGACAAACCTTTTTTTATGTACCTCATGGCAGTAATCTCTTTATACTGTGTACTGTTTTTGTTTAGATAATTCATTGTTAAACTTCACAAATATGAATACAGCAGTTTTTCCTCATTATATGAACACTCAGATATTTGAATTAAACTTCGCCTCCCTGAAAAGTTATTGATGGACTATTTCTATAGAGTAACATTTTTATGATTATTTTGATTATTATAGAGCCCTGCTTAACCTGTTACCATCATGCATCTGGATGCCAAAACTGACACTGACCAGGCGTTCTTAGCAGGGCGTTTAAAGATATACAAATAAATATATTTTTTTGGTGTAGTATTTTAAAGTTCCTACTAATACACATTTGTTGGCCAACTCGACTAAAAATGTTTTGAAATGTAACACACCACACACTTTTGCCTGAAGTGGTTTGGTTTTAGTGAAAAGTGTGGTAGCTGGCTGGCAGATGTCCATGCTTCGCAGTTTTCTTGAGTTCAGCTGAGGAAAACCTATGAGTGCGATCCCAAATCAGTGCTTGTGCTCCTCTGGTCAGGGCTACAGCCTGTGGACTTAATCCCTCTGACTCAGAACTACAGCTGGCCTAGTTTGATAGAAACAGTTGGATAACAGGAAGCTGCGGTTGGTGGTAGGGGTAAAACACATTTATAACATGTTTCTGGACCTCCCTTGGTGCCATCTTCCAATCAGAGAGTCCGTGGCCTTCCAGCTTCTGACTTAAGCCTTTATACATCTCAATCACACAATGTTTTGAATTAGAAAATGTAACAGAGCCTCGGTGATAGAGACCCAGATACCTGTGCCCTTGGTAAACAACACAAAGTCAATTATAAATTCTCGGTTTCTGAATGGATGTTATTTTCAATTTGACCTTTTACATTATTGGATCATCCTATCAGGACAAGGTTAAACAAAACCAATCTCAGGTTGTAAGTAGCCTTTGTGTTTAATCTGACATGTTGGGAATCTAATAATTTTATCTTTTCCTCCTATATGAAGTGACACGTGAAAATCCTGCTTTGAAATACTGGTGCTGTCTTGGTACCATCTTATCAGGTGAAAACCTGATGAAATCTACCCACATAAAACAGCCAACTGGCATAAAACAGTTTTCTGGTCTTTGGGGCTGTGCAATAAGTTGTTAAAGTCACATCGAAGCAATCACCTTATAGGTTATTCACACATCAGGACATGATTTTGGTATTTATTCATATCCACGTGAAGTACAGATCCGGTATTTGCTCCTCCTTCAGCTGCTTTAGCTGCAGATGTTTACTCCTTTTTGACTTGCATTGACTGAATGCAAGGGCATGAAGACAGAAATCATGATGGACTCTGGAGTGAAACCAAAACAGTAAGCTGAAAGGACACAAAATATTCAGTCGAACAAAATGAAATTTAAATTTATTGAGTTCTGTGGTATAAGCGACCTCTTTTGCCTTTCGATACGGCAATCTCAGTCATAGGTGGAAATAATTCAAACTTAATACTAAGAAATTTCAGTGGATATAATTTATGTATCACTGTAGTTCTCTTTTTGTCAACGAATCCAACAACAAGCTGCCATTGCAATGGTGGCATTCCCCTCAAATATGTGTGCTTGTATGTGTCTGTGTGTGTGTGTGTGTGTGTGCGCGCGCGCGTATGTGTACATATATATTTGTAGATAAATGTTCTAAAGAAGTGAACAACTTTCTACTTTTACCATCACTTTCACTTTCACTGTAACTTTACTTTTTATAAAAATCAGGAGGAACCTTTGGAGTTCTCATCTGCTTCAACAGCTGTGACCAACTGGTTATCCTTACAATAAACAGGGTTTTGCTATATGAAAAGCAGATATGAGGAGCTACTTTACATGGATTGCAAACTGACAAAGAAAAATGGGTGTAAACACAAATTGGTCATCTATTTTTTGTTTGTTTGTTTGTTGTTTTATTTGTTTTTATGCTGTCGAATTTACTTCGTTAATTTATACTGTTCTGTTCATATAAAGTTTCTGAGTTAGAACCAAATGCGGTAAAACCAGCTCTTGTTCATCAAATACGGTAGTAGTTTATTATAAACCCAGAAAAATGATGGCATAATTCACACTGAACATACAAACCTTGCTCAGTCATCTGTAACTAATACAGGTCGTTTTGATAAAATTCCTCCATCACGTCAGACCAAAACATGCCAAGAATAATGACTAAAGAATGTTAAACTAAAGAAAAAACTGGTCAACCAAAACCCTATGATCATTACACAATTATTAAAAAGCTAATTAGAACTGAGTAAGTAAGTGCTGTAACACTTGCACAAACTTTCTTACTCATCACCTGGCTGTGTTAAACATTTAAATCTAATTGGTTAAAACGCCATAACTAGGGTAACCGCTTTTGGCAAAAGTGACTCCAGGGATGACCACACAACTGCAGGTCATATCAAGGAAAGTCAACTGCAGAGACAAGAAGATAAAAAAAATGTCTTTTCTCAAATTAGGGAAAAAAATTGTGATGCTAAAACACACAAGGAGCTGAGTCAAAGGGACATCAACCAAATTGAAGAAAACAGGCAAGGAGCAACTGCAAACTGCAACCCAGTAAGGGCTTTAGCAGTGTTACAGGACCAGTGCTGCTGATATTTTATTTATCTGCTCCTGGGAAATGCTTGAGTTAAACTTTATCATGACTAAAAATGTTCAGTTCTGATAATGTCACGATTCAACAAAAACAAGGGAAGACCCATGTGCAGAACTGATAGTGTTTTATAAAACAAAAGACTATACTCGAAACAACAAAAACTTCTAACAGAAAATTTCTAACTGGAAAATCCAAATCCAATAAACCAAAATTCCCAGGAGCAAGCAAGACAATGAAATGAAAAGGCACTGGGAGAACATGAGGACATGTGGTAGGGTTGACAAAGCATGGGCAGCATCGACAGGTTTGCACATCATGATCCAACAAAGAAGGCGAAGACAGGGTCTATATACACACACTGGGTAACGAGCCAGAAAACACAAGGAGAGCCAGATCACAGTAAAACTGGATACACACATGAAACAGGAACACAGAGGAACTATTCACCAAAAATGACACAGAAAATACAAAAGAAGGAAAAAGCCAAAACCACAAGAATAAATCATGACAGCTACAGTAATTGTTGCCATGGTAGCACTGCCAACCTTTACTTTTTTGACAGAGTCAAATTCTTTCTATCTGAAGTTTTCATTTGGGGTAAAAAGTGGATATTGTACATTGAGCAGGGGAGTCTAGTCTAACCCTGTCAGGATTCAGTTTCCAATAACTACTTGCCCACTATACATTATCTATTACTTAGAAAAATGTTAGGGAGGAATCTTATCTGTTTACTAATTTCTTTTAATTTCTCTACTTACTTGTTCCTCCCTATTTCTCCACCCTCAGCTGTAAGTAAATTCTAGTACAGGAGAATCAGGATGAAAAGATGGCAGCCATGCTGTTACCAACGGGTCCTGTTGGCTTGCGGCGGTTCACTCGCGAATCCTTGGCTGCGCTGGAGCAGCGGCTTGTGGAGGAGCAGGCCAAGAACGCCAAGAATTGCCATGACGCTCACAGGAACGCTGAGCCACAGAAACCCAGGATCGACCTGGAGGCAGGCAAACAACTGCCACGAATCTTCGGTGACATCCCTACAGAGCTCATCGGGGTGCCACTGGAGGACATCGATCCATTTTACTACAAGAACCAGAGGGTGAGAGCAGATGTGTGTGTTTGTTAAGAGGGTTAAGTAGTGGTTTGAGGTTGGAAAGATAAAGGGCTCTATTTTCGTGCGCGCCGGTGAGGCGGCGGAGGGCGGCGAGCCCCGCGCAGTTGTATTTTCGTCTGGCGGAGCCCAGCGTAAGGCCAATTTGGTATTTTCGTGGCATGAGCCGCACAGAGGCGAGCCGAGATCCGCCAAGCTGGGCGTGGTGGTGTGGCAGGGGGAGGTGTCGACAGAATCAGCTGGCGCAGTGACATTTTCGTGCTCGCCAACGGCGTGTAAAGTGCGCTGAAAGCTCGCCGATTCAAACCTGGTCAGCTTTCAGCGCAAGGCGGAATGCAGCTGGTCTAGTAGTATTTTGGTAGACCGTCGGGGTATCGACATATGTCACTGATGCCTCACCGGCAGGTTTCCACAGTGTCAGGCACATTTCAGTGCAATAAATAATCATCATCAACTATTAATCTGAGTCAGCACATACATTTAGATCTATATCGATATATTCTGATCTATATGTGATCTGATGAGCGCGTTTGGCACGCGTTTGGACACACAACCTGACCGAATCAACACAGCTGAAACCGCATCAAATTAAATTAAATATCTAGTAAATAAACACACATGATGAAGTTAACTAGATATGTAATTCGTCTCCCTCCTTTTCTTTCTTCCTCTTATTTCTCGCACAGCTCGACCTGGACACGCCTCCGTGTCCTCTGTCTGTCTTGCTGCTGCTGCAGCTGAACAGATGATTTGTTTCAGTGCTCAGATGCGTTATCTACTTTAAGCCGACATACGGATATTATAATATTCAGTTTTGTGAGCCAAATTTATTTTATATGCCAACATCTATGAAAGAAAGAGCCAGGCCACGGAGCGCGATGCGTCATTTACGCACAGATGGTTCCGATTTTAATGCCATTTTTGGAGTTTATGTTGTGATCTGTGCGCTCAACCCACCTTTGTCACGTGAGGTTTGAATATGAGCAACTTTATGTGAGTGTCTTTATTTGTGGAAAAGGGTGTTTGTCTTACCAGTGGGTCCAACATTACGCACACTAAATCCATCTGTGCTCATATGAGAGAGTGTGGAGGACACATGTTGAGGAGCTGCCCTCTGTCGCCATCTTGTGGCATTACTGTCTTAAGACATCTCTTGATCTCTTTGACTACTTCATGAAAATAGTAATACGCCTCGCCTGTGGCAGATTTAAAGGCAAGGAGAGGAGCCTATGTGATTGGTGAAAACAGGTCTCGGCTGTGTTAAACCCACTTCACGCCCTTTCTCCTCCCCGTCTACGACTTATGGTGCTGGGAGGAGCTGAGTTAGGGAGGGGGGATACTTACGCCGGGCTGCGCGGCTCACCAAAATACCAAAATGTGCTTGGGAACGCCTTGTCAGCGCGGCGGATCTGACTGACGCTGCGCTTGCGGCACGTCTCCGGCGAGGCACCAAAATAGAGCCCAAAGTGTTAAATACTCTGATTTGGTGTACCAAACTGAACAGATGAAGTATTATTATGGTGTCTTTGTTGTTAAGATAATTCCCTGCAGTCTAAAAAACAGACTCTAAGTCAGATCATTTCAGGTTGTAGAGATTACAAAATAAACAACTTCCTTTTACAGAAGAAAAAAGTAGAGTACAAGTCTATTTAGTGTTTGGTAGGTGGCCCATTGCCTGCAACCAGTTTGCTGTGACTTGCACCATCTACCACTTCTTTATCTACCTATCTCATATCTTTACTACTCTTCATATTCAGGACTGCAGGGGGGCTGTAGTCCCAGTTGTCAATCTTATATCACAGGGCTAATATATAGCATATACCATTTGCACAAATTTACACCAACAGGTAATTAAGTGTCACCATAAAGCTATCAAGCATGTCTTTGACCTGTGGAAAGAGGCCAGAGCACTCACAGAGAGCTCATACATGCACAGGGAGAACATGCAAATTCCTGCAGCTGGGGATTTGGACCAGGAACTTTTCAGCTGTGAGGAAACACTGCTATTCACTCCAGCACCAGGCTGCCAAAATAGATACTCACTATCTTAACTAGATAGATAAATAAATAAATGACTCCCACAGTTCTTCTCTCAATGCAGTTTTATGACCTTATATGACCTTATCGCTTGCCAACTGTTTCTTTCTATCCATTTAATTTAGGTTACATGGGTGACTGGTCGTTCATCATCTGCATTATAGATGTGTGAGGGATGTTATTACTGTCATTACTATTTTTCTTTATGTCTTCCTGCATGTTTATTTCACATCTGGATTTTGAACACGATATGACAGTGATCCACCTCTTTCAGCTGAGGTTTTTACTGAATTCACCAAGTGGTGTTTTAGAGCAGCTCTTGGAGATGAGAGGAGAGCGACCGCATCTTTTTAGATCTCTTGTGGACACACAAATAGGATTAACAAGTTTTGATTTGCAGAGTAGATCAGGCTGCTGCCCGTTAATGGGCCGCTTACGGAGAGATGAAAAAAGGACGTGGCAGTCATTCTCAGGGTCTCTTTGTTTTGGCATGTGATGTGCTGCTGGATGGGAGGATTAACCAAAGACGAAAAAATATTTAAATAAATGCCACATCTGTTGGGGAAAGGTTCAGCCCGCTTTGGAGTTGCCTCCATTATCACAACTGGCCTGGCCTGTTGCGTGTATGTGTGTTCACTGCTTTCTTTGAGGCAGGGGAGCTTGTACTGGAGGTCAACACAGATGTTAGACAGAGTGGTAGAGTCAACACAACGGTAACATTAATACCCCTCCACTGCTGCAGAGCGCTGCCATACAGCTCCTCTGCTAAAGGAAAAAAAAGAAGATGGGAAAATTGGTGTTAGAAGTTTATTCTTTCCAAATTACTTGTAATAAAATGCTAACTTACAAAATATGGGCAATATGTTTTTTCTCACTAATAATGTTTTTTTTTTTCTCTGTTTTCTTTGCAGACTTTTGTAGTACTAAACAAAGGGAAGGTCATCTTCAGATTCAGCTCCACATATGCACTTTACATATTATCTCCTTTTCACTTCCTCAGAACCATAGCCATAAAAATCTTGGTTCATTCATATCCTTTTTCAGCGTCAACAAGTTTTTTCTCTGCCAATGAAGTGTAAGTTTGTGTTTGACAGAGTGGCCAAAGCTTTCCTATTTTACTTCCATACATAAACAATTCTGTTTTTTTTTTTTTTTCAGAAGTTTGTGACAGAGTATCAGTTTTAAAATACTGCCATTACTTAAAAAAAAAAAATAGCTAAGCTAAAAAAAAAAGCAAAAAATAAGGACGTTTAGACATTTTGATAGTGAATATACGTACAAGAGGGGGCTGATAATCCAGCTCCCAAAAACTATCTCAAAGTAAGGTATAATCGTGAAAGCACTTTGTCAAAACGATTAATAAACTGTGAGTCAGACTGTCTGCTTTGCACTGAATACGGTGAAAAGTTTCCTCCAAAAACTGAGAGATCTTTTGGCTTCAACTCCCTCCACCTTAAACTGGTGGATAAGCCAATTTTCTAATATTTACTGTTTTCCCCTGTAGGTTTCTATTGGATTTTTCCATAGTCCCATTTTTGAAACAGCTTTGTAATGGCCCTCTCTGGCATCGCAAAACAAATCCCCTGATATCCCTCTTTTAATCTCTGAAATGAAATAAGAGCAAGGAGATTTCAAATCATGTGACGGCTGCCTATTAGTTCTCAGACAGCCCATTTGTACTTTACATGCAGGAGGGAATCTTTCTACTGGATCTCATCCGTGATAAAGATTACAATCAAACAAATATTGATTAGATTATCTCTTTAAATTGCATGTAAAAATACTAATTCCTTTTAACTGATCGACACAGCTGCTCTGATGAACTCTTCATGTTGTAAAAACCGCTTTTAAAAATCACATTTTTAAAGAAACTGGTTTCTTTTGGAGGATTGTTTTGCTACTATTTTAATGATCTTATCCTGGAAAGTGTAAACATTTCAATGACCTTCAAATCTTTAAATATTCAGAGTCAACAGGGCCTTTGTTGTTGTTGTTTCATTCATCCATTAAAAAATGATATCACTCTCCTGATTTGATGTAAAATGGAATTAACTTACATTTTCCATAATCTGCATTTACTTAAGGTTTAATGCCTTTATCACGCATAGTGATGATTTATCCTAATGGGTTCGCTGCTGTTTCAAATGGATTACATAAATATTGTGTCATTGTGTGAGATACTCTGTGTCAGCTTACCATGGAAATAACGTATTGACTTAAAACTGTAAATGACTGTTTTAGAGTTCATTTTCCTTAACCTCTGTCCTACTTTATTCAGCCTGTTCATAATGTTCACTATTCTGACCAACTGTTTCTTCATGGCCATGTCTGATCCGGCACCATGGACCAAGTACTTGGAGTAAGTGCACAGTATTTAGTATTAAAGCACAGGTTTTAGACAGAAATAGATACAGCAGCACATGTGATCTAATGTTAAGTTTAATACTGAGGTTTATTGTTTTGTCAGTGGTGATTGAAGAATCGTTAACTTGTGAGTATATGATGCATGTAGTCTCACCTCAGTCAGACTTTTTAGTGGACATTATTAAAACAAGCATGTGTTGTGGAATGAAACATAACTATTTCATCTTCAGAAAACAGATTGTTGTACAAAATAGAGAAGCTAAGTTGTCATCAGCATTTGTTCACAGGTGTTTTGAGCATGCAGCATGTTAAAACACGTTTGGTTTATCGGTACCATTAATGTGGCATCATAAATTCCTACATGTTCAATTGAAAATAAGAAATGGTTTAGATGGTGTAGTGAGTTAGCTGATAAGACCGATAGCACTTTCTATTTTTGTGATAACAGCAAATCAACAACTGCAACTTGATTAGCGAAGCATAGCCCAATGATAGAAAACATGGGGAGTTATTAGCCTGGTTACGTGTCAGCAAAGGTAAACTGAGGCTTAGTGCAGCAAACACAGTCTTATTTGAACACTCCAGTCTGGCAAAAATGACATTTATTGACTGCGATGAAGGCCTTAGTGTAATATTGACCTGGATAGGCTCTTTAAATTTTAGCATGGTGGTATTTTCAAATATGTAAAACTCATAGAAACAGAGCACACATTATACGTGTTAATTTAGAATTTTTAGCCATGTGATACAATACTGAGTGGACATGAATGTCAATTTAACTATTGGCCCATGTATTCAATTCTGGACTGAGAGTTTGTACATTACTCATTCTTTTATTCCACTCATTTGCTTTTCATCCGCATAGATGTGTTTACATTCATTGTGAGCTTTGTGATCTTGTACAACCCCCCAAAACAGTCAGGATGCTGCGTAACATGTTCACCAGAAACAAAGCCAGATGGTTTGCAAACCATTTAAAGCCTATTTTAAATAGAAAATAATGCAGAGACAACATTAACTATTAAAACTGAAAAAAGTTGTTTGAAAAATATTGGAGCAGGGTCAACAAAACACTGTAAATGTGTGTAGATCTAGAGAAAAAAAAACTGGAGGAACATCTTTCGACATACTAAATTTATTTACCACAGGTTAGTAACACGAGTGGGTTTCAAATGGGCACTCAAAAGAGGCAGAGTCTCTCTAAAGAAAGACAGAGGAGGAAGAGATTGAGAAACCATGGGAGTAAATAGTTCAGCAATTTCAGAATAATGTCCCTGAGTGAAAAAAATCAAAGAATTTAGAGATTTCCTCATCTGTACAAAGATTTCTTAGAGAGTCTTGAGAAATTTTTGTACAAAAAGGGAAAGACCCAAAACCAATTCTGGAAGGATGTGATCTTCTGGCTCCCAGTCTCTGCAGTGGAAGTCACTGCACTTCTATTTACCTGAGCCCATTTGAGATGGACTGAGAAAATATGGAAAACTTTGCTGTGGTCTGACATTAAAAAATGTTCTTTCTTTTTGGAAATCATGGACACCACATCCTCTCCTTTAAGGAGGGGAGGGACCACCCTGCTCTTTATCAATGCACAGTTCAAAAGCCAGCATCCATGGTATGAATGGGAAGACACCATTACTACTGAAATGATAAATACAGGTTACTTTTAAAAACTTCTGAAACTAGTCTCTTTGGTTCCTAAACTTTAACCGACAGTTGTTCAAAGAAGAGTTGTAATAAAATAATGACAAAGCACCCCTGCCCCAGCTGCTTTCAAAAATGTCCCTGGCATCAAATTTAAGATGAGCATCTGTTTTTCATATGACAACAACATGTTTCAGTTTCAAAACTTTACTTATTGTCTTTGCACTATTTTCAATTAACTGTGCTACAGATGATTCATCAACTTTCGATACTGTTAAGTCTAACTCTTGTAGAACTGGGGTTGTACATCTTTCTGAGCTAACACAGCTAACAGGGTTTTCTCCTCATCTCAGGTATACTTTCACTGGCATCTACACTTTCGAGTCTGCGATAAAGATATTTGCAAGAGGATTTTGTATAGTACCGTTCACCTTCTTGAGAGATCCATGGAACTGGTTGGACTTCTCGGTTATTGTCATGGCGTAAGTAACAATATCATTTACATACACACTGACAATCCCTCTCGCCCTTACATTAAGCTAATGTGTGAGAGGAAACTACCAGAGAGATGTAAATTAAACCGTGTCTTCACATGTTCAGTGGGAAAGTTTTTCTGCAGACTTTGGTGAGGGGCAGTAAGTGTTTCCTGATGTCTGTAATTTGAAGCTTTGTCAAAGGGAACATGGTCAGTAAGTCTTTCTGAATGGTGATTTGAAACACCGTAAACCACAAGCTTATTGTTGAGGTCAGAGGTATGTGTGCCATGACTCAATACCCGTGATGCAGGCAGCAGATTAGACAGGTGACCTCTCATTGTATTAAAGCTGCACTGTTCAAGCCCAATCATGTTGATAGGATGTCTGCTTTGTTTGAAAACAGCCAGACAAATCCTTTTTTCGACGTGTAGACACACCAAAAGCTGCCATCACCTGAAAGAGTAATTTGTTTTGATTGATGATGGTTCACTCAGCTAATTCAGAGGTAATTTCCATTCATTCTATTCTATTTGATTTTAACTGCTGAAGAGACTTGAATCAGTGTTTTACATGTTAGCAAAGACTGACAGAAAGGCCCCTTAATTCAGTTTGCATTTGGGGCGGATTTTTTCTTGGGCAACATTAAAGTCAGTCAGTTTTGAGTCCCTGTGGGTACAAGATGTGCTCAGGTGGTCAGACTGGCTCTGGGTCCTGTGCCTGTTGTTACAGTGAATGAAACAGATGCGCTCATGTGATGTACAGCCCACCACAGTGTAAAGCATCATCATACAAATGCATAGCAAATCACATTATGCACTGGCATCGTTGGAGGTGCGACAGGCCAAAGGCCCAGCAGAAAGACCACCTTACTGTGATGAATAATGCAACATCACAGTAGGTAAGGTACCTACACTGCGAACTGCAGGCTGCAGTGGGAGGTACTTCATCAAAGTCATGAAAGGGTGGGACTTGTGATGTCATTTGTTTTCAAAAAAGTTAGAGATCTACACAGAGGGCTGACCAACTACAGTTGGTTTTAAGGTACAATTTCCAAGTCTGCTGATATTCCCATGATTGGACTCGATTCCTCTCCATGTTTTAAAGTTTTCTCTATGAAATGATCTTGGATCAATGCAAAATTTTACAGATACAGAACATTTTAAAAGGCTCAAAGGTCAGTTTTGAGGTACAGCTTTTGTAGGTGAATCATCCTGAAATTGAGGTTGTCAGTGCTGTTGACATAAAAAAAAATCACCACTGAACACAAGCCCTTGAAGTCACTGCAGCATTCAATGAGAACTATACTTTTTTGTGACTTTAACTATTAAAAAGTTTCAATAAAAACTCACTCTGATTTTAATTTCTTTAGAAAATCATTAAAAAAATTTTGATGTATGCCTGCTCTATCTCCCTGCTAAGTCTCAATAACCTCCTTTCATGATGTTGCAGGTATGTGACAGAGTTTGTAGACCTGGGAAACGTCTCAGCTTTGAGAACCTTCAGAGTACTAAGAGCGCTGAAGACCATCTCAGTCATCCCTGGTGAGATATCCAATAACTCAGAGCTCTGACCATGTGTCTCTGTCTCCCTACTTTTCCTACATCAGTTAAAACACAACTCTGTTTGTGTTTGTGTGTTTCTAACACTACTGACGTTTCATCTCCTCTCTTTCTTAAAGGTCTGAAAACGATTGTTGGGGCTTTGATCCAGTCTGTGAAGAAGCTGGCGGACGTGATGATCCTAACAGTCTTCTGTCTGAGCGTGTTCGCCCTTATCGGGCTGCAGCTTTTCATGGGACTGCTCCGACAGAAGTGCATCCGCAGCCTCTCACACTGTATCAACGCCTCCTACAGCGCCAATGCATCATTCATCTGCAACAACAGGACCTGGAGCTCTAGGGCCGACTTTCTCAACAACGAAGGTCAGCCAAACATGGAAAAAAAATTCACCCATGTGCAGTGATCTGACTGTTTCTTTGTTTACATTAAAAATCTCCTGTTTCCCCTTTCCTCTAGATAATTTTTACAAAGTTGAAGGAGCAAAGGATGCCTTAATATGTGGCTATGGAAGTGATGCAGGGTAAGTCAATGTTTGCCCTAGTTTCCCTTGTTAATCGTCTGCAGATGATTACATAACACTCAAATGTTTAACATAAGGACTTTTCATTCTGTGCATGTCATGAGCAGAATTGGATCCAGAAGCTTGAGCATCAGGCTTGGTGCAAACAGTTTTTCTCAGATTGAGAAAATAACTGATGCCACAATAGATGCTGAGCCTAAAGCCTTATAAATAAAAGACTTATCAGCGTAAGGTATAGAAATGATCTGGGTGGTTTAGCGTGCGAGAGGCTGTGCACATACGACATGTGGTATGGATAATCACCCCAGTCTCACTGGAGCCTTTTGCTGAGTTACATGGAGTTGCCAGCTGGAGAGAGAGGTTGGGTGGGTGGGAGAGGAGGGGTCGTTGGAGATTTCATCATCTCAAAAGCTCCATGACATGATTAGGTTGTCCGGAGCGGATCACTTCAGATTGTTTTTCTGTTATTGTTAAGAGAAGATACTGCACTGACATCTTCAAGTGGTTCTTTCTGTTTGTGTCTTTGTGAAGTACCAGGAAAAACTCACCATTTGAGTTTCAAACGTCAGGAGAAGACATTCTGTCTGTGGAGTGTTGGACTTTGTTTCCAATCAAGAGCGCAGTGTGAAACCATCCAAATATTGCTACTCAGCCTAGGCGCTGAATAATCCTATAAATCCAAATGCTTTTGAAACAAGCACAACAGGATGAACCTGCCTATGCCAGGCTCAGTTCAAGGGTTATTGTGAACTAAATACCCATCTGTGTGGATCCAAAATCCTGCAGCTTCAACAAATGACTTCCATTAGGTGCTCCTGTGAGTGATAACAGATAACAGATGATAGAAAACAATAAAAATGGGGATGATATTGATAATTAGAAATTTTGGTAAGGCATTTAAAAAGTCAATATAGAACCACATTGTTTTTAAATGCCTTAACAAAATTTCTAATTATCAATATTATCCTTTGATGATTCATTACAGAGTTATTTTATAGGTTTTATTTGAATTGGTGCTCAGACCAGCAGCTAGCAATAATCACAGTCACAGCAGCAATGATACATAACTAGATGCTGTATTAAACATGCTCAATGACTTAAATAATTGATTTAAGTCCTTCATATGTCAAACTTGTTAGTTATTTTAACTTCTATTTAATAAGCAACAGTAACGTTGTCTTCTACAATGCCAAAATCATACAAGTTTCAAAGCTTCAGTGGTATAAAAACAAAAAGATACAATGATTAAACAATCCAGAAGAAACACATGTTTAATGTTGTAAAAACTGTACCTGTTGGGATGCCACTGACCCAGTGGTCTGTTCATGTGCCCCATGTACAGGGGTTATGCCTGAAGTGGCCTGGATTTACTTCCAGTCTGTGGCTCCTTTTTCTCACAGTTCTCTTTCCCTGTTTCCTACTCTGTTCACTCCCCTGTCCTCTCCAAATAAAGGTACAAAGCCTGAAAATAAATCCTAAAACCCCCCAAAACAAATGTACCTGTAACTAGCAACCATGTCCTCTGATCAGCTTATGGAAGATGCTAAACAATAATCCCACATAAATTCACCACCATGAGACGGTATTACGGGGGAAAAAAATGTGAAATTGGTTGCTCAGTTGGTAAAACATGCTACATTTATACAGCAGCTTTAGTCCCTAACATATTGGCTGTTGGTTTTAGCCCTCTATTACATGTCTACAACATTTTCATCTGTCCTACCAGTTTTGAGTCAAATGGCCAAAAAAGCAAATCCTTTTGAAAACCTTTTCAGATAAATTCATATAGTTTTTGAGCCCAAAGAATTGATGTTTGTCATTCAATGGCTAAATTATTCGATATGATATTCAGTGGCAGGTCCCCTACCACACAAGCCACCATCTTGTTCTGGCAAGTTAGTTAGTTAGAAACACTAGCTGCACTTGTTTTTTTCTTTTCAGAAAAAGGCCAGCACGTGATAACATTTCTGTAACACTGAAGATGTTTACTGTTCATGTGAAAGGAGACAAATTTGTATCATTTCCCAGAGAGGCATGGTAAACTATTTTGCATGAATTACCCCCAAACCTCCTTTTCTGGTAACTTTTAGGTTAATGAGATCTTGTATCTTATTGCTGATTTAGGATAGCGTGAGTATTTATTTGCACAATGTGTAACCCACCCACCCATTGACATTGACATTGAAGAGTTAAAGACTACACTGTTACAGCAGTGAAATGGGCTTGCTAGGATCTTTCTCACTGTTTCTGGTGAGGTTCCAGGTAGCAATAGGAATATAAACATACCATATTGTGTTTTTGTTGTTGATTAGACAAATAAAGGGTTTTAAACCTAAATTCTAAAGCCCACACAATATTATTCCATTTCAATATTGATCATTATTTATCAAAAGCCTTTCAAACACTGTCCTAGCCATCCAAAACTATACTCCCTGGGTGAGAGGGACAACGCATAAAAAAAACCTAAATCAAAAAGAAGCACAAATAAAACACAGTTTTTCTGATTTTGTTGCAGTAATGAACCGCATTCAAGTTTTAGATCAATTATCCCTATCTCTAGACACTTTACCCTTAATATATGTTTTAAGGATCTGTAGATGTGAATGCTCAATAAAAGTGTCTTGTGAAATTGTGACACACTGGGCTCTATTTTCGTGTACGCTTGTGAGGCGGCGGAGGGCGGCGAGCCCCGCGCAGTTGTATTTTCGTCTGGCGGAGCCCGGCATACAGCCAGTTTGGTATTTTTGTGGACTGAGGCGCACGGAGGCGAACCGAGATCCGCCAAGCTGGGCGTGGTGGCGTGGCAGGGGGAGGTGTCGACAGAATCAGCGGGCGCAGTGACATTTTCGTGCTTGCCAGTGGCGTGTAAAGTGCGCTGAAAGCTCGCCGATTCAAACCTGGTCAGCTTTCAGCGCAGGCAGAGCGCAGCTGGTCTAGTGGTATTTTGGTAGACCGGCAGTGTATCGGCATACGTCACCGATGCCTCACCGGCAGGTTTCCACAGTGTCAGGCACATTTCAGTGCAATAAATAATCATCAACAACTAATAATCTGAGTCAGCACATACATTCAGATCTATATCGATATATTCTGATCTATATCTGATCTGATGAGCGCGTTTGGCACGCGTTTTGACACACAACCTGACCGAATCAACACAGCTGCATTAAATAAAATTAAATATCTAGTAAATAAACACATATGATGAAGTTAACAAGATATCTAATTCGTCTCCCGCCTTTTCTTTCTTCCTCTTCCTCTTATTTCTCGCACAGCTCGACCTGGACACGTCTCTGTGTCCTCTCTCCGTCCTGCTGCAGTGGCGGCTGAACAGATGATTTGTTTCAGTGCTCAGATGAGTTATTTACTTTAAGCCGACATACGGATATTATAATATTCAGTTTTGTGAGGCAAATTTATTTTATATGCCAACATTATTTTACATGCCACGGAGCGCGATGCGTCATTTACGCACAGATGGTTCCAATTTTAATGCCATTATTGGAGTTAATGTTGTGATCTGTGCGCACAACCCACCTTTGTCACGTAAGGTTTGAATATATGCAAATTTATGTGAGTGTCTTTATTTGTGGAAAAGGGTGTTTGTCTTACCAGTGGGTCCAACATTACACACACCAAATCCATCTGTGCTCATATGAGAGAGTGTGGAGGACGCCCAATGCAGCGCTTACAGTGACACTTGTTGAGGAGCTGCCTTCTGTCGCCATCTTGTGGCATTACTGTCTTCAGACATCTCTTGATCTCTTTGACTACTTCATGAAAATAGTAATACGCCTCGCCAGTGGCAGATTTAAAGGCAAGGAGAGGAGCTTATGTGATTGGTGAAAACAGGTCTCGGCTGTGTTAAACCCACTCTCCGCCCTATCTCCTCCCTCGCTACGACTTAAGCTGCTGGGAGGAGCTGAGTTAGGGAGGGGGGATACTTACGCCGGGCTGCGCTGCTCACCAAAATACCACATTGTGCTTGGGAACGCCTTGTCGGCGCGGCGGATCTGACTGACACTGCGCTTGCGGCACGTCTCCGGCGAGGCACGAAAATAGAGCCCATTGAGTCTATTTAAGATGTCTTGAAATCTCAATGTTGAATATTTTCTGTTGATGTAAAACAACATTAAACACACAACCATGCGACTAGCTAGCAGTAGCCCTTGACTTTAAACACAGACTGAAAATTTGACACATGGTTTGTATAAAGTATTTTATGTCAAAATGTTTATACTAAATAACAAAATGTTTATAATGCCAGAGGTTACTATAAATTAACAGACTCCAATGAGCCTAGGTTCATTGTGGTGAGGTTAAAATACAGAGAATTTTAGCTTATGTTAATATGTCTCTGCTAACAGGCAAGACAATAAACTGACTTGCCTAAGGACATATAAGCTCATTTTTAATCATATATTGTGCACTTTTGATTTAAGAGTATCTAAAGTCTCTCTCTCTCTTTTATTTAGCAAAAGTATCAACACAGGGGAGGTGGTTGAACATTTTTATTGACTGCAGACTCTCCTGGCCTTTAATCTCCTCCTGTGACCTCTCCTCCATAAACATGGGAACTTAATCTTCCACAAGTAAAATCAGACTCAGTGATTCAGCATGGAAGTTAAAGCTTCAAGTGGATATATCTGAGTGCGTTCATTGGGAAATTACATCATTATACTCTGGTAAACAGTAAGCTAGGTCAGTAAGACTTGTACCAGGTTGACCTATCCAGCTGTCCCAGTGTTTACCTACCAGTCACACTGCAAGTGGATTGTTTCAGATTTGTTGGCTGTTTGTTTTTGTTTGTGCCTTTGGTGGAGCTGTAACAGTGCACTGAGATCGACCTTTAGGTTAATTCACTTTTAATCTGTTTTCTTTTTCTTTGTTGGTGCGATTATGGCTAATTGGACATGTTGATGTAAAGGGAGGAGTCAGGCAGTTTGTCTCCCTGAGGTTTGATTTTGCTCTGTCATCACTAAGGATTTGGTTATTATTGATTTTTTCTTTTCTTTTTTGTCAGGTAAATGTCAACAACGAGACAAAATGATGCAGGTTTATGATAGATTTGTCTTGTTAAAGTTAAAATAAACATGGAGGCTCATGTGTCTGTTGTGCCTTTTAGCTTCAGTGAGAATTTAGAGGAAAACTTTCTGAGGCTGGCTGTGGAGACGAGCAAGATATTAAGCAGGTCAGGATGGAGGACGTAAAACATAGAGGATGCTTAATCTTTTGAGTGTATTCCAACAAGTAATCCCTGAGTAGATTTCCAAATTAAAGCTTTGGATACGTTATGATGGCACACAGACACACACATGCATGCACACAAACACACACTGACACAAGTGGGCACACATGCACACGCATTTTCACATGATATTTTCAGCCTGGATGGTTAACAAGTTTGTGATAAATGATTTGCTCAAAGGACCAAGCTGTTTCTCATCGCGCCTACTGTTGAGTTCAGGCAAACGCTTATCCCCTTGCATCTTAAAGCCACTGTGCATCAAGGATTAGGACTTTCAACAACTGCCCTTGACTGCACTGCTGCAGGCATGGACACCCACAACAAGCCAGACAGAGAGCAAACACTTTGCTGCAGTTGGCAGATGTTTCTCTGTTGTCTTGTCAAAAAAAAGCTGCAGAAAATCAATGTTTTACTCTCTAAGTATAAGGTCATCATGTCTTCATTACAAAGGTATAAAAAACAAAATGTTACACACATGCAATCATGAAAAGGGCATGAGAGAGCAATCCATTAACACTGCAATAAAAAATTATATTTTTAGATAACACAACTTTGTGATTGAAAATGTTTAAATGTAAATACTACACTTGAGTTGGCAAAGTTCTTAAATGTTTCTTCAAACCTGAAAGTTTTGGTTCTGTCGCTTAGTGTTTCTTATTGAATTTTGCCACTTTAACTCTCTCTTAGACACAAAGACAACCTTCAGCAGCCGTGCTTCACGCTAAGGAGGCTGATCAGGTCCCTAAGCGAGAGCATGTGGTCTGCAGCTCCCCTTGAGGAGCTTTAACTCCTGAAGATAAAACCTCTGCAGGGGCTGTCTCTGGGGCAGTCACTATGGAAACCTGAGTGGTAGTCACTCTAAAGGGGCCTTGTTTTTACAGCAGCATCTAACACTCATATATTTGTTTAAGTGACAGCATCAGCCAGCAGTGTGACAGCAAGCAGCAGCTACATCAGACATGTAGGAGTCAATTTAAGGGCATGGTGGCACACTCACTTGCTGTGAGAGGTTCATTTATTCAGCTTCATATGTTGTTATTAGATTATTAATTTGAGAAAAAATCCTTATTTGTTTTCCTTCAGTCATATTACTTTCAGGAAATTGCCATGATCACTTTCAGCATGTCCCACTCTCTACTTCCCATATCTTCTCTCTTCAGCTGTTTTTGCCAGTAAAGGCCTAGATGCCCCAAAAGAACTCTCTTTTTTTTGACTGATTTCTTGTTTGAGTGTCAATCAGACTGAACTGTTGTGACGATGTCTTTATAATAAATTTCTCAGTTAATTCACCAAATAAACTGCAACCTGCAGCATGTAAAAACTTGATTACCGTTCAAAGGTTCAGTGGGTAGAAATGGGAATATTTAGTGATATTTAAGGGACAGACTCTAGGCTGAAATGATACCCTTTATGAAGAGATGGTGGCTGTCAAGTACAAAAAGCTCCTGTGATGTGTGATTGTCTATTTGGTAAGACGAGCTCATCAAAAAAGTCTTACCAGCTGGCCTTGTGTGTGTGTGTAAATTTGTCATATTGAACAACAGAGAGGATCAGGCTGGTGTTGAGTTCAGCAGCACAGCGGAGAGAAGGAACAGCCTGACAGGAAGATGTCGCTGGCCTCACGCAGCCTCGTCTGTCCTCATGCTGGATATTAGTGAGCGCTCCTGCTCAGCTGGCTGGTTGGTGAGATCTACAGCTGTTCATGCAGCAGCGCTCGGCTGCCCAGCTGTTTCCAGCCATTACAAAATTACTCTGCAGTCTGATTGACATGGCCGTCCAGCTTGTTCTCAGCTGCTGGACTTAAATATTTGCTGTAATGCCACTGTGCTCACAATGAAGATCAGAGATGGAGGCACGGAGCTGAAAATTTGTATTTCACATTATTTATTTCATTTGCACTGCAGTTTGAAATCCATCTGGCTCAGTGTAATCCCTTTTGCTGCAGTGCTTTTGAGTGCTCCTGCCGGGTACGAATTTCAAGTGCCCTCTTCAGTTGAAATAATGGTGTTGGTAGCAGAGTGTATGTACTTACTGACTCATCCGCTCCTCCCCACTGTGGAGTCAGAGGCCACAGACCTACATGTAGATACTGGAGATGTTTTTAACTTGGCCTGCACGCTACCACTGCTGTATCTGTCCCAGCTGCCTTTGACTTAGTAGTGCATGGTTTTTGTTTTTTCTGTGTTGTCCCATATTCATCTCTGCTCTGTCTTTGACTGTGTGTTACAGAAAGTGTCCTGATGGATTTGACTGCCTAAAAGTGGGGAGGAATCCAAACTACGGCTACACCAGTTTTGATACATTTGGCTGGGCTTTCCTGGCCCTCTTCAGACTCATGACACAAGACTACTGGGAGAAACTGTTTCACCAGGTGACTTTTTATAGGTTTCAGTCATGAGTGGGGCTGAAAAACACTTATATTGAGATATTTTTACTCTCTGGGATGCATTGTTATATATGAAAAAAGAATTTCTGAAGCATGACTAGGGATAGCTTACTCCCACAGTCTGCTGGCCTGACCTAATAAAAAAAATAAAGACAACTTTATCATCTGCATTTGCAAGCAAAATACAGAAATTTATCCTTTACTTGTATGTGCAAACATGGCCCTGTTAGCACTAGAATGAGAGCTCATTGTTTGGCGTTAAATGGTAGTACAGTGTCACATTGATAGATATGCAGAAAGATTCAATTTCGCCATTTCATACCCACCAAAAAGTGACTGATTAATGGAAGACACCTCTGATTAACAGATATAAAACGAGCGCACACTTATGACGTGTGCAGAGAGAATCACACAGATGTACACTTGAGATTTAAGTTTCATTCAGCTACAAAAATACACCCACACAGCCCACATTTATCATGCTAAGTGCATGATGCAGTTTCTCAACATCAATGAAATTAAAGATTCTATTTAGTTATTTTACATCATACAAGAGTATTGTGTTCTCATTTACGTGTCAGTACAGGTGGATGTAAAATGATGCATCAATGCAATGAATGAATTATCACACCTCTACTCAACATACTGTGTAAACACCTGTGTACAGCAACTTGGTAATGAGGGTGAAAACACATTATTTAAGTATAGTTGGCTTTAATTTCCAACATCCTTATCTATTTGATGAAACACTGATTGTCCACAGTCACTCAAGTCACACAAAATACCTGTCATGAGACACTCTTTACCATGACACATACACACATAATCTCTACCCATGATGACAGGTCTCATCCTGAATTCACTCCTGTTGATATAAGAGTTTGTTCAAAGATATGATTTAGAGAGGATAAAAAAATTGTGAGAAAATGAGCTAATAAAACTGATTAAAACAGCGGGGAAAAAAAACAGAACAAAGGAGTGAAGAAAGCAGCTAGCTGTGTGTGGAGAGCAGGGCTGTGTGTGAGGGTTGGTGAGGTGATCATGTTAAAATAAACTAGTTTGGGAATCACCTCTTAAAAAGCTGAAAACAGGGTCATATTAAAATATTGAAGGTTACTCGTATCCTTCAAAAATAGGGTAATGCATCACATCTACCTGCAGTGAAGTGTGATTAAAATGTGATCAACTGTAATTAATGACTCAGAAAGCATGTAATCAGTCATATCCCTCAAACTCTTAACAGCACTAGTTCAAAAAAAGAGTTTGTCACAGATGTGAACATTAGGAGAACACGTCTAATTCAGTGTCCTGCTTTAACACCTATACCCTCAGACTCTGCGCTCTGCAGGGAAGACCTACATGGTTTTCTTTGTGCTGGTTATCTTCCTGGGCTCCTTTTACCTGGTCAACCTGATCCTGGCTGTGGTGGCCATGGCCTACGAGGAGCAGAATCAGGCAACCATCGCCGAGGCCTGGCAGAAGGAGAGGGAGTTTCAGCTGGCCATGGAGCACCTTCGCAGAGAGCAAAGAGTGGGCAACACACACACACACACACGCACGCAGGCACACACACACACACATCTAGCAAGAGTTTTCACACTTAGGATAAAATTTGAAATAACATTTTTCTTTCTTTGTAAAGTTGGCAGCAAAAAGACAAGCACAGGAAACAGACTCAGTGTTGTCTCCAGAGATGTCACCGTTCTGCCTGAAAGCAGGAAGTATTCGAAGAAGCAGCAGCAGAAGAAGAAGATCTCACAGAACGTTGTCAGAAGAAACAGCAGAGGAAGCTGCTGAGGAGAAGTTTGACCCACTGGATGAGCCAATTGTACATCACCTGAAAAAATCCATCATTTACCTCACTCTTTATCCTCTTGTATTGGTGCTAATGTGTCTTTTGTTTTTCTCCAGCCTCCAATGTCTCCTCTCCCAGCTCACCCTTTGCTGGCCACACTTTCCTCTCACCCCCTCAGCACCCGCAGAGGAAGCCAAATCAGTATCTTCAGCTCTTTCCGGGTACGTAACAACTCTGAGGCTGATTTTGGAGATGATGAGTTCAGCATTCATGGGGACGCTTTCAGGAGTCGTACCAACTCAACAGCAACACCCTGGAAGAGAAGGACGGGCAGTGTGCGGAGCCACTGCTCCCAAATCTTCACCACCAACATTAATGGCCGACTCAACATCTCCTTAGATCAGAACGGAGTCACAACAACAGGACTTCATACTCCTACCTACTTACCAGCCTACAGCATGGAGAGGGTCAGAGAAGATATAGTGAGTAAAAAAGGGGATTTTAAAACTCTGATCAATCTGAGTTAACAGAAAACATGAGGATGAAGGTCTGTATTTAATTTGGGGTGTTTTCTGTCTACCAGAAACCCATGTGTACAGAAGAAACTCTTCCCAAACCTATCCTCCAGCCCTCCCCGACTGTGACAGATCCTCCTCCTCCAGTGACCAGAAAGAGAGGGCTGAGCTCTGTTAGCTTCCTCAGTGACGCCATGGAGGGTGAGTCCTGATAGCTGTTACAGCAGTTCTGGTTTAAACTTTTGGCCTCAACACTTTGCTGCATGTGTCTTCTCCCACATTTCCTGTATTTTTTTTTCAGCCTGTCAAGAAAAGCAAACAATGAAAAAGTTTTGAAGGATAATTTCTGGGAAATACCCTTGTTTCACGTCTTCCTAAAAGCAACCTAACACGATCACAAGCATCCTTAGGTTTTTCCAAAAAACTTTTAACCATCGGTGAGATGGCTTAGCTCAAAGATTGATCTGAGACCATTCTTAATGTGACAACATTCACCTTGTTAAGCCTGGCCCAGAGGAAACCAGAGCATCAAATTCACCCTCTTCATCTTTGAATTCACCCATGATCACACAGTCTACCAGGTGCCTGTCAGCAAGTAAGAATGTTGTAAATAAGTTCAATTTTTTGAAAATTTATAAAGTAAACTTTTATACTTTCATTGGATTAAATTTCATAAGATCATGAAAAGGATTCAAACAACAGAAACATCCAACTCCTGAAAATTTTGTTCACTTACATGCTCAACTCTCGGCTGGGACTCCTTCCCCACAGATGTCTTGCTCAAGTAGCTGATTGAAGATATTTAACTTGACTTCAATCTAACTAAATTTTTATTCAAATGTTTTATTTTCTTTATCTCCAGTGTAAAAAGTTTATCAAAGGTTAACGCTGCTGATTTTTTTTTAATGCCAGGACAACTCTTTGACTCTTGCTGGTATAAAACAGTGGAGCTCTTCATGCACAGGCTTCAGGTTTTGTCCACAGTTGCATGAGAAGAAAGACACAGATTTAAATTGGTTGTCATTATTGTTGTGTCTTTGCAGAGCTGCAGGAGTCGAGACAGAAGTGCCATCCGTGCTGGTTAGCATTCGCCAAGAAGTACATGATCTGGGACTGTTCCCCCTGGTGGCTGAAGATTAAGGAGTGGGTGAAGTTCATGGTCATGGATCCTTTCCTAGACCTTGGTATCACCATTTGTATTGTGCTAAACACCCTCTTCATGGCCCTGGAGCACTACCCCATGACTGAGGAGTTCAACACAATGCTGTCAGTGGGAAATCTGGTGAGGACATTTGCACGATGGGGATCATGATTTCCATCATTTTGACACATTTTTTAGGTGTGATCAAGTAGTGTTAGGGTAACAGTGTAGATAGATGAAAGTATCTCTTTACAGAGAGTAAAGAGGACAAAAAAAGCCATTTAATCAGATGACACATTTGTATATTAGGCATGTAAGATTGAGAGTTGGCACAGGACTTTTCATCCAGGCCTTGGACTAATTGTGATTATTATTATTATTATAATTATTTATTAAACACATTCATTTATAATATTTCCATATCAAAAACATTGACATCACCCATCATCCACCCCCCACCCCATTCAGATGGCATCCCCATGAACACCTCAACATAAACACCTGCTTATGAAGTGGACATCAGATCACATACAAAAACATACAAAAATAATAATAATAATAATAATAATAATAATAATGATAATGATAAATAAATAGATAAAATGGACACAGACAACAAACCAATCTGTGTTGATCATTGTGGTGTTAACACAAATATTCTGGACCTCCGGTTATAAAAAAAAAAAAAAAAGTCCAAACAGTCAAAGATGGGTATTAAGAAAACCAGGACAACCGTCAAAGGTTAAGAAATAAAGGAAAATAAATAGATTAATTAAATCATTATAAAAAAACAAGGAGTCAGGCAAAAGGCAGGCTCTTGATATGAGCTATGAACCGTGACCAGGTTCTGTCATATTTATCCCCCAACCCGTATACTGTATACCTTATTTTCTACAGTGCCAATCCCAACTGTGATTATTTTTGAGATGAGGAAATATTTCTGGTGATAAAGGTGACTTGATTATGTGAACTAGAATACTTTAGTCTGCATACACGTTTTCAAGTGTGAAAACTTTCTCAAGACAAGTAAATTGTTGCAGCAGTTTATCAACTACCAGCTTGTCATTGATTTGACTGTGTGTATGTATGTGCAGTTTATATCAAAGTTTTTGCAACAAGACTTTATGACATTTTAAAAAATATTAATTGACTTAAAGAGGGTAGGACTGTGGCCAGAGGAGGAAACATAGTGAGAGTGGGGTGTGACATGAAGGAAGAGAGCCGCAGGCTGGCATTGAACCCAGTCCTAGGGCATACCCTCTGTGTACGCAGAAAGATCACTGAAGCAGCGACACCCCACCTCTATGAAATTTGGCAGGAACTTGGATCAACATTCAGAGAAAACCTTGATAGATGAAGAAATACTTTAAAAAAAAGACAAACTTTTGTTATCCTTTAAACAAACGGTACAGAGCTGTATAAGTGATGGTGTTTTCATCGTTTGATGTACATCCTGTTAGCCTCTTGTTAACGCATTCTGCTGGCTGTATTGATACGTAATCAGTCAACCAAGAGACGACCCAATAGTGAGAGTATGTGGGGGCATGTCACCACCTACTGTACACGATTCTTTCAATAACTTTTTTTTTCTCCAGTGCTTGTAAACTGTGTCAGGGACAGTAGTCCACTTAAATCACCTCACTGAGCTTTAATTGTTGCTTGACTTAACTGTGCATGTAAACACTCAGAGTATGATCACATGTCATATCAAACTAATCCACTGAGAAGGGCCACACACACGGCCTCTGCCTGTGGATACTGTTGCATACTTTAAGATCAACATTGAGTTTGTGTAACTTATCAAATTGATTCCATATCTGGGAATCAGGGTGATAGTAATAAACCAATTTCACAGGTTTACATGAACATCAGCATTATCCAAGAAAGCCTCCTGTCCTTTTCAAACTTCTATCTTGTTTTCAGCACCTTGTTGCTGCTGGTCAGGTTTTTGCTACCAACTGTGTTCGCTGTAAACATTCAAAGTTGTGCTCTCGTTGTTTGTGATACCTGTTTGAGCAGAAAACTGCAATCTCTTCACTCAGCATAATCTGGTTTTGCTCTCACCTCCACTTTTCCTCCACTCCTACCTAAACACTGCACTTGCAGGATGAGGATTTGGTGCAAAGACTCAGAATTATTAAATACAGAACGGAAAGAGAATTTCAGACTGTCAGGCAGCACGTTCATAAAACTGTGTGATCCTTTCACTTTACCGATTCCCACTTTTGCTTGGATATTCTTCACATGTGCAGATATGATAGAACAAAAGTAACCAGATAATACTATACTCATGGGCTAAATAAAACTGATTACCGGGTAAAAATGAAGGTGTATTTACCCAATTTTTTATAAACCCAAAATGGCCCGTATCTGATCAAATATACCAGATTATGCTCTTTACTCGTCTGCTTTAGTAATAAGGTAAATTAGGAAGAAATTGGTTTACAGGTTTTTCCACCTCTGTGTTCCTGTGTCTTTTTCAGGTGTTCACAGGGATCTTTACAGCAGAGATGGTGCTCAAGCTGATTGCTATGGACCCCTACTATTACTTCCAACAGGGCTGGAACATCTTTGACGGTGTCATAGTCTGTCTCAGCCTGATGGAGCTGGGTCTCTCTAATGTAGAGGGGCTGTCTGTCCTCAGATCTTTCAGACTGGTAATAGAAATATTTTACTCCCATTTATGGCCCTCAAGAAGATGATGTTATTTTACTCTTTTCAGGGTTGCTTCAGTGTTTCTCCCCACAAATGCAACAAATAAAAGATGACACATCAGAAGCTAGTGATGCAGGACACATTTTTATACTGTTGAATAAACAAGAAGTATTACACAACTAAAAAAACAACAACAATCATTTAATCTTTCATCCCGTTTTTTTGTGTAAATAATGTAGTGTGTAGAATAAAGAAATTATTGTGTTGATTGGACTGAGAATGTTGAATTGGCTCACCTGCCTCTGAATTATGAAATCTTGTACTCTAAAACCTAAAGTCTAATATCAATATTTTTTCCAGTGAAGAAGCAGCATCATTCGTTTTCTTCATCTTGTTCTTCCTTAGTTGCGGGTTTTTAAGTTGGCTAAATCCTGGCCGACCCTCAACACTCTTATCAAGATCATCGGAAACTCAGTGGGCGCTCTGGGAAACCTGACGCTGGTGCTGGCCATCATCGTCTTCATCTTCGCCGTGGTAGGCATGCAGCTGTTTGGAAAGAACTACCAGGACTATGTGTGTAAGATCTCCAACGATTGCCAACTGCCTCGCTGGCACATGAAGGACTTCTTCCACTCGTTCCTCATCGTCTTTAGAGTGCTGTGTGGGGAGTGGATCGAGACCATGTGGGATTGTATGGAAGTGGCTGGACAGCCTCTCTGTATCCTGGTCTTCATGTTGGTCATGGTCATAGGGAACTTGGTGGTGAGTAATGACGCATCTCCATATATTTTAGGATTTCCTTCACCCAAACCTGAAGAGTAAACCATGATTTATTTTCTTACAACAAGTAAAGATTAGCTTATACTGTGCATCTCCATTGGTGTACAAAGTTTCTTTGTTCCTTCCAGTGAGCCACTATTTCTGGGAGTCCTACTTTATCATAAGTATAAACATGGGCAGTAAGTTTTCTTGCTTTAACCCCTTAATACACATACAAACTCGTATAATTACGCTTTAACACATTAAATCTGCGGCTTGGTTTGCACTGACACCTTAATGTTGCAGGGTTGTGCATTTGTTTTGGCAGATAGTAAAAAAAGACAATTGCATCAGGCTTACCAGTGCTAAGCATGATGCAACTGGGTAAAGTATCCATCTATTGCTATTAACAGTAATGGCAGTTATATGACAACAACGAAACTCTTCTTTAAGAACTGTTTATGTACCTCATTCAGCCTGCAGCTCACAGGTTTGGTTGTGCAGTGACATTGAATTTGCATAGAGAGCTTAAGTCACAAGTTAAATGTGATAGATACTCGTATCAGGATGCTGCATTGCCCTTTGAGTGTTTGTTTCGGACTCAGATTCAGAGTTAGTGCTTGATCCTTTTAAATGCTGCAGTCCTTTTCAGCTGTTACCAAGGCTGACTTGTGTTTCCCTTGTGCAAAATCACTGTCCATTTCTTGGTCTGTTCTTCACATACATGTTTAGTTTCATCTAAAACTATCATCTCATCAACATTTGACAATATCTATCATCTGACCCTCTCTTCTCATTTCTATCTGCCTTGTTTATTAATGAGAACCAGCTTCCTACTAGTCTCTGCCAGTCACAATTAAAACACAGTCTCTCGGCTCTGCATGCTGTAATAGCTTTTTCAGAATCTAACCTGACTGAGCAGTGTAAGGTATTAGTGATAGCTAAATAAAAATATAAATGATTTATAGCTGATGTTTTGGTTTTTCTTTCTAGTAATATAAGGGCTTCCCTATGTACACTTAAAAATAGATTTTATACTGTTAAAAAAATCGCTACAAAAGGTTAAAAGTCAAATTTACATCCCAAAATACAGCCAAAGATAAGCTCGGGAATCAGTCAAAAGAGGTTATTGTTTTTTGGTATACTTATTGAATTTGTCAACAATCACATAAAAACAGGTTAATGTCATCCTTATCTTTTAACAGTATATGAAAACAGGAAGTCTGTGTTGGTAGAAATCCAATAGCATGTCCATTCAACCATCTGAGACTGAGTTCAAATCCTAATGATGACGTCATGAGTAATCAGGGATTACATTGCACCAATGAGGATCAGTGATCCATACTATCAGGTTGGGACATCCTCAAACAGTTGTTGGTGACTCACTGTTATGCATTTTTACAAACTTGGATATCTGTGCAATAATAGAAGTTTATTACACTTTAGTAACCATGAAGAGTGAGAGCACATTTCTGTTACAGCATCATGCTAACAGTCTTGCAGATTAGCATTAGCAGACTTTTAAACAGATCGTGTCTGGATGACATGTAAGCCATCTGCTGTCTCCACTAAGTATGTATTATCTGCACATGCTATTGTGCAAACTGTATCCATATCACACACACGCTCCCTTTGAGACCAGCTTTGCTGCAGCACCACATCAACCGTGCTGAGTGTTTGATCCACTGCTAATGAACTAAGCCTGATGAATGAAAACATGAACTCTGAGGATCGTGCTCTGAAGTGTCATTCAGCCATTTCAGTGGGTGTTGAATGTCACTCAAGGTAAAGTGTTGCTTGAATAACATAAAGATGTTTCTGGGGAGAAATGAGAAATCAGTGTTTTTGCTGTATGTCACGCAACAGCAAGAATATATGTATCTATTCATTCTCCCTATGGTGGTTTGTTGTCCAGCTGTGTCCTGTAATCTAACAAAAGTGACTACAGATATAAAAACCCTGGAAGGTTAGGTGCTAAAGTAATTTGTTATGATCATTGTGCTTTTTTTTGGATGGGGTGCCGTTTTAGTGCAGATCCTTCAAATTTATATAATCACATGTTATAGTGTCTGTTGGGTGAGTAAAATCTCTTTTTTTCCCCATCTAATAACAATCATGTTTTTTTCCTCCCTAATCCATTTTGAGGATTTCTTTTCATTTTGTTTTGCCCAGCCTTGATGACTGGCCTTACTCGCAATGTTATGCAAGTCTAAACAAGAATCAAACATGCATTTTTGTCTGTTACTTTGTCTGCAAAATCATTACACACTGGCAGATGACCATAAGCTACAATTCAATCAGTTCTGTCAGTCAGACCCTGTCAGGCAAAAATGGAGCAATGCTGTTCGTGAGAAGTTGTTGATGGTTTCCAGCATGCCTTCTGTAACCTCTGTCTTGTTTAATCCTGTGCTCTGAAATTTATCCGTCTGCCAGAAAAAAGGATACATATTTATTTATGTCTTGCCAGGATGATGCATAAGTCTTTCTTCTCCAAATAGCCTGTCATGTTTATTTAAAAGTACATATGATTACGGTTTTCGCCTCGCCACCCTTGATGTCATGCGCACTATGATGTTCTGTTCCTGTTACCGGGTTCTGAAATGATACACACACTAAACGCCATCTATCTCATGTCTCTTTCCTATAGTGAAATGTAGGAGTACACAACAATACTGTATATAAAAACTAGGAGTATCTTTTTTTAGCATGAGTTGAACTGGCTCCAGAGTGATCTTCACACTTGTCTTGAGTTTTTTGACCACCGTCTATTCCCTCAAACTCTTGGAAGAGATAAATGAGTGGAGCAGTCAAAGGAGAAGTTGGTTGTAGTCTAAAACCTCGCCACACCAAACACCTGACAAGCCACCACTCTGGTCCTTTTTTAAAAAATATATAAGTGCACATGATGACAGGTTGTTGTTGTGATATTTTGACAATGTGAACAGCAACATAATGTCTTAAAACTAGTTTCTCAACCTATCTTTTGGGCTGTGCCCAGCCACAAATTGAAGAAATACAACTTGTATCTGCAGTCTTTTTCTTCTGATCACTACTCAGAGCTCATGTCCATAGGTGAGGGCTGGAACGGAAATTGATTGGTAAATCAAAAATCACTTAATCTGTTTTTTATTTTGCTCTTGTGCTCAATTTTTTAACTACAAAAATTGAGTCTTTATCATTGTGCTTTGCAGGACATCTGATCCAGAAATACCCTCATTAGTATTATAGGGGGTGCGGTTTGACCTTACAGTGTAATGTTTTTAGCTCCTTGTTGAAGACCCCAGAAACGTCTATTCTCAACTGCAAGGAATTTATACAAGCAATAAGTGGCATTAACTCATTCTGTGAGGACTTGGTTCAGGAACCAGAGGGTTGCAGGATGTGTGTCCTTTTACAGACCTCACCAGGCCAAGGAGTAGTAGCTGAAAATATGTGCCCTGTCAAAATGCCCTTGAGCAAGGCACCACCTCTCCAGTTCCTCAGGGTAGTTGTCTGTATGCATCCCTGTCAGAATGACATGCAAATAAATTGGCTATGATTAGTGAGCGTGTGTGTGTGTGTGTGTGTGTGTGTGTGTGTGTTTGTGCGTGTGCTGGTTTAAGGAAAACAAACCTTTGTAGGTCTCTTAGCTTGTAGCCCTGTTGTTTTGATCTCAAAAACTGGTTTTGATAAAGCAGGTTCAGTGTAATAAACATTAGTATGTGATGTTTGTCTACATATGGAGCAGAGGAGCAGGAGAAAAAAGCTGCAGCTACAACAAGACGTGGTAATAACTCAGCCTTGTTACTTTTTCCCCGTTACGTGGCAAACAGACACAATCTGCCTGAATTTGGTGCCTGGTGAGGTCCAATTCAGACCCTGTATTTTTTTTAAAAGTTTGAATCAGTCACATTTTTTTGGATAATTTTTGTTCTTTATTCTTCTAAAATATTTTGATAAAAAATCTGAGCAAACACACTTTAGACAATTTGTACGAGTCTGTTCAGTTCCTGGTGAAGGAACTGAACAATAACAACAATGTGACATCAATGTACCAAAAGAAGACTTCATAACCAAGAACCAAACTGAACCAAACATTTTTATACTGTTACACCCCTATCAACCATTATCTTGTAAATCACCATCATTTGATTTAAACTTTAATCATGGTGCATTATAGTTCACAGTAGCTCTCCCCTGTAATCAGGAAACACCCGAGCACTCTCTTTACAGTGGCCTCTGCATGACTCATCAAATGTTGATGGTGCTAGTATTCTTGTGTGGAGTTTTTCATTAAATTTTTTGAGCTCATTTTTTCAGTTTATGTTCAGAACCATTAAGCTGATTTTTAAAAACAGTTGAATTCTGTAGACTTAGCCTGAGACTATGCTTTTAAGCAGTGCAGTTTTCCTGTCAACACTAGCTGAGACCAGTTATGTTGCACCTGTCTATTTATCCACATGTCCTACTTGACATTCACCCCAATATTTAACATCTAACTGTAAGACTGGTCCCTATAAAGCTAAGTTCACCAACTATGCCTGAAGTACCATAAGTCCATTCTGAACACTGCCTTTGGTTTTTGTTCCCCATTTAGTGTCTTTTATTGTAACACTTATTTACAACAGACTCTGAAAATCAACACTCCTCCTGTGGATGATTATCTGAGATCACTTTAAATATGAGAGCAATTATTTCACAAGCATTATTTCTTTTGTTTTATTAAAGTTTGTTTTCATTGTGTCACGGAGGAAGATAAAGGTTCATAATGATGATGGTGGTACAATACATTAGCTGATAGCTGCAATCCTCTAAGCTCTGTGTTTGCTGAGTCGAGGAAAAAGCATGTTTTTCTCTAACTTTCTAAAACTGAAGACCAGATGACCATTTTTTTCAAAGTTAGAGTTATGATTATTTTTTGGGCTCTGTGCGAGGTTGTAAGGTTTGACAGGAGTGGCGTCAGTGTGCAAGGCCGCAGCTTTGCCATATCAGTATTAAAATCATTTGTCTGCTGTAGCTCTGACATCATCACCTATATTTACCCCGGTGGATTCAAAGCAGATTACACCTCCTGACACTTCAAACTTGATTTACACTCTTAATATATCATCAAATGCTCATTAACTGCCCTTTCAGCAGCACTGAGGAGCCATAGGTGCTAAAACAGATTACAGAGGATGATGCAGTTACTCTTGTTAAACATTTCTGACTCAGACACCTTCAGTGACTGAGCTGTCTTGTCAGGGCAAAGAGCAGATCACAACAGTGCTCCTTATAGAGTTTAATGGACAGAAACCTCCTCCACACATGATTCACGGGAAAGCTGTTTATCCAAGGGATTATCCAGGATGCTTAGGGGCGAGAAGGTCGGAGGGCATTCATCACTAATCATCTGCTCATGCTCCCCATCGCTGACTGGCTCAGTGGCTAAAGATGATCCTTAACAACTGTGCACATCACTCATGCACACAGGCAGCACACCCACACACACGTACACACACACACACGCTGCTGTGCTGCTCTCTAAGCTAGTAGACAGATTACTTGGGAGGTTGATGTTTGGAAACTTGAGTTCAGTGCAGCTCAAAAAAGCTGGAGCCATATGTTTCAGAGCGTAACAGGGTTGAATATCCTTATGAATCCACAATGCAGGATTTTCTGTTGTTGAAAATATAGGTGGGATATCATTTCATACATTAGAAGCACATATAATTGTATGGGCAGGTTAAAACATGCACTGTTTTATAATCAGCGATCACTGTGAGCATAAGCACAATGTAAACCCTGCAGTCACTTCCACAGTAAAGGAAATGGCTGTTTCATCTTTGCAATAACTTTCTTTATTCCAAACAAATTCATTGTAACATCACTTTTCTCACTTCTTCAACAGGTGCTGAATCTTTTTCTGGCCCTGCTGCTCAGCTCCTTCAGCTCCGACAACCTCTCTGCTCCAGACGAAGACGGTGATTTGAACAACATCCAGATCGCCATTGCCCGTATCAACGCTGGTGTCTCCTGGCTCGTCACCCACATTGCCAACCTTTTCAACCGCAGCCTGAGGCGCCAAAAGCAGAAGGACAAAGAAGCCAGTCTGGTCGACATAAAAATCGGAAATCATGTGGAAAGTAATGGTGGAGTATTTGGATGCTACGGGGAGAAGTACATCATCCCAGAGGAGGACAGCTACATGACAAACCCAAACCTGACTGTTATTGTTCCCATCGCACCTGGAGAGTCTGATGTGGAGTTTCTGGAAGAGGAGGAGATTTCAGAGTCATCAGAGGACGAAGACAACAAACCTGTGAGTTTCTGTTTGCCACATACAGTATCTCAACACTGCACACGAATGCCCACATATATAATCCGTACATGACATAATTAAATGACAATATTGCATTACATTCCTCTATAAATAGTAGATGAATGAGACTCCAGACAAATGAATTATCCTTTTGGGATTCTTCTATTGTATAAGAACAGGTCTAGACAGTGACCTGACTTCTATTACTTACAGTACAAAAAACTTAGGTCAAGACAAGATAAGCTTCACTCTTTTCTCATCTTAACCCACCATGAGCCACTTTGCAGTATTTAGAAAGTTATAGTGGTTATAGATAGTTATAGATTAATCTACTGAGACTGCATTGGGATAGGTAAGAGGAGAAAAAGAGACAGAAAGAAAGAAACAACAACCACCTCTTCATCTCCTTCGGACCCATGTAAGCAGTGCCAATAATAAGGGTAAAAGTATGTGTAACACTCACAGGGAGGAACATGGATTTATATAAGTATCTATGTCGGCTTTGGTCAACAGGTCTTATCCTAGCATTCGCAGTTATAAAATAAGATAGGCATGAGTTATCAAAGTTAAAATAAAATTAAATTAAAACTGATGTTAGCCTTTTACAATGTTGATCATTAAGAATTCTAGATATTGGATTTTTGCTTGTATCTGATACACTGATATTTTCATGGGTGATCTTTTTAAGCTATTATCAGCTGATACCTATACTAGGCAGATAATGTCATGCATCCCTAAAAATAACGCTGATGACAATAGTGATAGAAGTTGGAATCTTTCAGGTCCACAGCAGCCGGCATCTGCAGCAACGGTCCAGAGAAACCTACAAAACAAAAGAGTTCAGAACTTCCAGAAACATCTGTGGTCACTGTGACTTTGATGAGTTATAAGGATCTAGAAATTAACAACACAAAGACCAACAGAGGAGAAAGGGGAAGACAGGAGCTCAGTGTGTAAATTCCAGCAGTCTAACCCTTTAGCAAGCTGGTCCGAGCCTGAATCAGCTCTAACAATAAGATTTTAAAAAAGGACATTTTTTAACCTTCTCTAAAAAGTAGAGAATACCATTTATCTGCCTCTCAGACCCTGACTTTAAATCTACAGCATAAACCATGGACTGTACTTAACTATTTAATAAATAAATGTAAATCCATCATAAACATGTCACTACATAAGGCAGCCATGTATATTATATTGTAATGTACAAGGAATAATGGAAGTTATTGAAATAGAGTTGTTGTATTTTATCAAATGCATAAGCAAAAAGAACAACAACAATAACAACACAACGTGATGTTGGTAGTGTATGTCAGCCATCAGCTGACCTGCTCTACATTGGTCGACTACCATCTGTAACCCTAATATTATTTGAAGAGATGAGCCTCATGCAGATTCAAACCATTACTGTTGTTATGAATACAAGAATCAACCATAATGACCAAACAGGACATACGTGTATTGTAAAACCAAGCATTTCGTAGAAAGGTTGATGAGGATTGACCAGCCAGTCAGCTTCAATGTAGGTCAGTATGAAGTGAAAAAAATGGTTCTTAAGTGTCCACTTGAGGCTGGTACCAAAAGCCAGGATTCTCCATTAGGTCCCATATTAAACTGGCTTTTTTGCAGTACAAAAACACTTTTACAGCCTAGATCAAAAAACTGTTTCGGTATCAATAGCTCACTTTTATATTCTTTACTCTAGACAGGGAGTGAATACTTCTATGACTCATCCATGTTGGTAACAAAAAGGGAGATGATGCATATGAGTGGACAATGGGGTGTGTTGTAGCTGTTACCCAGGTGGCTTTGGGCCCTCCCCCTTGATTCTGATTATAGAGGTATTTGGCTTTAGGAAGTATTTGCATCCAAAACTAAGGAACTACTCTTGTGTATTGGTTTGTTAACTTAAAGTTTATGCTCACATGCTGGGTTGATCTGACTGTATTTTCATGTTTCCTGTCTCATAATTAAGCTTCTTTTTTGTAGTCACTCATGAGGAGAAAATGATCAAAATTGAAGGGGTAGCTTGTGCATATGTGTTTTCTGGGTATTTAAATCTACAGAACCAGCAGGTTGCAGGTAGCAGCAGGTGGTTTGCTGGCTCTGTGCCGCAGATGTTTCCAGAAAATGTTCTAGAAAGTTCTTTAAAGGCGTCATCAGCGCTCGGTGTTTGTTGTGACTCAAGTGAAAACATCCACCACAAGTTGCAGAGTCTAATCATTTTTTAATCCTCAGATTCTGATTTGTTGTTGTTCATGTCATTTAGATGTGTGAGTTTGGAGCTAGGGGGAGGATCTCAGGCAGTGGTGATGGAGGGGGTGGGCTGTGAAGGGGACGGCGATGCGGAAGCTTTCCGGACACATAAGCTGTTAATCTGTCGGACAGACAAGGTGAACTCTGATAAAGACTACTGTCCTGGTGAAACAAATATGTCTTAGAAATCCAGATGTTTGATTTCCGTACAGCTGAGTTATTAAGAGTGAACATCATGCAGTGAACATCTGGCAAAGCCTCCTTTAAGCTGAGTTGTTTCGGATAATAACAAAATATATTGCTCTTGACTTGCAAAAAATATGGAAATGACTTTTTAAGGGAAACATTTGTGTCTCACATGAAGATATTGTTTCTTGTAAACACTGGTGATGGATGAAGTTGACAGGCTGTTCCTGGTATGAGGTCCTTTAGAGCTGTGACTCGCTGTGATTAGTTGTTGTGACACAGAGAGAGCAGAGCCGACTTAAATATCAACACTAGTCCTTTACTGTCGAATCATAGTTTGATGGTCTTGAACTGAACATGCTTCTTAATGTTGCACTGACGGCAAAAGTCCTGCACTCACCCCAGAGACCTCTCCTTTAGTTAAGACTGACAAACTGGGCTGAATATTAGAACATTATTTCATGAACTTTGGATCATTACATGAGGGGCAGGTAGGTAATATGGAGAGTGACAAAATGTTAGATAAACACAGTTGTCCCTTACAAAAGTCACATCAGTGTAGCTTAATATCAAAACTGGCTTCTGTCAAACGTGTTCAACTACTTTTGAACTTTCGTGTTAGCCTGTTTGAGGACAATATTAGACCAAACTGTAAACTCTCAGTAGTTTTAAGTAAACCTTTAGTACAACTGTATAGAGACCACAGCTGCACAATATTAGAAAAGAATGAAAGAGAAATATGTTTTGTCTTTGTGATATTTATCAAAGAAAAACACATTAATGAAATGTCCCCTGTAAAATGTGATGTGTTATATGCTTCTGCTGTAAATAATCAGAAATGTTATCTATAAACTTGGACTTCAAAACTGTTTTCTTGACCAAATTAGCGCCACTATTATTTTTACCACACGTGATCCAGCAATTAACCAGCAAATCTGACAATCGGTTTTCACTATATTTTATTTTATTTCATTTTTATTTGTCCCAATCATGTCCAAAACCATAGTTGTCCTGTCCAATTACAAAATAAAAAAAATTATGTAATTTGCATTAACATTGTTCAATGTTATGTTATCAATTAGAAGTGTAATAAATAAATAGTTATTGAAAGTGCATATTAGCTGTTGTAATCTGGTTTAAACATCTGTCTCCTGTTCTTCATGTGTAACACATCACCTGTATTTGTAACATGTTTCTCCTGAATCCAAGTTGCATCCCAAATATTTTTTTTCCCCATTTATCATTGCCAATTAGTAAGAGATCAGCTGACAGCTGGCTAAAGCTTCATTTCACTGCGTTAACATGCTGTAAAGGGACAGCCATAATATCCAGATCTCCATCTAATACAATATAATACAATACAAGAACTTTATTTATCCCCAAAGGGAAATTAATTTGTCTGGAATCTTATGAAAAAGTTTTCTCTGGTAGGAAAAAAAACCTGTGTTAATCCAATCAGGTGGGAGGAGGGGGTGATATGGTGACATATTTTTCAGCAGAAATACCCATCAGCAGCCGACAAAACACAACAAAAAATAAAACAAAAAAGAGCAAAATTTGCAGAACATTCAGAGAGACCCCACTTTGCTGCTCCTTGGTTAAGTGCAGGTTCTGGAAACTAATCTAACAGTTACAATGTATAAAAGAGTAAGAAAACAATAATTATATACATCACAATTCTTTGCAATTCATTAATATTGTTGGGAGGTTTTTATTACAAATGCTCATACCGGTCAGTTTGCAAGTGCAGCCTGTAGTGGAACAACCAACTGTTGTTTTCTAATTGGTCATTTCTAACGGGTTTGTTTTTCTGACAATGTTAGATATTGTGTAACATCTTAAACCTTGTAAGAGTGGTATTTTCTGAGATGGTTAACATGGTGTTGACATCCTACACTGTTGCAAACTAATTCAGTACATTTTAGGGATGTGGCCTTCATCAACTTTTGTAAAGGATAACATATATAAGTAATTTAAGTCTTTCCAATTTTATTATACGTGAACAATAAATTAAGACTGGAAAACGTGGAAGTAGCAAGCATGACTCAACTGACAGAAATTGAGTTTTTCATTATACTATTCATATGAATTGTCACCTCTCCATCCACTTTTACATGTCAAAAACCAGCAAGATAAAACAACATGTAGTGTTTTTTTTTTTCCTGGGACCACAAATGAATGTATTTATTTATTTATGAAAAGTTTGTTTCACTCAGTGCTTTTAGAGTTTAAGCCAACATGGGCTTAAAACCTGAAGACATGCTGTGGTCTTTGAAGATGCTGATAGGTGCAGTCCATGACATTTGTAGAGAGCAAGGTTTGCTGTTTACAACTTCTGTCAGCTGAAAAGTATCAGCTGCTCAGTTTATGTTTATCTTGCAGGCGTTAACAAGAATGTTAATCTTCTAGTCCAACATCTGAGTAGAAAAAATTGAACTTCCAAAACACACAGATTACTTTTTAAAATTTCATTATGATTGGCATTAGGATTTTAAAGCAAGAGGAACAAATAAGATGAAAAACAGTAATTTAGAAAGTGGCCATAGTGTACACAAGACCTGATTCGCTTCTAAGAAGAAATTTAGATGTTTTGTCTTCATGTCATTTTATGCTGCTGCAGGGTGAATGTAAAAAGTCATCCCTTAGGCTCTGCAGGAAATTATTGTCGACACTGGAGTACTGCAGTTTGTAAGCTCTATACCTGATTTGGCACAACTTAAAGAATTTTGTTTCTTAATAAATGCCTCTGACAGGCATGTTCATCCAACACCCCGCTCTCTAAACTGCTGTGTGTTTATTTAGCAGCTGTCCCTCTACCTCTGTTTCCCTTCATCAAGCGTCCTGTTTTCACATCTCGCTGTGCTCTCACTCCCCCTCCCTGCTCCTCCTGGATTCCTCTGTATCTCATTGGTTCTGTTGAGGTGGGGGTTTGTTGAGGTGGGTGTTTGTTTGTTGAGAGGGTGTGTCTCTGCTGTCCTCTCTGGCAGGCAGACAGCAGCAGGCCAGATGTGGAGCCAGGCCCTGCAGAACAGATTATACTGACACAGCTGAGCAGATCCAGGCAGGGCCAGGCTGAGCTGAGCGGGCTGCAGTCTGGCGCTCTCTCTTCCTCTTTCCCTGCCGTGCTCTGCTCCACACCACACCAGAATTAGGCAGCAGGGAAAATGGAAATGAAAAACTAACCCTCCTTCAGCCCTCCATCAGCTTAACAGGCATCAGCAGCTGCTCAGCGAGGAAGGATACATATGTTTTACATATTTAGAGCCACAAATGCACACGAAGTAAGGCAGACATGGGTAAATAAAATATGGACATTAGAAGAATATGTATTAAAAAAACAACGAGCTTTCAGCCAAATCCCTTACTCTATCGATGTAAAACTGAAAATCCTCTCCACTCTGCCTTTAAGGGACTCAGACTGGTAATCTGGTCTCCAGGTCTTCATGATGTTTTTTATGCTGGACTAGACTTCTTACTGGTTTACAGGATTGAAGCTGCACCTCTGTCCTTCAAATCATGTGAAATATGTTGCTGTTACAACACTAGAAAATCTCATCAAAGTTGTATAAAGAGATTGAAAGGCACCTAGGTGAGCTGGCCCTGATGGGATTAATACATGCTGGATACACAGGGGCAAAAAAGGCTGAGTCACAGGTCAGTCAGGTCAGGTGAAAAGGTTTTAACGTTATAAGTACATCGTATAAAAGATCACGCCCCAATCAGTGATGCCACAACAGGCTTTTAGTTGGTTCATACACAGTCTCAAAAGTAAATGTGGATCATGAAAAAGTTGGTAACAGTGAGGTGTATTTTTTGTTTCAGGAGCAGATCAGCCTGTCAGAGGGCAGCACAGTGGATCTGAGGAAACCTGGAGATGAGATGGACAACTTTTCTGAGCTGGAAGATGAGAGTATGGAGCCAGAGGAGTGCTTCCCAGAATGTGAGAACAAGACGTGAATATTTTTATCTTAGCTTTGAAGAGATCGATTGATATCTGTTGTATGTTAAAACCAAATTACCCTGAGAAATCTGCCTCTATCATTTACTGCAAATTCACACACATACTGTAGGTGATTTTCAAGTCTATAAAACAAGTGACTGTAAAAGCAGGCAGACCACTAAAGCATTAAGTTCATGAGCTGAATTTGAACCCATGACAGCTGCGTTTAACTCAGGTACTCAAGACTGTGAGGTCTCACTCTATCTGTTAGACAGTAATCAACTGCGTCATTATCCAGCCATCAGCCGTTAATGAAGACAGAGCTGCACAGCTTCAGTGTTAGCTACTGTGCAGCCTGCTCTTTTTTCCTCTATAGATATTTCCTCTATAAATATTTAAAACTCGCTCTTTGTGTTGTCTCTGAATATTCTTGATAAAGTCCAGAATTTTTTCTTCGTGTAAAATCTCCTTTGCAATGCAAAAAGAAAAAAATCTACGTTATAGTTGTGGTTGGTGCTTACAGGGGAGCTTTCTTTACACGTCATAGTTTCTTCATATGTTGTGGTGTATGATGTTTTGGTTTTCCTCAGTTTGCATGAGACACTGTCAGTGCTGCAACATCGACACCACCAGTGGACTGGGTCAGGCCTGGTGGAGGCTGAGGAAGACCTGCTACCAGATCGTGGAGCACAGTTGGTTCGAGACCTTCATCATCTTCATGATCCTGCTCAGCAGTGGAGCTCTGGTACGATATTGTTTGGTTTGTTGATAGCAGCCAACAGACTACAGCAGCTGTGTTGATCTGAGATGTTACCAGACAAAACGTCTTTTTCTTGGTTTTAAAAACGTAGATTTGTTCAAAGTCATTCTTTTCTGACTGAAACACTTCAGCGTGAGTCATCAAGGTTTCATCATTGCCCTCTCCATGTCTTAATAAATTATTGTATGATAATAATGGACTCTTCCTGATGGAACAAATATTTACTACAGAAAGGTTAACTTCTAACAGTAGTTTACCGGCTAGCTAGCTAACTCTTCAGCTCAGTGCAGTATCAGAAAGTGTTTAAAAGTTGATCTTGATGCTTCCTGTCTTTAACTGCAAAATGAGATGACCTAAAAGCTAAACTGACGACTCACACTGCTCGACCTGCCGTCCCTCCTCTGTTGCAGGCATTTGAAGACATCTACATTGAGAAGAGAAAAGTTGTGAAGTTGGTGCTGGAGTCTGCTGATAAGGTCTTCTCCTACATCTTTGTTCTGGAGATGTTCCTCAAGTGGATCGCATACGGCTTCAAGAAATATTTCACCAACTACTGGTGCTGGCTGGACTTTCTCATAGTGGATGTGAGTGGATGAGTTTCATGTTTCTGTTGTTCTCTATAAAAGTAGGGTATTTAGAACAATGACAGGCTGAAATTCCGGGGTGAATGTTAATCCCTCTTATTGTAGCTGAAAGAAGCTTTTTATTTTTGTGGGATTAACAGCTCGGTAAGTGTCACACTACTGACAGGAAAGCACTTCACTGTTTATTCATGTTTTATGGTAGTGGGCCACTTTTTGATGGAAACTCTCTTTTTTCCCATCACAAGCTAGTCCTAGTCAAAGACAACTCTACACAGCTCTATAAGAAACACTCAGATTTCTATTACACAGTGCAGATTTGTCAAATTAAACATGCTTTTAAGCCATGATTTGGCCAGACAAGTGGTGTGAAGTCACAAAAGCACCTGAAGCGTGCAGCCCCAGGCCTGACTTGACCTCCTCTGATTTCACCTGCTGTTACACAGATATCTACAGACCGCTCTATTTTTAGGGTAAGTCGTAGTTAGCAGGTGCAGGTGAGTATGGGCTCTGGGATTGAAAACATCTGCATCTCAAATACTTTTGTGTTTCTTCACTCGTAAGTGCTCTCTGTTGTGATATCAAAAGCCACTGTCTTGTTTCTAAATAAATATTCTTCTTTGGATTTGTGCTATAATGCCACTTTTTTGATAAAGTAATTCAGGACCTTGGCTTTTATATCAGCTACAAATGCAGTGCCATGAACTCTAAGGTTTATCTACAGAAGATCTAGTGTTCTTAATAAAGCGATTTATACTTATTAAAATGTTACCGATGAGACTTTTTAGGGTTTTTTTTTTTTGTCAATTTAGACGTGCAGTGCTTAAACTTATGTTTGAGGTTTTATGTCGAATTCTCTGTCTGGGTGATATTTGTTCTCTCTGTTTTGACAAAGAGTAAAATCGTGTGGATAATACTATTACTTATCCTTTATTTTGATCAATCAGGATTTCTATTTGACTCTCTGTTAATGTGCTCTTGTCTTTTATTGTTTGTACTTTTTGGGGCCAAAGACTTCTCTTGTCTTGGGAATGAATTCTGAGTATCTTCTTTAGATATATTGGACAAACACATGTGTAAATAGACTTTTATAAAGAAATGAAGACCAATAGGACCTTCTTGGTCCTAAATTGTTATGATAAACTTATTGGATGAATTGGATGCAAATTGGGAGAAAATTTGGCCAAGACAGGTATAAATTCTTTATAAAACTCACTCTATTTTATATATATACATATTTTATATGTATATATAGCTGAGTATGCATGCATGGACACTTTGGTCTATGTGTGCATACTTGTCTGTGTTTTGTCATCATCAATCATGACATAAATTTCTTCTTCCTTTCATTGATGTCACATCATTTCCATTCATAGCTTTCATCCAAGGGTCATTCAACAGAGGAATACCATTTTGTTTTGTTTGTTTTGGATGTGGAATAGAGTGGAAGTCCAAATTTGTTCAAAGATGAAACCAAAACAAAATCAAATCTTAAACTTTAAATTTTAAAAACTGTGTTCCAAACTGTGGAATGTCCCAAAAAATACTCCCAAATATGGCTCTTCAAATCTCTCTACCTGTCTTTTTAAAAATATATATATTATAATTTTTTGTGTGTTTTCACTTTTCTTTTCTTTAAATGATGATTATAAAGATGATATATGACCAGTTTGTTGAGAAATAGAATTAGCCAGCACATATTAATGCTTTATTCAGTGTTTTTTACAATGTTATTCATATTGTACTATGAACAAATTTCAACTTTTTTCTGTAAATGTTTTAGTTTAAATAATATCTGAGGAAGACGTGACTTAATTTCAGGATGCAACAGTAAACACGTCTTTCTTTACTCCCCACAGGTGTCCTTGATAAGTCTGGTTGCAAACTCACTGGGGTATTCAGACTTTGCTGCCATCAAGTCCCTGAGGACTCTGCGAGCTTTGAGACCTCTTCGAGCTCTGTCCAGATTTGAGGGCATGAGAGTAAGAAGTATTTCTACGCTGATATTTCCGTTGACTTGAAAACTCTTGATAAATCTCAAAGTAGAAAATTAACATCAACAAGGAGGTCATGTTGTTCAGCATTGTTCATTCTTCTTGCTGACAGCTGGATTAGCTTCTGTGTACTAAGGATTGTTTTTATGAGTGTAGTGTAAGTGACAAGGTCCAGAATAGTGCCTGTGGACTGCCACTGTTTGAAGATGGAAGTTTTAGCCATGTTAACAAAGTAGCTTCAAGTATATTCGGGCTGATAGTTAATCAGTCCTCTCTGTCCATTATGAAACATCTAAAAAGATCTGCTATGAAATCGGAGAGAGATTCATGGTCCCCATTAGATGAATCCTTCTGATATCTGATGACCTGCCCGACTTTTCCTCTTATCTCTGGATTCACTCTTTTGTTTTTTGGTAAGACAAGTTTGGGTGGATTTCCATATTTGGTTCAGAATTTTATGCCTGACCCTCAAACCACATTTCTTTTGGAGCCACTTAATCTTATTTTTATTTGTCTTTCTCCAACTTAAATGACAACCAAATACCTCAATTGTACTTTATGTTAAGCAAATTAGCAACACTAGCTTGTGATTATGCATTAAAGCTGCAAATATTAAAATGTAGACTGTGCATGTATGAAAGCTCATACAGACATTTTGCTCCAAATATCAGCACTCCCACTTTAATAGTAGCTGGACAAAACTGCAGACATAGTTTTCGCATTGTCTTGTAAAATGTGAAAGCAGGATCATAGTCAAAGTTGTCTTAAATCTGGTTAGATGAAATAAGTTTTCTTTAGTCTTGTAAATACAGATCAGCTTGAGTATCAGAGTGAAGTCCCTCAGCTTTTTCAGTTATTAGTTTTATTCATAAAAACATGTATGAGGAGGGCTGTGTCATATTTATTATCAGGATTGATCACTGTTTAGGCTCTGTGAAGCTCTCTTGAATCTTTATGAGTCAGGCCTCTCTGAGATTACTCTGGAGTTAACGCAGAATAGGGCACGTGGCTTTGGTGGCTTTGGTGGCTTGTTTTCCTTCGCTGAGATCTGACCTATACCTGTCTGCACCATGTTGTTTAGTCTGGATTCTGTGGCGGTTAACATGATTTTGATCAGACTCAGGTTTGAAAGTTGCTTAAAGAGACTTATGCAGCTTCAGTGGAATCTTCTGCTCCCACCACACATTAAACAGAGCTCATTTAAACCGGCACCAGGACTGGGCCTGTGATCTGAAACTGTGACTACAGACTGACCTGTATCCTACCTGTGTCCTTTAGGTGGTTGTGAACGCTCTGATCGGAGCCATCCCCTCCATCATGAACGTGCTGCTCGTGTGTCTCATCTTCTGGCTCATCTTCAGCATTATGGGCGTCAATCTGTTTGCTGGCAAGTTTGGGAAGTGTGTGAACAGAACAGGCTTCGTCCACAGCGTGTCTGTAATCAACAACAAGTCAGATTGTCTCAATATGAACGACACCCAGTTCTACTGGACCAAAGTGAAGGTCAACTTTGACAACGTGGGGCTGGGCTACCTCTCCCTGCTACAAGTAGTGAGTCTATCAAAGCTGAACTTTTTGAAAGTGAAGTCAAAAATTTTAAGTTTTAAAATGTTTGTTTTTTAAAGGAAACTCATACATTCAAAGCTCAGGTGCTTAATTTGTGTAATGTTGTGTTGTAATTGTAGGCGACATTCAAAGGATGGATGGAGATAATGCATGCAGCTGTGGACTCAAGAGGAGTAAGTAACTGTTTTTACTAACAGATCCAACATCATAAACCTGAAGTAACCTGCTGATGTTTCAAACCGTTTAATTTCAGGTGGAGGAGCAACCCATCAGAGAAATCAACCTCTACATGTACCTCTACTTTGTCGTCTTCATCATTTTTGGCTCCTTCTTCACCCTCAACCTCTTCATTGGTGTCATTATTGACAACTTTAATCAGCAGAAAAGAAAGATAAGTCTTTAAAAAACATTTCACATCTGTGTGTGTGTGTTATGTTATTATATATTATGTGTGTTAAATTGAACAGCCGCTCTTGAGGATTTACAAAGAGTTATTGAGAAGAAAAATAGAAAAATATGGCGAACTGTGTTCAAACACTGATAAAGTGTCATCTGTTTCTGTTAAAATAACGTAGAGTGTGTCTGCCCTCACTTAGGAGGACAGGACATCTTCATGACCGAAGAACAAAAGAAGTACTACAATGCCATGAAGAAGCTAGGATCTAAAAAGCCTCAAAAGCCAATCCCAAGGCCTGGGGTAAAATAGATTACTTTAAATTGACTCACTTTCAGATAGCCTTCCAACAATCTTCTCAATACTGACCTTACAATATGATTTAAAATGACTGACATGCTGTTTGCACTCTCTTATCTCAGAATATGCTCCAGGCCTTTTTCTTTGATCTTGTGTCAAAGCAAGCTTTCGACATCATGATCATGATGCTCATCATCGTCAACATGGTGACCATGATGGTGGAAACTGATGAGCAGTCAGAGCGCATGGAGTCTATCCTGAACAAAATTAACCTGGTCTTCATCGTGATCTTCACCACTGAATGCCTGATCAAGATTATTGCCCTTCGATGTTACTTCTTCACAGTTGCATGGAATATCTTTGATTTTGTGGTGATTATTCTCTCCATCGTAGGTGAGTAGATGTGCCGCCAAACACTATCATTTATTTAAGCTGTCAAAGTGGTGATGCTGTTCAATATAGCTGCTTTGCCTATTGTTTATCTGGGTGTAAAGACAGATAAAAGAAACAATTAATTTCAAAGTTTTTGTCAAGGCTACTCAATCACCTTAATATTTAAAGGCTCTGGGAGAGTTTCTAACTTTAAAAACAGACTAAAACAGCCTTTACATGACCTTCAAAAGCAGAAAGTACCATCAGCAACAAGGCTGATCATGTCTGATGTAATTTTCAAGCACGAAGCCGCTTTGAGTGGGTAGGTGTCAGACAAAATGGTAGACAACAGGATAAAGAAGCAGCCCGTTTTACCCCTTCCGCTGTAAATACTCTCAGTTGAGTGGTATGTTTTACTTTAAAGGACAATAGGATGAGATTTTCTGTCTGCAAACAAAAAAGAGAGGTATAATTTTGTCCACAAGGGGCACCAAAACCGCAACAAACCAAAAGTTCCTCACAGCTGTTTTAAAACCAGTGATGACTCCATGTGAAAAGCGGTATAGGAATGAGGAAAATCCCTCTGCCACTGAGTCAATAAATTCATCTGTCAAGAGCCTCTCCCAGTCCAATCACGCCTTTATCAGACAGACTGTGACTGTGGCAGCCCCAGGGCCTGTCCTGCAGGGGTGTGCGCAGGCTTTTTTGACTGTGGCGGCACAGCTTGGGCACTGACATAAGGAAAGGTTATACAATGTAGGTGATAACTGGTACTCTTTTTCTATCAGTTTTAACTGCAATCATTTTAGTATCAGATGTTATTTCTTTATGTGAATATATTTTTTGACCTTAAAAAAGAAACGGTATAGAGTGGCAACACATTCATCTTTCATATAGAGGCTGTAATCTTTGCTTCAACAGTTTATGGTCTGACTATTTTGCTGGAGCCCTGCTCAAGACCAGTCAGTTGAGAAGGCACCAAAAGAACAAGAGCTACAGCAGGTGTTTTGACTCCCAGCCACGACCCTGTGACACCTGTCTCTCCTCCTGCCTTCTCCACACATGATCTTTTTCCATTTAGCTGTCCTATCCATTAAAGGACAGGTTCAAAAATATTAAAACAAAAAATAAATGAAAGAGAGAGGGCTCAGGAACAAGGCATTTCCCTCCCACTCTATAATCTACTAATGGAAAGGTGTCTGAGCCTGTGGGCGGCTCACAGAGGTTACATGCCACCTGCTGGTTTGAAGATGAGCAATGCCTCAATGACAGAAAATTTATGGAAAAGATCCCTGATAAAGACTGCAGAACAGACAACTCTATAGACCTTTCCTGTTGGTTTGGGCGCTCTGAGGTGAGGAGCAGCCAGGCCCATTTCAAGACACTTTCAGTCAAGGGGCAGTTGGCCTTCAATCTGCTGTCCGTCATACACAGCCAGCCTGGGCTAGCTTTAGAGAGAATGATTTCTTTCACCATCAAGAGCAGTCAGGAACTTCATAGTTGGAGTTTCCCCAAACTCAGGACATGTGCAGCCACAGGGTCATATCTAGTGGATGGATTGTTTCTGTTGATTGGAAAGAATGAAAATGAAAACAGGTTTTTATTTTTGTTTTAATTATTTTCATCCTGTTTTTACTTCAAGCAACTTTTTTCACACTACAAGTGGTCATCCACTGGTACTTAACAGGGCTGCCCTTCATAGTTTATTGCAGCTTTAAGTGTATTTGAGTTCAACGAATGACTCCCCGCTCTTTTACTGTCTCTCTTTTCAGGGATTGTTCTTGCAGACATCATTGAGAAATACTTTGTATCTCCAACCCTGTTTCGAGTCATCAGACTGGCAAGGATAGGACGTGTACTTCGACTTATACGTGCAGCCAAAGGAATAAGGACTCTACTGTTTGCCTTAATGATGTCTATGCCAGCTCTGTTCAACATCGGCCTCCTTCTATTCCTCGTCATGTTCATTTATGCTATATTTGGTATGGCGAACTTTGCCTACGTGAAAAAACAAGATGGGATCGATGACATGTTCAACTTTGAAACCTTTGGGAATAGTATGATCTGTCTTTTTCAGATCAGCACCTCTGCAGGTTGGGACAACCTACTGAGTCCTATCATGGCCAGCTCCCCAGATGAGTGTGATCTATACTTTGTCAACACTGGCACCAACACTCGGGGGAACTGTGGCAGCCCCTCAGTGGGCATAGCTTTCTTTGTCAGTTACATAATCATCTCTTTCCTCATTGTGGTAAATATGTACATAGCAATCATTCTGGAGAACTTCAGCGTTGCCACAGAGGAGAGCACAGAGCCACTGAGCGAAGACGACTTTGAAATGTTTTATGAGGTTTGGGAAAAGTTTGACTCAGAGGCCACACAGTTTATTGAGTTCCCAATGCTGTCGAGCTTCGCTGACACTTTGTCGGAGCCTCTGCGAATAGCTAAGCCCAACATGGTGAAGCTGATCTCCATGGATCTTCCCATGGTGAGCGGGGATCGGATCCACTGCCTGGACATCCTGTTTGCCTTCACAAAGCGAGTCTTGGGAGAGTCAGGTGAGATGGATGCACTCAAGCAGCAGATGGAAGAGAAGTTCATGATGACCAACCCCTCCAAGGTTTCCCATGAGCCTATCACGTCCACACTGCGCCGCAAGGTGGAAGAGGTGTCCGCCATCATCATCCAGAGGTGTTACAGGAGGCATCTGGTGCGCCGGCAGATGAAACAGGCTTCCTACCTCTACAGACAGATCAACTGTGAGACTGTGGTGGATGTGGAGAACGCTCCAGAGACAGAGGGCCTGATCGCCTCTTTGTTACAGCACTATGGACCTGTGGAGTCAGAGGCTGCAGAGACGACAGAGGACCCTCTAATGTCCTCACCACCATCTTATGACAGTGTGACAAGGGCAGCCAGTGACCCGCCAGAGGTTTTCAGATCGATACCCAGAGACTCTAAACCTGCAGAGCCTGGTGAAAACTATGAGGAAACATTTCTCTGAGACTCCTCTGTGTGGAGACGGACTGTTTGGCTTTTGTCTGTTTTGTTTACAGAGAACATAGCACAGGAAAACTTATAGTCAGGGAGATGAACTTTTTTTATTTGTTAGCCCATGCTAATGAAATATGCAATATTTTTATAGATGTCAAAGCCTTTGTCTAAATTCAACAACCCAGAATTCAGTTTTGTTACATAGTCACAACTTCCAACAGAGCCGGACGACTCTGAGGTTAAACTCAGAGGCCGTTCAGTCAAAAATGAAGTAAATGTTTTTTCAGAATGTTATAGCACCAGAAAAAAGAAAAACAGCTTTATATTCGTCAAGAACGTTTTTCAGGCATTAAAAAAAAAAACAACAGAAAAAATGGGTCCGTCATAATTACACTCATGGTAATGTTTGTTGCTAGCTCAATAACATGCTATTAAGCTTGCAGATAAGCCTCATTCACTCTTAAAGTTAATAAACACCAGAGAAAGACTGGAGAGAAGGGGCAAGCGGTGAATAAGCTACCAGAAAACAAACTAAAAATTAGCAGCATTTAAAAAAAGAAAACTGCAAATGTTCAAAGGCTGTTTTAAGCTGTCATTGCTGTTGTTGGTTACACTGCAGCAGCACCTTGAGTGTTCAGGTTTTTAGACACTTCTTCAGCTGCATCTCTGTCTTTTTGCTCACCAACATACTGTTTGCTGAAGGCTGATTGAAAATAATTACACAGGGCACTGATCCTACCAAACAGTTTCAGTGTGCTGCAAATTTGGAAAGTATTTTTGGCTTATTTCTTGTAGAAATCATACTACTCTTAGCCAAAGCCACAATTAACCCATTATTTAAGATGAACTTCTTGACTCTAACAAACCGAAATGGACCTGAATATGTTGTAGTGAGTAAAAAAAATCTGCTAATTGAAAAATCAAAATATACTGGAAATAAAGGTGAAGTTTCTTTAAAAAAATATTTCTTAAGTCAAGAAACGTAAGTCAAGTTTGGCTCACCACATCTGAAACTTTTACTCAGAGCAAAGAATTCATGTCTTATTTTTGGCTCGTGTTTTTTCTGGTGATCTCATCAAAGCTAATGTAAGATATTTAACTAGTACAAGTTCAGATGAACATTTTGTCAAGATATTACATTTTTATTACAAAACCCTAAACTGCTTATAAAGAGTAAAAAACCTGCCAGTGGGGTACCAGTACTCAGCTTTAATAAATACCATCTTCATCTCAGAAACTTAGCATGTCAGTTTTGCTCGCCCTGTTGACAGGTTTTGTTTTCACTCAGGACAACCAGTTCATGTCTGATGATTTTAGCCTAAGCTAACCGAGGAACCATAAATTGAAGTAAAACCTGTAACAAATAACAACAAAACACTTTCTGGATATATGCCAGTAGTTGATTTGTGGTTCAAAAAGGCAATCTGAATGAAGGTGCTCTATACAAGGAAGTTGTGACTCCTGGTTTTAAACATCATCAAATGTATTCAGTTCATGACACAATCAGTGACAGGTAAAACAGTCAATTATATGATGTTATTCATACAACTACCAACATAAAGAAATTTCCAGCAACTTTTCTTGTGCACAAAACCTCAGTTTCTCATGAAGAGTACAAGTTAAACTTGCACTAAAGTAAGGATATCAAAGAGTGACTGTGTGTACTTACAATCCCTGATTTATGTGCCTGATTTTGACTGTTGTCCGCACACTTCTCTGAATCTCTTTAGACTGTCAAATTTGATCTAATGGATGTGGACCGGAAGAGCATGAATGCACCACGAGCGCATTTTGTAATTAGCTTTGTTAAAGAGCTTTGAGACTGTGTAATGTATATAAAGCTAATTTTTACCTATTTTTTGTAATGTATTTATATTGAAATACAATTTCAGTGACTCACATGTCGGCCATAATAAGATATGATCAACGTAATATAAATAGACTGTGTCCATTTTTATATAAAAGACCTTCCCAGAGAACCTGATTGTCTGTGCTGCATTTAGGTTGATCATTTTATGACTGTTTTCTCAAATGGTAATAAAACTCTTTTCCAGATAACCTCTGTTTGAATGTTTAATGGATATGTTTTGAATCATTGTGAAAATTAAGTTCTCACTACAAGGGAACTTGATTTTGCATATTGAGATTTTCTTTCTCACATCAGAACTGCAGCATCTCCCTGTTTCCACATGAGGAATCAGTTAGCTGATTTGACCTCATTACAACGCAGGGCGCTGTTAAACCTCCCCCCTGTGCATGAAAAAGCAGGACAGATGTGCAAACCTCTGCATCTCTGTGGCTCTGTGATTGTATTGCCCTTTAAAGCTTGAATTTGCTTATAATTCCTCTACCTTTCACAGCACACTCACAAAAAAAACATCACCAATGTGGCTGAAATGATCAATACTGATTATTTTTACTTATCAAAGTATTTTAGGGGGAGACTTTGAGAATAAGGAAAAACATTGTTGGAATAAAAACACTGAACTTGCAGGGGTGTGAAATGTACAAACCATAGACAATCAATTTATTTTTCTTTTATTATTATTATCATTAGTATTATAATTTTTTTTTTTCATTTTTGGGCACCTAAAGAATCTTCATTCTTTAAGATGTCAGGGAGTTATACCACAGGAATGTTTTATTATATTTAATTTTCAGTGCCAAACTCAAGTTAATAGTCGAGCACTGCCACATTTTCATTTGAAAAAAAAAAAAATCACCAAGGGTGCCAATTTGGATTTAGCCCCAAAGAGATTTCCTCTCTCTGGTTGTCGGGGTGGTCAAATCCACCTCTGACCAGCTGGGATAGAGGGATAATCTGTGTGTAAAAAAAAATCACTTGTTTTAATTACACACTCAAAGACACACAAATGCACGCACTCTCTCTTTCTCTTTTCACACACACACACACGCACACACACACAAATACATATAGTACATGTACTCATTCATACTACAACTTCTCTCACACACACTGCACTTCTGTCTACGTAACAGATGGATGAATACTCTGAATTTAATTTGGGTGTGTGTCTGTGAAGTAATGGAGAAATGTGACTTGACTGACTGTGACTTGGTAATTGATCTGATTTTTGAGCATTAGGACATGTGGCAGAGATTAAAGCTTCATCAGAGAGAGCAAACATTTTTAAAAAGATTAAAAAGGCACTATGTCTAATTACAAAATGCACCAGCCCACAGTAAAACACTGCAATGTCAGCAAAGTGCAGTGTAAATCACCTCCATACAGTACATTGCGGGTATACTGAACTCTAATACACAAGAGATTTGATGGATTGCATGTTCTATATGTGTCATTTAACATGAAGTCAAAGGTCCTCCCATGTGCTGCCAGTGTCGGTCACAGGGGTCAGAGAGAATGCATTTCATTTTTCTACATGATAGGGTGTTCAGCTTTAAATCTGGGTGCAGCTGGAGTGAACAGAAACTAATGAAATACATGCAAATTAGTCAATGTAGTGTAAAGACAAACCAAATGTAAAGCAGATCACATTCAAGTTATGTGCATGGATCTCCTACTGTCTTCATATTTGTCACCCTAAAAAAAACATAAAGGCAGGACAATATGAAAATCCTCAATCATGCCACTGACAGCCTTGTTTGCTTTTAAATACAGACAGCCATCAATATGAATTTCTGTCTGTTCCATAGATGCCAAAAAACTCCTAACAGGAGCTTTAACTAAGAATGAGTCTTTTAAGTCCACATAGAAAAAAAGAAAAAGCCCCCAAGGCAGCTATTTCTACTGTAGCACTAAAAAGACAAACTAGTTACATTAGTTACATGTGTGGTTTTGTGTTTAGTGAGCAGTTGTGCTGTTTGGAAGACATGAAGAAGGGAGAGGCTGTTGTGGTGCGCAAAAGAATTAGATCAATGGGAGTTTTTGACAGTGAAAACTTGACAAATTATTATACTTTTATTTTGCTATTATACTCATTCTGTATCACAAGAGATCAAACCACCTTCGCTTCACTAGCAAAAAGACAGGGGAGCATTTCAATCTGACCGGTGGATATTGCTAATTATTCCTGTTTCTATACATAATTTCTCGAAATCTACCATCTGCCAAAGATTCTCTTTTTTCTGATCTCTCTTTGTTCTTCTTAAAGTTGCCAAGACAATTTTTTATTATGCCATAAAGCAGGATGAAAATTATATGAATTGATTTCTATGAGCTACAAAAGTAAACAAGACCATCAAAATATTTAGTGACAATTAATTTCGGGTTAATTTTAATGCCTTTGAATGATGCTGGGGGCTAGGCATTAAACAAGTACTACTCATACATGTGCAGGACAAAATCAAGTAACACAAGAGCTACTGCTTAGTGCACAAGATGTGCAGATAAGCAGAGAAAGTTCCTCAAACGAACTTTTGACTGGTTTAAGGGGCTCAAACCTGTTTCTTTGAATGGACAGTATATTTGGTTTTTAAGGAAATGGCTTGAACCCCCTTATATACAGTATCATCTTCATTTATTACAAAATGATTTTCATTTTCATTTGGAGCAAAATGGAAAATACTGCAGATCATGTTTTGGGATACTGCTTCCTGTGATTCATAAGATGTTACCATAGCAACCTCTCAACCAGGATGATGAAAATCATTTTCACTAACATGATTACCTTTAGTTGGGAGAGAAATTATTTCAGGATAAGCCCCTTGAGATACGTCATCAGTCACACAAAAAAATTTGTAATTAATATTCTAGATAATTTGCTTCTTTATTTTTATTTGATGGAGTGACCCGAAATCACAGCTTTTTTATTTTTTCTACACATCAGTAGGACTGTAGTTTAGTTATGCAGAACTGGGTTTTTGTTAAGCTCTTGTGGGTTTCAGTCAAACTGAGGTAAACCATGAACACACTGTAAACTACCTTTTCCCCACATGACTGTTATTAAGATAAAAATACTGCGGACAGGGTTTTGTTCTTTGCAGAGCTGCTCATCTCTCTCTCCTTTACTATGTGGTCATTTCATGGTGGTGGATATTTCTATTAATGGATGCACGGTAAATTCATGGTGGAGATAAAGCAGTTTAGACATTGTTAGAGTTTAAAGTCAAATGAAAAGGTGTGCTAATCTTTTACAGCAACAGTTTGAGGTCATAAGCCTTGTCCAGCTCATTAGCTGTTGAAAAATTGAAAACAAACAGAGAGAGAGCCACAGAAAACAAAGCAGAGGAAAAGGAAGTGGCCTTTTTAGGTACATGGCGGCCCTTCTGTCAGTGACCATGCTCTGTAGGGATTTAGCTGGTGTCGTGGTGGCTAACGCTGCCCAGATGGTGTGATGAGTCAATATCTAATTACTTTTCCCATGGTTCCTCTTTTTCTGAGAAATACTTACTGACCTCCCAGTTTGAGGGCCTTCACTGCCACCAACAGGAGACTAATGAATCTGCAGAGCAGAGGGGAGGATGACTGGATTTACTCTGCCAGAAGATAAAGAAGAATCAGGTCAACTGAAGTCTAAATGTAGTGGTCGTCATGAGACTAAGGGACAACAGGAAGGCCGTATTAAAAAGTCTGAATTTTTGAGATTTTAGAGGACTTTATTTACATCTGATCCACATAAAAACAAGCACAAGTGAGGTGCCCTCAGCAGAGTCAGAGTTGAGAAAAATTTACATCATGTTAGAAATCATTATTTGACAAAAAGTTTTGGATTGAGGCTCACCTTCCTTTTTATTTGTCTCCTGTTTTACTCTTGCTCTGTGTTTTTTTCTCACTGTTTTTAATTCCTTTTAGTGCTTTCTGTAGCACTTTGTAGCAGATTTGTTTAATGTAAAGTGCATTACAAATAAAATCTATTCTTCTGCTTCTTCCTGTTATTATTATTATTATAATAATTATTATTATTATTATTATTGTTGTTGATGTTACATATCTTTTTTATCTCTCCCATGCTGCAAGTTGCAGGGTTCAAGGCTGTGTCCCTTCAGATTGTGGCTTCAAGGTTATCATCTTCACCTTGAGCTGGTCCCCCCTGCTCTTTACGTTTTTCGTAGTTATTAGTGCATTGGGAGTTTTAAAATATATGTTCAGGAATGTATGTTCTGCTGAGACATGAAAAGTGCACATTTGACCATATTTTTGACAAGTAGGCTATCAAAATCCAGTAGCTACCACTCCACTGTACTTTAAACTGGCCTCCAAAGGTCTCCACTTTCTTGTATAGATCGAAAGGATGACATTGATTTTGACTGATGAGCTCAGCAGGCCTTTTATTTAAAATTCTGGGCATGGCCTTGCTTACCAGGTAAAATGTCCCTGCTTTGAATTTATTAGCAAGGTATAACACAGCATTAGCTTGCCTGTAGACCTAAAGTTGCTTTTAGGTATTGATTTTCCAAGGTAATGCAGAAGGCATCTTAAAGGCATTTTTAATACTTTGAGAGTGATTGCATTGTAGTTTTGAAGTTTCAATGTTGATGGGCAGCAAACAAACATTTTATTATAGCTGAATTGTAGTTCATCTACATCAATAAATTATTGCTGTTATCTGAATTATTGACAATGAATACACACAAGAAGTATTTATTTCTTGCAACCTAACACAAACAGTGAGCCAGCTTTTCTTCTTCTTATATTTTGGTTTATGAATGCCATGTCAAAAAGGGCAATTTTTTGCTAAATTTGACAGAGTGGCTCTAAGTGCTTTTTTGTGTGTATATATCTTTGTAAAATGTACATTTTTATCTCATGTTCAACAACAAGTCTAAAAAGATTTTGATTCCGTGCAAAAAAAGAATAAATCAGGTTATGATGTTTTTAAATCATTTAAGCCCCATAGCCTCAGGTGATTCCCAGTTTTTCTTGTCATTCCCTCCGGATGACAAAACTGTCTCAGCCCAATTTTCATCATGTCTTAGTAATATTTGTAGATAGATGTAGGAACACCATCTTTAGCTCAAACTGTATAAAACGGAGCTCTTGGCATTCCAGCCAATCCTTCATTAAAACCACAGCTTGGATCAGTTCAACTTTTGCCCATGAAGTCTGCTGCCATGTGCCATGATTGATGATCAACTATTATGGGGTGATTGTGACTTAAAAAAAAAGCACTATGCCCAATTGCACTTTATGGCATTTTTTTCACATACTCGTGTTGTTTCCACCTGTCTAGATCAATGCTCGTGTTACTTGTTCTCAAATGTAAATTGCTTTGGACAGTCAGTGTCTGCTAAATGACATTGTTACACTCTAACACCATAACAATGGTAAATGTGCCCCTGTCCCAGCTGTTTTGAAATGTGTTGCTGGCATCATATTTCAAATAAGCATACTTTTATAAAGTAAACCCAACAACTTTCAGTTTAAACATTTGATATGTTGTCTTTTCAGTAATTTCAGCTAAGTAATCAAAGGATTAAATGGTTTTAAAACCATGAAATCCTGTTTTTATCAACATTTAACATAGCGACCCTACTTGAAATTGCAAATTTGTGAGGCGTGAATAATAAGAGAATTCGTTACATAAGTATACCTGGCAAAAAAGCTAATTTTGTGTCCAAACCAACCAAGATTTTTCTCATGGTTAGCTTGGCTGTAGTTCACAGGCTTAATAACTGTGGCTTTTATATCTTTAATTGTAAGGTTAGATTTCTCATCAACTGTCTTGAATTATTTTAATTAGTATTTCAATTCTGATTTAAATAATACTGAATTTATTTTAAGATCTGTGGCTTTTAACCAAAATTGTTTAGGGCTGGTTAAATGTTTTATATTGTTGTCTGAATTTTAATGAAGATGCCTTCAAAAAGGAAGTAATTTTGACGTTTTATCGGCTCATCCAGGTCCTGTCCTGGTCTATATCTGCTCTAGGGAGAAGGACTCCCTTATAGGTTCAACAAAACCTGAAGACAGTCCAAACCACATTTCCCATAATGCTCAGTGGAATATGTTTTCTTTTTTTCCGGATGTAGCATCACATGAATTGACTGTCAACATGCAAGATGGCCACGCATCACAGGCAGAATGCTGCTGGGCGGAGAAAAGTACAGGTAAATCTTTACAGCGGCATTGGTACTAAGTCTCTGACAATGGCAACATCTAGGTCTGCAGCTGAAATAAGTGTTTCATGAATACTTTACGGACAGAAGCGACCGTCTGAAAAAGGCAGGGTTGATGTTATGAGTCATGGCTCAAGCCGGCTAACCAAGCTAGCTTAGCATACGATGGCTAGTTATTAGCAACCTCTGCTAACGCAGGCGTCTGAATGAGTACAGGGCTTTGTAACCTATTAGCCATTATGAGTGTGGTAAATTAGTCACACGACAGTTACCTACTTTGTTAATTATAATAAATTATGCATTTACTGTCCGAGAAGCATTTCTTGGCTACAGTAGCATCAATGCTGGCTTAGCTACACAGACTCTGGGCTCGGTCTAATTGCTGGGCAAACGTTCCTGTCTCGGTGCCTCTGTCGTGCACTGCTCTGCTACCTCTTGACGGCACCTTTTCTGTCTTACATTTCTTCATTTTTCGCCTGACATAATGTTGAATAGTTTATTTGCAAACGTGTCACATAGCTTTTTTTACATTGCCGTGAAACTGCAGGACTCTAAACCGTTAGTATTCAGGCGTCTGAACGTGCACGAGGAAGTGGGTGTGTGTCACAGAAATGCGAGGTGGTCGAGATCCAAGTCTGACCTGTGTGCTCAAACCTGCTGTTTATGTGTTTCAGGTGTCTTATGTCATTAGAGATGAGGTGGAGAAATATAACCGAAATGGGGTGAACGCGCTCCAGCTGGACCCCGCGCTGAACCGGCTCTTCACAGCTGGGAGGGACTCGATCATCCGGATATGGAGCGTCTACCAGCACAAAGTAGATCCCCTCATATTATCACCGTGTTTCTCTGTTGCTTTGGCTTAGCTGTGAAATGATAGTCGACACCCCCAATTTTGTATATGTTATTCTCATACCTGTTTTGTTTCTTGCACACAATAGGATGTATATTTCTCATTTTTCATCAAACGTACGAGCACGTTTTCTGCTCTTCTGGTGAACTGAATATGTATTTGTGATAAAGAGAGACTAGTTTCTCCCCTGTGGGTAAATGGAAAATCTGTACAAGCATTGTAATTCTTTAAGTCATCAAATGCAGAGTAAAACCTCTATTCCAACAGCTGACACATTACAATTTTTCATCTCAAGATTACTATGGCCAAAACTGAAAGCTGTTGTTGTATCTCATCCGTCTGTCCGTGATGTATAGCTGTAGAAGGAGGCTTCGTGAAACTGGCTTGCTTGTATGATAGAAATTTATTGCAAAGACAACACCAGTATCAGAACAGCACTGCAGATGCTGGGAGACGACTGCCAATGATGTCCATCTCCCAGAACTCAGTTTGTGCTCCTGTTATATAGGGTTTAGAGGTGTAGCTCTTCTCGCATCATCATTTCTTGACCTCTAGTTCACCTGTCTTTACCATCCAGTTGAGAACTAATTTTGTAATGTGACCTGTAGAGCACCAGCAGCTGGACTGTTTGGGCCAGGAACCATAAAAGACACAACAAACTCAAAGCATACAAGTTTCTCAGGATGCCCCTGGGAAACACCCTGCGCCAGCATAAACTTCACCTAATGTTACTTCCAGATACCACACTGCATTACAGCCCTATGTTACGGTGGCCTTCTATTCTGTATTGTATAAAACATGCTTTTATTTTGAAATTACACCTATGCTGTTTCTCATAAATCATTAGCTACAGAACTGGAATAAAATAGCTGAAGAAAGGTAACAGAGTATAAATGGTCATTTTTTAGCACCATTGAAGAGGCGCACATTGTTTTTGGATTCATAATAAATCCTAGTTAGATGGTCGGCCAGCATCTGATCATCTTTTGAGGGGCTGCCAGTTAGCTTGCATGAGTCTTCTCTGCTGCTACTGCTTCTTCTTTGTCTGTAATTTATGGCACGTGGCCTCTGGTCTGAAGACCTACTTTGTACTATAAACTGATCACTTATTCTATAAAACCGTTTGATTATTTTTGGCATAGTATCAATATTCTTTTTTTTAAATTGACAGTTAGCTCAAATACCCGTCTGTTGCAACTGCCCTAAGGTTGATGTGTCAAAATATATGACAACTAACTGATTTGCATTTGCTTTGTGACATTTTAAGAGATGTCAGCCAAACTGATCAACTTGTTGTTATGTATGGAAAAAAGATGTGAGCATCAAGGTCTAATTCCCAAATGTTCATTTGTTGTTGTCCCTTAGATGATTTTCTGTTTCTGTAATTTAGGCCTCTGTGTTAGTGACCAGGTATACTGTAATACATGTAATTGTTTTTCCTCATAAATACACAGAAACCTGTGCCTTTTTTTTTGCTTTTAAAATGTCAAGTTTTGGTCTCTAAAATTTAATCTGTTTATTTAACTCGATGCACTAAATGAGTCTTGAGAAATTAACAGCCAGTTAAGAGAGGGACTTACTGGTGAAAACATGCCGGAAAAAACTGTTTGGATATTCAGTGACGAAAAATACTCCTCCTGAAAACACAACATATTTCACTAAAAGCCCCTTAACATTTTGACGATCTTTGTTTTAATACAGTGTCCAAATGTGCCAATTTAGTGGAACTGACTTATTTACTGATACACAAACATGTTAAAAACACAAATATAAAGATTTTTGTAACTCCAGGTTTTTTGCAGGATAGTCTTACTGTTTGCTACAAGTGTGCACCACCTTTGGAAAGGTGTTTTTGGTGCTGACTTAGTTGTAATATTTCAAGATATGTGCCAAAGCAATTTAGGAAAGACTGCACTTTATATTTAAGTGTTCAATTCATCTTCAGTTTTTCTTAATGGTCACAGTTTTCTTAAACTCACCTCTCTGTCACTGCAGCAGGACCCGTACATCGCCTCAATGGAGCATCACACAGACTGGGTCAATGATATAGTTCTCTGTTGTAATGGGAAAACATGTGAGTTTACCCACAGAACACTTATTTTTCCTCAGGGTGTAGGTTCTGTTAAGCATTGAACACAGTTGTGTCTCTCCTGTTTTAGTGATATCTGCCTCATCAGATACTACAGTCAAAGTCTGGAATGCACACAAAGGCTTCTGCATGTCGACGTTACGGACACACAAGGACTATGTGAAAGCTCTGGCATACGCTAAAGACAAGGAGCTTGTGGCCTCAGCTGGTCTGGACCGGCAGATCTTCCTATGGGATGTGAACACACTAACAGCACTCACTGCTTCCAACAACACTGTCACCAGTGAGTATTATTTGTTGCTGTGTGCTTAATTCAAGCCATGTAGCCACTCCAAGTTCACCTCACTCCCTGTCATTTCTTTCCCACTACAAGTTGACTTTACTCACTGTAATTTGTCTCCCACAGCCTCGTCACTCAGTGGCAACAAGGACTCAATCTACAGTCTTGCTATGAACCAGATGGGAACAGTTATCGTATCTGGGTCCACAGAAAAGGTTTGAGATTTTGTCAGTACAACACAGTCATATAAATCCAACGTAACAGTCCACAAAATGAGGTGTAGTTATTTTATCTGTGACATTTCTAACATTTTTCAACTTATACGCAGGCAGAGGCAGTGTAGTAGTCATCCACCTTAGGCTCTGAGTGGCTGTGATTTGTTTTTGAGAAACAGAGTTTTCCAGGGACAGCACTTGGTGAATTCGTCATCTTTTATTGCAATGTAGTGTTGGCGCTATTTTGTGATTGGTCCAATGTTTGAAAAAGATGCTGCTATTAATGCCTCTGAGGTAAAAAAGTGGGAAGTTTGCAGTGTGTCTGTGGTTTTTGTCAGTACAGACAAGGGCATCCCAACGGTTCAGTTCTATTAGTTTGTTTGTCCTGTTTTCCCTGTCTGCGATTCTCTCTGTGTTTGACATTGGAATTTAGAGCTGGAGTGATGCAAACTATTTTTCAAGCTGCAATAGAATATGGAGAGTGAATAGCTCAATCTGTTGACTCATAATCCTGTAAGGTGGCAGAGCACAGTTTAGAAGGAGTGAATCTCTGTCCTCAATGAATATCATTAGAGCAACGAGATTGAGATTATTCAGCCTCGGTTTGTATGGCTCCATTTTGTTTTAATTCCAAAAATATGTTGTTTGTAAAAAGTGTTTGGTTGAACAAGCTTACATGAGTGTGTGCACCCAGCGATGGGGGAAAAAGGAGACAGTAGAAAAGAGATCCTTCAATCCTAACTGTTAAGGAGCTGTGAAGGAGCACCCGTCTCAACCTCTCTCATTTTTTCTTAGGTCCTTAGAGTGTGGGATCCTCGAACATGTGCAAAACTGATGAAGCTAAAAGGACACACAGACAACGTCAAATCACTGCTGCTGAATCGAGACGGCACTCAGGTGAGTAAACATGGTTGAGCTGTGGCAGTCGATGAGAGAAAATGTCAAACCTAAACCTTCTGTCCTCCTCCGTAGTGTCTGTCAGGCAGCTCAGATGGGACCATCCGCCTGTGGTCGCTGGGCCAGCAGCGATGTATTGCCACCTACAGGGTGCATGATGAAGGGGTGTGGGCCCTGCAGGTCAATGAGGCCTTTACACACGTTTATTCTGGAGGCAGAGACAAAAAGATCTACTGCACTGACCTGCGTAACCCCGACATCCGTGTGCTCATCTGTGAGGAGAAGGCCCCGGTGCTCAAAGTAAGAGGCTGGCATACAGTTTGATTGAAAGTGAAGTCTCTGTTTTATGACTTTGATATTGCACAGATTGAACATTTTCACTGTGACATGCTTGTTTTTGCTCTCTTTGAGAATTGTCAGCTGTTCAGGTGCTAATTTTACAAAAGTTGTATAGTGTATTTTTTTCTGATGTAAAAAGCTGTAAAGAACAGTGCTGAATATTGACTGTTTATCCTCCTCAGTCATCCCTGTGCTCATAGCTGACCATTTACAGTCACTCAACCTTTCTCCTTTTTTTCTTTTTTTTTGTGTGTGTAGATGGAACTGGACAGAACTGCTGATCCACCTCCAGCAATCTGGGTCTCCACCACCAAGTCATCCGTAAATAAATGGGTAAGCATGCGTGACACCTCTGAGATCACTGCTAGACCGTCTGCATAGTGACTCCTGGATGCGGTGCAGATAGAGACTCCTGCATGTGGCGTGGACTAATGCTATTCATTGTTAATCCTCCTGTAATTTGTGTTAAAAAATTAAGCCAGCTTTGTGATGCGGGGGGTGATACACAAAAGATAATTACATTACTTGAACCACAGAGGGGGGGAGTGATTATAAAAATCCAGGATAATCTGTAATAATGAATCCTGTCTGTCTGTCTGTCTGTCTGTCTGCCTGTGTGCGTGTCTGTGTATGTCCATGTCTATGTATAGTCTCTAAAGGGAATGCACAACTTCAGATCATCAGGGGAGTATGACAATGACTGCACTACCCCTCTGACACCTCTGTGTACTCAGCCTGAACAAGTCATCAAGGGTAAATATGTGTAATATCTATAAATTCAGTATTTTTTGGTCTTTATGTCTCATTTTTGTTGTGGAGTAACATTAAGCGTTGGGTTTGCAGGAGGTGCCAGTATCATACAGTGCCACATTCTGAATGACAAGAGACACATACTCACCAAAGATACCAACAATAATGTGGCTTTTTGGGATGTCCTCAAGGTAAACTCCCGACCTTTAGAGGAGATATTTTAAATCCAAGTGTGATTGTGTTTTCTGTTCTTTACAAGCAGAAGTGATGCTGGTGTTTCAGATTTTTTTCTTGCGTCTTGCTGTTCACTTTATATTCAGCACGTTTCATAGCGTTAGTATGAGTCTGTTCTCACAGTATTGTGTGTGTTTTAAACCACAAGATATGGAAATTAGGATAGCAGGTTGTTTGATTGTGTTTTTACAATCTTTTAGAGACATTTCCCTCTTTTTGAATAAGAAATGGGAAAAAATGCGATTTTAGGTTTAGAAAAAAGCTTTTAAGATGGTGCTGCATTAGGGATCACAACTTACAGCAGCTATTGGATGTTAGAAATGACAAAGATCACAGCATATCCTCTCTTATTTACTCCAGTATAAAGTCTGGCCTTTCCTGCTGGACTCTGAGGGGAATTAGCAACTTTCATGAAAATGTTTTCATTTATAGTTTCTTCTCCTTCGTCAATCGTAAATGGGTTTGATTTTAGTCATTTTCTTGTGACAGCTCTGTGTTTGCTGTTCAGGTATCTGCTCTTATCATTTGTCCTCCACTCGCTGATAAAAATCTTACTCCTGTATGATTTGTGATACTTGCTGTAGTTTGAAGTATGAATTTGATGTTTATTTTTATGTACTTTCTGCTAATGAGGCAAATTAACTCAGTGCTCAGTGACATTCACGATATGATACAATACAATACAATACAATGTGCTTTATTGTCCCCTTGAAGAAATTTGTTCTGCACATGCTAAGTTGCCAGTAAATTTAACAAATATATAAAACAGCACCAAACCCATCAATGAGTCCCCAAGCAATTTGAGAAACTTATCACAAGAAAACCACAAAAAAAAAAAATCCCACATCAACGCCCAAAATTTCTGCCTTTTTTTCCTGATGTTTCATCGCTTTCCCTGTGGGTTAACAGACTTTGTGCATACTTTGTCTGTAGGCTTGTAAGGGTGAGGATTTGGGGAAAGTGGAGTTTGATGAAGAGATTAAAAAGCGGTTCAAGATGGTCTACGTGCCAAACTGGTTCTCTGTTGATCTGAAAACTGGGGTGAGTTCTAAACTGAATCATAATAAGAGAGCTTAGCATCGATCTCTTAAGCACTAACTGCTCTAAAATCAAGTGTCTGACTTGAGTCTGTTCAGAAGTCACAGTGGTGTGTGTCTCTTTTTAATAGATGCTAACAATCACATTGGATGAGAGCGACTGCTTTGCTGCCTGGGTGTCTGCAAAGGATGCTGGGTTTTCGAGTTCTGATGGATCCGACCCTAAATGTAAGACCTGATCAGTCGTTTAAATCAAATAACTGTGAAACAAGCTGTCTTGTTGTTGTTTGGCTGCTGACTTACTTTTCCTATTTTGCAGTGAACCTGGGCGGGCTGCTGCTTCAGGCTCTGCTGGAGTTCTGGCCCAGAACTCGCATCAACCCCATGGACGAGGAAGAGAACGAGGTGAACCACGGTAAGAGTGAGGCGACTTATCTTCTCCGCCGCCAAACGGTTGTGAAAAATAAATCAATCAAATCTCTGCAGTGGTGCTTTGAGAACGACATCCGGCTGTGTGTCGAACAAAGCCTTATGAAGCTGAAAACACCAGGCCCGGGAGTGCTTGAAAGCACTTTTGATACACAGTGTCTTTTAGCTATCATGCCACCGCTGCCTCTGGGTGCTTTGACACGGCATTTTATTGCAAACAGAAAAGTTGGCACAAGATTAAGTCATTGTTCTTGCCCTTGCTTTGGATTAAGGGAAAATTGCTGCATGTAGGAAAAGAGACCTGGGGATACTCGGGAACCAGCAGCATTCATTTGTCCTTGATGGAAAAAAGTATAAAGTATGAAGTAAAGCTTCTTTGTTTGATGAGTGACTTTTTTATGGTTTGGTTCTGTATTATTGAAATAACCAATTTTGATTGTTGTTTAACCTCTGTACTGGTAGCATATAAATACTGAGTTATTTGTCCCTCCTCTCTTACCATATGGTCAACTGGTTGAATGAAACAGTGACAAGAGCAGGGCTGTTTTCAAAACTGAACCTTTTCCATTTCAGATGTTAAAGCCTGATAAAACATGCTCCTCACAGAGTAACCTCTAAGGTCTCTGATGTTGCTGCAGTTTTTTGACATATGAATCAATGTACCCCTCTCATTAGCCCCTCGGGTAAAGGACATTTTGGTACTTCCGGTGTGTTTCCACTCACTCTCACAGCAAGTTTGTGATCTTGTGTCCACAGTAAACGGAGAGCAGGAAAACAGGGTCCAGAAAGGAAACGGATACTTCCAAGTGCCACCACACACACCGGTCATCTTTGGAGAAGCAGGAGGAAGAACTCTTTTCAGGTAATCATTCATTAACTCATAGTACCAACACAGGTTAGATGTCATTTAAGGAGAGGGCAGTGAGTTTTGTAATGTCATCTCGGGTCATAAACAGTTATTATTCAGACTCTTTTATCGCACCTCATCTGACAGTGTGTTTGTTTTGTGTTGCAGGTTGCTATGTAGAGACTCAGGTGGTGAGACAGAGTCAATGCTGCTGAATGAGACAGTCCCACAGTGGGTTATTGACATTACTGTAGATGTGAGTATGGTTATTTGTATTTCGGCTTTGTCACCTTCATCTTTAGATTATTGAGTCATCTCTAAAATTTACATGTTAATGTAAAACAAATTTTAGAGGTCGGTTTGAGATGTTTCGGCAGTAGTGATAAGTGTTTGCTGTCATCAGTTGCTCATTCATACTCAATAGTGGAATCACAGGTTTACCATCATTCCCTTATTTTGGTGTGTCTCAGAAAGATAACTGAAAAGACTGTGAGAAAAGTCTTTATTTGGTTTTGAACAAATGACACGAGTGTGGTGGGATCAGTTTGACCAAATGTATTCTTCACTTGATTCATGATGGATGTGGTACATCATGTTTTACAGTTTATAATCAAGTTTCTCTAATGGGATAAGGCAGCAAGAGCAGCTTGTTCATAAAAACAACAACAACAACAAAAAACAGTGTCTAACAGTTATTGTTGTGTATGTGAAACAATGGACCTGATTTAACTTCTAATTCTAAAAACAATAGTAATGTCGAAGTAATAAACTCGGACTTTATGTTTACATTAATTACAGTCATCCAGAGATGGAAAGGCCGCTGATAGCCGCTTGAAAAATAATTAATGACTGTTTTTTTTTTTGTTCAGAATTATTCCAGGTCTTTAGATCAAGAGAGAAGTTTATCAGTTTAGAATATTATCTGTCTTTTTGACCCATTAGGTTTTGATAGTGAGCCAGTGTGCATCATTGAAGGCTGATAAAATTAAAGCACTATGTTTGAGTCTGCTTTTATGGGTGTTACTTATGACTGCTTTTACTCATAAATACTTGAATTTAGACTGAAAGGGTGAAGTCACTGTCTTCACAACACTTGTAGAAACTCTTGAGATACTGTATATGTCAAAAAAACTATTCCTCTGCCATCTTACATTGTTTTTGATTTCTCTTCTGTTCCAGAAAAATATGCCCAAGTTCAACAAAATCCCGTTCTACCTCCAGCCCCATTCTTCCTCTGGTGCAAAAACTCTGAAAAAGTAAGTCCCGATGACCTTTTATCAGTGAGCAGAAAACCAACACAAACCTGGATGCTGCAGCACCAGCTGATATGGTTGAGAGCTGATATGTTCTCTTTTTGTTCTGCAGGGACCGTCTGTCGGCCAGTGACATGCTGCAGGTGAGGAAGGTGATGGAACATGTTTATGAGAAGATCATCAACCTGGACAACGAGTCCCAGACGACCAGTTCCTCGGCCAATGATAAGCCAGGAGAGCAGGAGAAGGAGGAGGACATGGCCATGTTAGCCGAGGAGAAGATCGAACTTATGTGTCAAGACCAGGTGGGCAGGATGTTTTCACACTGTAATACTAGAGCATCCTCACTAAGATGCTCCTAATACCAATTCAGATGGCTTTACTTCAGTCTTGGCTGATGACAAGTAAACCTAAGAAACTAGTGCATTTCCTGTGTTTGATGGTATACTTGTGGTGCTGGGGCACTGGCAGGAGGAGGGGAGGTTGATGGAAAAATATTTAGGAAATACATCAAACATTAAATTACACAGAATTGTGTTCCAACAAATCAGATTTATTCAAAATATTCATGTTTATTTTAAATAACCTGCTAGTTAATATCTTAATTGGTCGGGGCTTATAGTTGTTTTTTAACAGTGTGTACCTTCACAGCCAGGGTTTCTCCAGAAAAACATCTCTGATTCTCTGCTCTGATCAGCTTTTATGCACGTGTTTGGTCCTTCTCCACCGTTTTTAAACCATGATCTTGTCTTGGATCCTCTTGCGCATCACTTTAAATGTCTTTCAGCAGTAACCTCAATGGTAGATGCATTCTTTTAGATACATTCACAAACCTTTGGACTAAACTGATCTTGTGTTTCTGCGCTGTTATTGCCCTGCTGAAATGTAAAGCTACAGCTACATACAGTTAGCCTATGTTAAGTTCATGTGTCATTTTTTTATGACTTTAGAGGATTCTCTTTAGTTTTGTTTATGCACGTAACAGAAAAGCAAACTCTGAAAATGTCATCCAGAATGTGAGTAATTCTTTGGCATGCAGTGTTTAAGTGACTCTATTTTTCATTGCACTGGACAGTGTTTGGTGGTAGAGATATAGTGATCATGTAACCATGGTTACTTACTCCCTCCTGTATTGAAAGACAGGGATGAAGGGAGCTGCTGTGATGCTGACTAAGGTCACTCGGAGCGGCATGCTCCGTCTTGGGTGCTGTACTCTTAAATACCACATTTTTATTTCAAATATGAACCCGCTCACATCAGCACCTCTTTTATTCAGTTTGCTTGTATATTTATGTTCTTCCACCAATCTTTCTCAGTACATTATAAAGAGTCGTCCAAATGTTACGACTCCTGTTTTAAATAGTTTCCTGCTTTCAGGTAAACTTAATGCTGGGTAGGTTATCAGTGATGTGGGAAAATGAAGTAGTTAGCTCAGGCTGTCGCAATAACCACTATTGACATAAACAGTCTTTTCTAAAAATAAAAATATAGCTATCATGTTACAAATAAGCATAAATTAGTACCTTGAGTTCACAGTGGGGGTCCTTACACTGGGCCATGCGTTTTTCTACAGGGGATAGACAAACGGAAAGTAACCCATTGATGGTGATTAGATGCTATTGAAAACTGACTTTCCAAGATTGACTGTGTATCCAAAAACAACCTAACAGCTGGTACCTCTGCAATGTACCTATTAATTAAACATTTGTACTTCCTGTTATTTTCACTGTTTTCTTTCAGTCCATGCAGGAAATAAAGCAACCTCAAGGAAGGACAGAAAACTATCGACATAAAAGCATACAATCATTAATGATTGGTCATATGGATAAATCATCAGTTTGAACAATTTTAGAAATGCACGATGATGACATATAAGGAAATGTTATGTACTAATTAAGTCTATTAAGTAATCTGTAGCTCCATCCTTGTCTTGCCTTTCTTGAGTTTGACTGTTGTTGCCAAATGAACTTTCCATGAACATCATTGTTGTGATATCTTGAGGCCTCAATAACCATGAGGTGTAAATCGGAGATCCTGGCAGCCCTACAAGTAGCCATAACTTCTCTTATTCATGTTTAGACCTCTGTTCTGGACAAATAATTTTTTTTTTCCCGAATGCAGTTAAATAATCATTTCATTTTATAGTATATCCAATTATGTATTTTAGGTAGGATCTGTTCTGACAAGTCTCTCCAAAAACAAGAGCACCAACAGTTTTTTCTCTTTCTCATCTTTAAACCAGGTTCTGGACCCCAACATGGACCTGCGAACAGTTAAACATTTTATCTGGAAGAGCGGAGGGGACTTGACGCTTCACTATAGGCAGAAGTCCACGTGAAAGTCCGAATTTTTAACACAAGAACTCTTCGTCATTTGCCAATCACCACCCACCTCTGACATGTAGTCCCCTAAACCCCATTATGTGGTCAAGAGTTGCAGCATCAATGAGAACCTGGTAAAAATTGTGTGAGGACGCGGCTCATGGTGTATCATAGGGAACTGACCAGAACAGGCTGGAGCAGCAGAAGATGAAACCAGGGAGACAAAGCGGTCCGAAGGTTTTTTTTTTTTTCTTTTTTTGTTTGTTTGATTTTGAAACCGTTTGAAGAATGGACTCCGTTTCCTCCAGCGCTCACCAGTTTCTGTTTTTTGATTTCACTGCTACATAAGGTTTTCTTTCCTGTTGTTGGCATTTTACTTTAAAGCGTTGGAAGTTACAGTACATGTTTGTGTCCGAGTGTGTGTGCGTGTGTGTATGTGTGCGCGTGCACATGCACATGGATGTAGTAGACTCTGCGTTTGTTCTAGTACATTCCAGAAACTGTCCTCGTTCTATAAACACTCCACAGTCGTCTCTGCAGCGTCACATTTTAGGACTCACTCTGTCTCTGGGTAGCATCACAGCCCCCTAAATAAATCCTCCTTCTGTTATGTCATCATCTCAACTCCAAGTTTAACCCCGGCTTAGACTTCTAATTACTGCAGAGCTCGAACCTCATTGACAGATGCACTCGTCTTTGTCTTTTCTTTTTAGCTGTGCTGTTCTAAATGGACTGAATGTTCTTTCTTTTTGTAAATATATGTACAACATTTATGATTTCAGTGACTTTTTTTTTTTTTGGTTTTGCAGCAGTTTTATTGTGTTGATGTACAGTTTACTTAAAAAATGACAGTTATTTTTCCAAATCCCTAGAGCACATTCATGGTCATGAAAGAAGTCTGACTTGGATGTTGAAAAAATTGCATTGTTGTATTCAGTACAACCCAGAAATTGCAGTTTTCCTTTTCAGAATGTTAGTAGTTGTCCAAGTCATTTTAGCAAAGGGGAAATAATATATAAGATATGTATCTTTAACAGTAACTCACGCTTACTGGCTCTGCCCTGCAGTGAGCAGTGACTTTGTTGACGGTGAGGCTGTTCCTAATGTATATTTCATTTAGAATCGATAGGACTTCAATGAATCATGAGTATAACTTGAAGGGGAATCTCATCCAACAGATGATGAACACTCAAACACTGTGGGGAAATTCACCAAAGTGAAATAAAACAGTAACAACCATTTCTGTCCTGGTGCGACACCGTGCAGAACCACAGATTGTTTCATTGTAAATTTTCTGCTGTTAATTTTGCCATGTTGAGTGTGTGTTAACGCCATAATGGGGAATGAGCTCTAATTGGCCAAAAAAAAACCATGATGGGTACCAGAAATTAGGCCATAACACTGCAATATCCCTTGTTGTAATAATTTGTGAAATATGTATATTTTAGGCAATGGAAGAAATAAATTGGAATGGTTTAACAATGACAGATTGATGAGCATTATAAATGGATGTTTGCGGAGTTCTGTGTTCAGCAGATGAGTGGAGGAAGAAAAAAAACACACAAAGGACAACAATCTTTTTTTTTTAGTCAAGTGATATGATTGTTTAACCATCAGATTCACCCATTTCACAACCTTCAGAAGACTCTGCACTCATTCATGATAAAACATACAATTACTTAATAAAATATCTGCAAAAATACTTTTCATTATTTTACACTAGCACCTACTTTGACTGTGAAAAACACATAGAAGCCCTCTAGAAAACAATTACTTAACAGCAGCATACTGTACACCGTGCATCATCTATTGGGTTAAAGCATCAGCTGTCAGCCAAACACTCGTCCGCTGTTGCATAGATCATGATAATTACAAAGAAAGAGTAGTTTTGCATGAGTTGTTTGAACATGACTCCAGCAATACAGTACAATCTTTTCAAACAGATGCATGGCTTCAGAAGTCGGATTAAAAACAGTTTAAAAAAAACTACTGACCTTGTTACATCAGGGGCTAAACTTGTACCAACAACTTTCCCGCATAACAGAAAAAACAAACAAATTTAACTTCAGCTTTAAAAATACAACCAAAGTTACTTTAATTCAGCTGTTGATGAAAATTAGTGTCTGCACAATTGCTCTAAAACTCATCTAATCTACAAACAGCCTGTTCACTTTAAAATTTAGTGTTTGGGATTTTAAGGTGCCTTGTTGCTTTGCCTTGATGAATATTTGTGTTTATCTTTGGAGGTGTTCAAGTACACACCACATCACTGTACCAGAGGCAGTTTGTCACCCGTATGAAAGCATTCTGCACCAGGAGACGTAGCTCACATATTGACCTTAAGAGCAGTAACTTAAAAATCTTACACATAAAACAAAAAGTGTTTTTTTTTTTCCCTACTGGTATATTAATGCTGGCTTCAGTGTAACGAGCCCAATAGATGGGTCTCATGGAAAGCCTGCTAACACCTGGTATTGACATGCGTCCTGGGTGGTCTGATCCGGGGTGGACAGGTCTGAGGGCAGGGACGTTGGACTGGTTGGGTGTTGGGTATACTGGGCCCTCAGAATTAAAGTAATGAATTGCCATCAGTGCAGGGAAGAGCCAAAGGAAGGCCCGTAGTTTTGTTCAAAGCTTCTAAATACTGCTGACATCAGAGTGCATCTCCAGTGACTGCTTGTGTTTGGATCCTACTTGATGATAGGGCTGGGCGATATGGGAAAAAGTTTATGACAATATATTTTTTTCATATCAGTCGATATCCATATGTATCACGATATAAAAGAATCACTTGTCAATCTTAAATGTTCCCTGTTACTCTTACATGAAATTCAACAGCGCTCATTGGTAGCATGTATTTTGCAATACAATGATCTACTGCATCTGTAAGAACTTGGTGTCTCTTAGACGTTTTGTCGTAAGGCACTGCGCTACAGAAAGCCAAATGGTCGGCTGCACAGGCGCCATGGGCTCCTTGCTCCGCTCGGGGTTTATAACCTTTTGCATTGTGCGTGCTCTGCCGCGCTGCACTTCTTCGGGTGATGTAAAAGGTTTGAGGTATTCCCCAACTTAACAAGAACATGTTCTCAACATAATTTGTAGTGCACATTACTCTGCTTCATGTTGGACCTCAAAAAAACAAAATACCTCCAAACCACCAACATTTTTGTGCCAATGTTGTCAACGCTGTAATAAACTGTCAGCTTCGAGTGCTATGGTTGCATGTAGCTGCTAAACCTGCTAATACTCAGTTGTTTCCAACTTGGTTCTAATTCAGCACATGATTGGTTCAGCGCGAAGCAGACCCCGAGCAACTCCCCTTTTCATTGGCTATTCGTATCGTCTACCAAAACATAGAAGAATGCCAACTTTTGAAAAGCATATTGACTATGTTTTATATTTATATCGTGGGAAATTAATTTTTGATATATAGTTATCGTTTTATCGCCCGGCCCTACTATAAAGGGGATTACTAACAAACTTATGAATGTTAAATAAAACCACAGGAAGCACAATTTCAATGCATCCGGTATTAAAAATTTAACACTATCTTAAAATTATCAGGCAACTGGAATGTGATGTTTCTCATATTTTCATGCACATCCCACCTAAAGCATACTCTACTTTCTTAAAAGACTGTCTAATAAGGCAACGCAATAGTGCCTCAAGACATTAAAAAAAGTCAGGATGCCAGGTAAGTGGGATGGGATTAGGCAGCCCTTCACTGTGGCCCAGGACACATTCAAGTACAGACTGTTAAAAATGTGTCCCTAATGTGTCTTTGGTGTGTTCACACCCGTGTTTAAAGCTGTCCGCTTCGGATTGGATCACTCAGGATGTGTGTTAATACCAGGATCAAACAGGCCTCTGACTCTTAGACTGTCAGACAGTTTTTCCCTTACTCTGCTTCCCCTTTAGCGTTTCTTTAAAAAAAAAAAGCCCCACTGATTGTCAGATTTACTCTGCACTGTGCATTCAGCCTGATCCTAGCTTACTCAAGATGCTGCTCCTCTGGTTCCTCCTCATCACCCTCATGGCTGCAGTGAGGAGCAGGAGCTGTGTTCTGAGGCTCTGCAGACACGTCTGCCGGCCCTGTTGCTTCCTCGATGGCCTGAGCGAGAGAGTCGTCAGCTGTGGGCTCGGTCACAGCTGAGGGCTGGAGGAGTTCAACGGGAGACGGAGCGAGTTGGTCTGCAGCGGTGACCGAAGCATCTGCAGAAGCCTCAGGGGACTCAACAGGGAGAGTCATTGCACTCACATGTAGACTTTCTTCAGTCTCACCTAGAGAGACAGACGGGTCTGTGGACTCTGGGCTGAGGTCAGATGTTTCAGCTGGTGAAATGCCTGAATCTGACAAGGCATTATTGAAAGCAAGGCCAGAGGAGAGGTCCACAGCATCTTGAGAGCTCAGCTCTGTTTCCTTGTTTTCTGCTGTTGATGAAACCAGCACACTGTCCTCCAGCTCCTCTGTACAGCGAGAAATACCAAGTTTATGTCCCCCTGCTTTTGATTTTACAATGAAAGCTACAGGAAAATTGGTATGAACTCACCAATCCCAGAAATGTCTCCCTCCTTCTCCTCATGCATAGCCAGGGAAGTGTTGGTCATATCGATGGAGGACATTGACAGATCCAGTCTGTCCATCAGTTCTGAAGGGTCAGGGTTCATCACGGCCACCTCAGAGTCTAAGAAACCTGAAAACAGAAACAAGACAAGTTTTTTGTTTTTTTTTTGGTATTATTATTATCTTCCAAACACTTCTTTTTCATTTATTTTCAAAGCCTGAGTTCTGCACACTCAAGCTGCACCTGTGTGACATGCAACTCTTCCCTTTCATTAATGCTCCCAGGTTAACGGGTCAGAGCAGCCACACAAGCTCTGCAAACAGTGCATGTGTCCTACAAGCTCCACAAGGCTCACAGAAGAAAAAGCTCAGTAGAAACAAACTGCTCAGAAGCAGCAATATTCACCTTTCACTCCAATCTCAGGGGTTTTTCTTTGACTACACATAAATTAAATTCATATCAACCAGCTGAAGCATATGATTTCCTTTAGGTTTCCTCAATGAAAAAAGCAGCTCTGACACATTCCTGTTAAAAACATCCTGATCTACATCAGTTCAGTGTGGCGGCACTACTCAGCTGTGCAATGTGTCCCAGGTTTTACGCATCTGTTCTCTAAATTTTCTCCCTCTTGGATAGAAGTGAAGTTTAGAATCAACCATGCAAGAAAGAGGTCTGTTGTGTGTCAACACTCACAATGTCAGGGATCATACTTTTTCAGCTGAACCAAAACAGCAGAACATTATTAACTCTTATTTTTGAGTGTTCTCTTTTATGCTTATTTCTATAGAAAGACAACATTTTAAGTTTTGTAACCTAAAGGGTTGTATTGTTTTGTGAAAAAATTAAGACAAGAGCAATTTTTAATTCAATGCCAGCAAAACGTTTCAAAAACAGTTAAAACATTTAAAAAGTTGTGCAATACTCAAAAAACGACATCGAGAAAAATCTCCCAACTACTTCAGCTGATCTGCATGACGTTAGTAAACATGGGAAGAGGTTGACCACTCTGTGAGAGACCGCACAAGTACATTATAGCTCAACAATTTCAGTGTTATATTCCACAGCAGACAATTACAAAGGAGTTGGGAAAGTCACTGTCTACAGAACATGTCATCATTAACAGATTCAGAGAATCTAGAGGAACTTCTGTTCAAAAGAGACGACACTGAAAGACCAATACAGGCGACTCTGTCGTGTAAACCTCAGCACAGTCTTAAAATTACTTTAAAAAACCAATGCCCCTTTGTTGCTGCATCCACAAATTCAGGTTCAAACCATACTGTGCAGTACGGAAAGCTTATTCAAATTTGATGCATGGACATGGGCGACAACTGAAAAAAAATCTGACCCATTTTGACACTGAAAAGACAACATACAGGGCCCTGTAAGTTGAGGGGCTGGAGTCCTTCATGTAAAAAGACTGGCAAAGCTTTCACTTTCTGCAGAAACTGCCCTCTTCAGTTACTAAACATTAGTGAACACACCTGTCTCAACTTTTTTGAATCTTGCTGGTATCAAATTAAAAAATTAGCATCTATATATATGAATTAAAATGCTTTTTTAACCTACAATTAAAAAATCAGTTTCAATGTCTGACATGCTGTCTTTGCACTATTTTTGATTAAATATGACTTTGAATGATTTTCAAATCATCAAATTCACTTTTTATGGAAAACAATTGTTCCCACTTTTTCTGAAACTGGGATTGTGAAGAATTAGGGAGCTGAACTGACCAGGATCCATGACTCTCTGCACAGGTGGAGGTAGAGGAGGTTCCTGGAGGGTGACCTGATCCAGGTCTAACACATCAGCCTCTTCATATGAAGGTGCCAACAAAGGGGCCTAAAAAGAAAAAAAACATCTGTTGTTACCCATAGTTTGAACAACCTGCAAAGCATTTGCTCTTTTTGGATTCTTAAATGTAATTTTTTTTAAGTACACTTATTATGATTGGAAAAAAAATCATAAGTTGCAGAACAAAAAGTGGTTAATGAACATTTACCTCCGTGTATCCATGAGCAGGCTGCTTTGGAGAGGGTTGCACCTCAGGAACTGGAGGGGCGGGTGTTGCTGCAGGAACTTCAGGAAGTGCTGGTATTCGGTGCAGGTAGCCATAACCAATACCACAACCCAAACTGTGAACATTTTACAGGTCACTTTAAGCACCAATACTCATATTCCAGTATTTCTCAACACAAAATAATGCCAAATGATCTGAAAAAACAGACAAACTAACTGTACTTTGCAATTCTTTGTTGAAATATACTTTTCACTACAGATAATAATTTATCAGCAAGGATCTGACTTTTGAATTAGTCAGTCAAAGACAAGAACAATGAATTAATATGAGGAAGAATTCTCCGGTAAGTCTGTGAAAGTGTCCCTGTGTTGTCACATACCTGCCCTCTCCGCCCCACGCTCCATTTGGTGTGACCACCACCTCTCTGCAGGTGTCTGTTTGTGTGTTGTACACCAGCAGCTTCAGGGGCTTCCCTTCATGAGCCTCTATCAGCGAGAAGAAGTCCTCGGACTGAAAATCAGAAGCTCTGGATTAACCAAGACTCAGATTTTCAATATTTCTGAAGAGAGACAATTTGTATGAAAGTCAAACAGTAGCATTAGAGTGTCAAGTGAACTGCAGTCTTACATCTTGCATCACTTGATCTGCTCCAACTATGTAATCACTGTGTGGCTGAAGTCCTGCCAGTGCAGCAGGAGAGCTGGGTTCAACATCCTAAAGAAAAAAAAGAGTGACAAAACAGCACTGGAGCTCAGATGGAGGTTCAAGTTTATGTAAGAATCAGGTCAATCAGTTTCATTCTCCATGTTCTTGATGGAGATGCTCACCAGAACGTGCCAGACATTCTCATTGGCTCCCTGGTAGCTGCAGAAGCGAACACTGGCCCCCAGCAGGCCCTGTCCCCCCCACATGTTACTGGGCATCACCTCCAGTTCACGAACCCTCAGAGTTTTGGTGCTGTACACCTCCATCTTCACCACTCTCTCCATGTTGGCTTTCAGAATCTCCTTCAGCTGTTCATTCTCCTCATTCTGGTGAAAAGAGGTCCAAAAAGGAAGGATAATACACCAGACCGTTAGCTCCTCTGGATAAGCAGAGCAGATACCTGTTATACAGTTCATCCAGACAAGATGAGCCTTTTTGATATCAATGATGTCGATCTATTTCTGGGGAAAAAAACGCCCATTTCAGCTGTCATAAGTTTAGTTTTGACTGACCCGATTTAGAGGCGAAAGTGAGTCCACTTCTCCTTGAAAAAATGTCATACTGGAGACCTACAATTACAACTAGAAGAATTGAATTTCATTTATCCTTAATATTCTTATTAAATGTTGATATGGCTACTGTCAAAGAATTTTTAATCTAAAACCAAATCCTGACAATGAGAAACTGAGGTCAGGTATCTGTTCACACTGTTCCTGTTCCCGAGTTATAATGTAGTGGTAAATACTGTATCTTGGAAAATGAGTTTTAAGAATAAATAAGAAGAACTTTATCAATCCCTGAAGAGAAATTAAATTGTCTGTTGTCTCACATAATATGTCTCTAAAAGTTACCAACTATTTACACAAGAGTTATAAACCCTGATGGCTGTTGGTACAAAAGATCTTCTGAACCTTTCTGTCCTGCAGCAAAGAGAGAGGAGCCGTCCACCACCATTGACCATTTAGTAGTGAGAAGAGACTTTTTGTGTCTCTGCACATTTTATTTCTATCCAACTTTTACTTCTCACCAGTCTTTTGTTGTCCAGAGACAGGATGAAGTCAAAGAAGGGCTGCAGTCCGGCTTTTTCTGCAGGGGAATTTTGCTGCACCTGTCAAACCAACACAACCAGAGTTACTTTTCTTTTCTAAATAAAATCTAAATGACAGACTTTTTAAGTCTAATCATGAACTAGGTAAACTAACTTTTCAAAGAAAATGTTGGATAACTTGAAACTGCTTAGTTAAATCACCAGTCAAAAACTACAAATATACCACTTAAAATCACCTCATCAGGGATAAGATAACAGTTATTATTGACAGCAGCCCATGAGTTTCTTTGGCTGTGAGGGTTTCAGCTTTTCTGAGACACAAGTAAGGAAGCCCTTAAGGGAAAAAAAAGTTGATCCAAATCCCAAAGCAGCAAATCAACAACAACAAAACTCTGACAACACACCATGATGATCACTCTATCCATTTACAATCATTCCACTTATCTTTTCAGCATTAATGTGTTGTGATCGTCCATTACTTATCATTAAAGAGTGTAATCCACAACCACTGTTGTGGAGGTCTAAGTATAAGCTACTTGTGTTCATCTAATATCCTATATCTTCTGACAAATAAAATTATATTAGTCATGTTTATGCTCCTCTTCAGGTTTCACTGGCACAACTTAAACATTCCCCTCACACAGCTAACATTGCACAACAGGAGAAGAGGCAGTCTTATCTTTGTTTATTCGTTAAACACAATTTGCCCTTTCTTTCCAGCCTTTAGTTTGGGCTGTAAGATTTCAATCATTTTCACTGTTGCTATATTTTTGCATCTTAAGTACACTTTACATGAATAAAAAGTTAATTTCTTTGTCTAAAAGGGAACCAAAAATGTGTCACTAAGCACTGCACTCGCATACGATGTTAAAGTGTATGTGACCAATAAATGATCATGTGGAATTAAAATCTCTCCACAAGTCTTTCTTTGTGATTAATTTGCTTCCATCATCAAAGAGTAAAAAATAATTAAATAACTCAGTTCTTTTGCTCTGAAACGTCTCGTAGTAGCAGATAATCAGTGCCAACTCATCAGGTTTGCACGGTGGGTCTGCAGCAGCTGATAGTTAGCTTAGCTCTGTTAGCATCAGGAACACTTCATCATAAGCTGCTGTACACGCTGTCCCAAATACAACAAAACCTGGATTCTTTCTTACTCCGTGCACGTGGTATCCATACGTTCCTCCCTCGGAAACGTCTGAACTCTGTGACAAACCCATTTCCACCAGAGACTTTCAAATATTGGCTAGTATTAACAAAAAATAACAAGAGTATGACAATTATTTCGCTTGACAGTCCGCGGCCATCTTGCCTGTAGTCCAAACCAATCGAACATCGCCAGACTCGCATAGGACCTTATTGGCGCATGCGCATATCACCAACTTTTTTCCTGTATTTTATTGGAAGGGAGTTTACCCGTGTGTGTGTGTGTGTGTGTGTGTGTGTGTGTGTGTGTGTGTGTGTGTGTGTGTGTGTGTGTGTGTGTGTGTCGTCGTACTTTTTCACCAAGAGCAACAGGAACGTTTAGTTTTACGGCTATTTCTTAAAAGAGCCAATAAATGATTTTTGTGGCACCACCCCAAGTCCCATGAATATACTATGCAAACCAAGCCAGTGTTAGAGAATTATAATGTTGTTCTGTGCTGTGAGACATATCAGGAAAAACGAGTTTCTGAGCTGGGGGAATCCCTTGGAGGCCGACCTAAGGTGGAAAAACTGCTCAGACACTCTGGCAGGAATTTAGTGCCTCGCTTGACATAAAAATCATAAACAGTGTTATGATAGAAACTTTAACCCAGGCACTTTGCATCCACCTTTATATCTTGTAAACTGGTATTCCCATTAGTTACTTATTTATGTGAAAACTTATTTATCTGCAATAATGCCATTTTTAGCACTGATGATGAAGCTCATTTCGTATTACCATGGGAAAAACTGGGGTGTCTATACTTTTAAGTATTTCATGGCAGATTTTAAACTGGATTTAGTTGTATCACGGACAGAGTAAAGTGTTTCATTATAGATTTCAACTGCATCTTAATGTTTTCCAGCTTTGTTTTCCTACATGAACTTAAGATATAAACAAATAATTTTGAAATTATTGAAAAAAAAATTAAACATTTTTTATTCTTTTGAACTCAGTACAGAATTCTTACAAACATAAACTTGAGCATTATTGAGACAACCCAAAATTAGCCAGGCAGTTGAAGTGGATTATCCCTCTTACACCATGGCCAGCAGCCAGAAAAAGAATAGACATTTTTGTTGATATCTTGGACAATGACTTTTAAAATGGGATTTTTTGTCTTGTCTTCACCATTATGTCAGAATAAATTAGTAAAACAAATGAAATGATGTTCCCCTTTAAAACAAGGAGTGTATAAAAAACATACAAACAATGTGAAGAAAGTTATGAACTATGATGAGACTGCTGCATCACTGCCTGCTGCTTTATTGAAGGTATGTCATTTGTCCAGCCTACATTTTCTCTGAGGCCATGGTGTAAGACATTAAATAGCATTTCAGAGATCATCGTACATGTTCAGGGATAAAAACAAGACATATATTAATTCTCAAGTGTGGTTTCTTTGAAATAAAGGCAATTTTTAGGCAATAGAAAAGTTTCCAGTAAGGAAAAATATTACATCATTCTTTATACATAAAATAATACAGATACATACAGTGCTTCATAAATTAAAATGTTCACACAGTCTCATGTCAGCAGATTGGATTGAATCAGCTATAAACACTGAGTTTCAGGGACCTGCTCTGTACTCGGCTCCGTCAGGCCAATCAGAGACTCCAGGAGGTAGGTACTCGACTCGTACTGTGGCAGGCTGACAGAGCTGAACAGCTGAGGGTGGTAAAAGCTGTCTGTGTGTCTATGTGCTTTGAAAGAGCTGTGCAGGGGTCCAGAGGTGTAGTCACTGTCGAAGAACTCCAGGTCAGAGTCCGAGGAGAGACTCAGGTCCATGTATAGGCTCGAGGAATAATTCACCGTGGGGGAGGGCGTGCGTGGGTAGCCCTCGAGAGAGTCATCATCAAAGAAGTCTCTAGATTGGTTTGCGTTCTCATCAAGGTAATCAGTCAATAAAGTCCTGTTTGTGTTGTTTCTTAATGTGTTGTCTGTCTGTGGACCTTTACTGTCTGTTTGTGTGCAGTAAGGGGCAGAGTCAGTGCTGTATTGCGTCAGTGGTTCTCCTGTTTCCCTCTTTTGGTTGCACGTAGAGTAGTATTTATTGTCAGAGTCACAGATGTCTAGGGAGTGTGACATCGCTTCGTCAACCTCAGGGAGACTCTGACTCCCGTTGAGGACTCCTCCAGTATCAGAATCAGAGGAGGACAGAGAGGATTCAGTCATATCACTGCTGCAGCTATTCTCCTCGACCAGCCGCTCTGGGCTGAAATGAAAAGAGACGCTGGTGGGCATGGGGAGAGAGATGCCCTCTTCTTCCATGCTGAACCCAAAGGGGCAGCTCTTCTCCTGTTCATTTTGCTCCCGATGGCTTTCATCCTGGTCCACATGCTCCTCAAGGTCCTCTTGCAGTCCAGTCTGGTCCTCCTGGCTCAGTGTTTCATTTTGCAGTCTCCTCTCCAGTTGTAGTCTCATGGCAGTGTGGATGTAATGAGTCTGCACACGTCTGGAGTTGAACTCGATGCGTCCCTGAGTGTTTCCACAGCCATCTTTGCTGCAGCCACATGGAAAGTTGAAGCGGTCCACCTGAGTGTGAAACAAGAAAGAGAAACTCAGTGCTCAGGGTAAATACAAAAGGGATTATTGACACCTTTATCTGGACTAAACTTTAAATTCATTAAGAGACAGGAGCAAATTAAACAATTGTAACTGATAGATCAAAAGGTTATCTCTGAGTTTTCAATATTTCTGTATCTGTATCAAGACTTAACTCTTGTCCTCCAATAAATAAACTGATTGCTCCTTTTTCACAGTGACGCATATAAAATAATGTCACTTATTTTGACGGTAGTTCTGCAAAACATCCCAGTCCACAGAATTTCAGTGTAAGAATAAATCTAAAAATGTTAAAACCATATTTGCTGATAAGGAGTAAGCCAAAGGTAATGTATAAACTGAGATTTCATTAGTTTGCTGAGAGGAAGGAATAAAGTATGGACATTAGAGGGGGGTGCACAACACTTCTGTTAAATTGCAAATTTAATTTAATTATTTTACTGTGGGTTTAAGTAAGGGATGCATAAATAAATGCTTGTACACATCAACCACAAATAAATGAAAAAGGTAAGTAAGAAGCTTCATACCAGCCAAAAGTCTTTAAAAAACTTTGTTTAATGCTAGCTAAATGTAAAGGTTGCCAAAATTTGTACAAATCAGCTAATGGACAAATGGTTAAGTAATTAACTTATTTTAAGAACTTGTTTTGAAACTAGTCAAAGTAAGGGCTACACAGTAGAAATGGTTAGCTTAAGAGTAAAACAAGGCATAATGAGTTCATGTTAGCTATCAGATATGTTTAAACTGAAGGCTTAACATTTTAGCCCAAAATGTTAGATTCATGGTTAAAATTGTGAAAAATTACAGTTTAAATAAAGAGCAGGGAGTCATGGAAAACTCAGCTTGTTTGCTTAAAGGGAATGGTGAGATGCTTCTAATGCTAAATGGTTGACGTAATACGAAATGATGGGGAAAAAAACTGTTTTCAAGTCAAGCTCCAGCTCGCTGTCTTCAGTTGAGGTGGTAAAAGAAGCTGACTTTGCATCCTCAAGAACTATAGTTGTAGCCAAAACTATGAAATTAAAAGTGTTGAACAAGTTTCCATCTAAAACATCATTAATTATTTTGATTATAATCTGTGGTGGATGTCAACAACACGGCACTGCTCAAGATCACCTGAACCCCTGCTCCAATAAACCATAGGCTTTAAATTAAATTACAGATGACTGTTGGAGATTTGAAAAGCCTGATGGTACTGACCAATTTAGATCCCCTCTCAATACGTTCTCATTAGTGAAACAAAAACCTACTTATATCACAAGATAAAAAACAAAACCATACATGAATGAGTTTGATGGGTTGAAGATGGGTTTTGTTTGTACCTGACACTTGATTCCTGCCAGACTGCAGGCGCAGGTCTCTGGCTCACAGAAGCCCTGACAGTCACATCCACAGGCCTCTCTGGAGGATCTCAAAGCCTGAAGCTGCCTCTTCTCCTCCCGGTCTATACGCTTCACCCCTGCCGCCAGAAGGAGAGCCTGCCGCTGTCTGGAAGAGAAAGGCTGAAGGAAACTTCCCTCCTCCACCTCAGCGTCACTGATGTGGATCTCACTGTCTACGCCTTGGATTTGATCAATCGAGAGCCTCTCTGCTTCTGTCTGATCGATGGCCCCACTGGAGATCAACTGAAATCAGAGTAACTTAAAGTAAGACAACCGCAGCATAAACAAGTGATTTAAACTGAAGTGGAAGTGGAGTGCACTCACTTTGAGCTTCAGTGCCTCAAACCTCTCCTCTCTCAGTTTCTCTCTGAGCCTCTCTCTGTGTCTGCGCTGTTGCTCTAGAGCGTGCTCTGACACCGTGTATCTCTGGAGGCTGCTGTGTCTCTGCACCATGCCCAGGGTGGCTCCTCCCCGGCTGGGCACGCTGGTGCAGCCCTGACAACGTGGAAAACTGAACACTGTCACCTGGTCGAACCGCACGTTGCTCTGTGAGCCGGAAAGCCTTGGCCTCTTTAGGATGGACCGAACTAGATGTGGAAGAGAAAGAAAAAGAAAAAACAGAAAAGTGTGAGTCAGATCATGTTTTAAAGTAAGGTACCTAGTTCTCTGACCAAGCAGACCACAACCAACATGAACACATCTCTTTGAACAGTCTAAATGTAGCTGAATCAGTTAGACATGGTCAAAGACTGTCAGGGTGAAGTCTCCTGGCCTACGATAAAAACACAGATCAGCCTTCTTCGCCAGTTTTCTGACCTTTAAGAATTAAAAGAAGAGGGAATGAGGGAGAAACGTCTGTAAAAGCAGCAAATTGAAGTAGCGCCTTACAAATAGAGGATAAAGTTTGCTTTGACATGTAGACATTTCTGGCCACCTTCCTGCAACTATGACAGATGAGTTTTTCCAAAAATACATATTTTGAGAAAATCTTAAAAGAGGATATTCAGAAATGAGAGTTAAGGCTGCATAATGAGTCACACGTTCATCATTACAGCACAATACATTCACAGTAAACACAAACAAAAGTATGAATTTTTCACAATGAATGTGAAAATACAGTTAAAGCAAAAAAAAAAAAAAAAAGAGCAATGCATCATGAGTAAATTTTGACTATAAGATCACAGCCATGTCATGCATGTTAAGGTACAATGATTATGCTATCACACTGTTTGATGCAGTCAGATGAAGCACAAGCTACCTATCTTCAACCCATTGAATCACCAGTGTGGTGATAAAAATAAACTTCTCATTGGATTTGTTTTATTGCAAACACAAGTATTATGGAAAAACACACAAGCACATAAAAAAACTGAATTATAGCTAACACACACTCTGTAGGCCTAATATATGTTTACGTATCCTTCTTCATATCATGATCACACTATTTAACTTTGACTTTAGTTATAAAACATACATCATACATTATATATTGTAGTGCAGGGGTCTGAATTTGACCAGGCAGGTCTTCATAATATCTCTCTGGAAGGTGTTAAAACTGAAATACCCTTTTTGTTCTATTACTTATTTCATCATGCACTTGGATGTCAGCTTTTTTACAAAGTGTCAGAAAATTGTCCTGATTTGTTTTCAGTGTCTGATGGAGACAGACGTCAGTACCTGTTTACACACAACATGTTTTATTTTTCTCACTTTGTGTTAACTGCCTACCACAAGTGTAGAGGATACTTTGTTTGATTTAGAAAGTTATATTAATTGCTCAAGATGGGCAGAAGTGCTGATGTTAAAGGTATAATACTACGGTATCTTAAGTGTGCACCCAGTGTATAGAGGCTATAGTCGTCATTGTAGCTGTCACTGGTTCGACGACCATCAAAACATTTGCTGCTCTCCTCCTCACATTTCCTATCTCTTCAACTGTCATATCAAATAAAACCCCAGATACCCAAATAATTGCACTAGGTAAGGAAGTTTCTGGGGTGAAACTACATCTATATTTTTTTCGGGGGGGGGGCTTTCTCCTTCCCTCTAAACTCTTGTGTTTCAATGATGGAGAAAAACTGCAAAATAAAAATTGAATAGTCTTTTGTCTTCAGTCTAATCCCAGAGCTTATCTTTGTTACAGTACTTAACACTTCTGTCATTTCTTTAAAAAATAATTTAGACTCATGGTGACTCATGATGACTTATCAACTCAGAATAATTTGTGACACCACAACTATCGCAATCACTACAAAAGTCATGAAAAGTAAAAAAGGTTTTGGTCTTCTTTTTACTTGGAGCTCTGTGACTGAAAATAAGCTCTGTAGGTCTCTGAATGGCCACCAGATGACACACTTCAGGTGTGCCGTACAGTGGCCCAGGTCAACAGTTGAATGTACATGTGAGGAGGACGAGGATTTCAGTGAGCAGCGCACAAATTAACTGAACAGGGAGAAAATGAGACAGCCAGGCTCAGGCTAATAACAATTGTAACGAACTCTTGAATTGGTTTAGAGTTTGCTTTCTCTCTGGTTAGTGTTTGTTTTGACAGTTTGGCTTCAACAAATGATCCAACCTTCGCACATAACTGAGGTTGAACTCTTGTTCCCAAAAGTCAGTAAACAACTGAGAGCAGCTGACTAAGCTCGTCTCAGCTGCTGTGTGAGTCTGAAAAGCTCCACACTGTGGCACTGTTTACACTCTGACTGAAAACAACAAACCTGTACTTAAAGCTGGACAGCACCGCAGATTATTTTGTTATTGGAAGCCGTCTGTGCAGCTCTGTGATATCTTAATGAGGACATTTGATAAGCCTGGTTTAAAGGGCTTGCTATTCAAATTGATTCCACAACATCCTATCGCTCAGGCAAATGATCTCCACCCGAGCGGACAGAGGCGAGTCATTCTCTGTGTATTATCAACTAAAGCTCCACTAAGCTTAGCGTTTCATACCCACGCTGCTGCAGGCTGATAAGAGACACTCCTATAAACACAGATGGGGAAAAAAAGCCTGATAAGGAAGAGGTTTGCATTATTTGAAAGAGGGGCGGACAAAAGTGACACAGTGGTTGTGGGTTTGAGGACTTACGGTGTACACTGGAGGGTGAAGACGGACTATAGGGAGTGACATCGTGGTTGTTTTCTGAAGGGCTGCTCTCTCCATCTGACTCCCACTCTGAGGAGGCAGGAGAGGAGGAGGAGTAGTAGTCGCAGGGGTTGTCATCTACCTCTGTGAACTTTCTCTTAAGGATGCCTCTCATTGTTTGGCTGTGGTGGCTCAGAAACATTCTGCATAAATGGAAAGAAAGAGAAAGGTTTGGTGGTGAGAAATGCACAGATCAATACTCATCCAAACAGCTGCCTTCACTTTAGCTTCTCTGTGAAAAAAATGAACTAATGATGAAAAATGATCTATTAACAAAGCAACAATTATGCATCCCCACTCCTGTTTGAGCCCTAATGTACACAGTCTAATAATCTGTCTTTCAAACACGACATCTGCGGGAATGAGGCCGCTCTTCTGCCTTGACTCTGCTGGTCGAGCCGGTTTCAGCACACAAGTTTGTTTAAGCTAATTACATCTTGATAGCATTTATCGGACACACTGATGTTTCATAAGTGCACAAATATGACCTGAAATCCTGACTTCCTCTTACAACCAGCTGAGCGCTTAAGAGGGAGTGGAAAAAAAAGAGAGAGAAAAAGTGAACAGATCTTTTTCTTTTACCCCGCAGAGTAATTAACATTCCAATGATTCCTCAAGTTTTTTTGTGGAGAATACTTGGAAACGGAGCGCCCAATAGCTGCATGCTGAGGACTGAGGGGGTGTAATGGTTCAAGTGGCTGCTATTTTTGGATGTGAACATGGAAGAGAAATCCAAACATGAGTAATTTCAGGGTTACAAACCTGAGCAGGGCTGGTCAAAGCTAATGGGGATAAGAAAAATACAAGCGGATTGTGTTGTAAAAAAGAGGCCTTCACACAAAGAAAAGCTGGTATTAGTCTGGTCCAACATGGACTGTTACACAAGTGAGCATAATCAGTACACAAAGTGTTATGTTATTTTATAAAACAAGGGAAAACATGGACATTTTGGTGCAGAATAAAAGCAATAAATCATTTGCAAACATAGACCTGTATTCTTGCTTTCAACAACTCTGGAAAACCAGCATGAATCTGTATTTAGATATTTTAATCTGATTTATTTCCAAAGAAAATAGCTGTAACTCTGTCATTTTCATCCAATCTCTTACTCAAGCTGTAGTTGTACTTTCTCGCAGTTAAAGCGATCAAAAACACCCAAACTGGCCTTATCCTATTCTTGAACTCTGCAAGTTTCACTCTAAGCTTGTAAAAGTTAACTCACAATGCATCCAAACTCTCAGGCAGTTTGACCTCATGATGCCTTAAACTCTATCATGGTCCAGCGAGTGACAGTAATGCAAGCAGCTGACCAGGATTTAGACCCCTCCTCTAGTACAAAAGAGCAATGTGAGCCACTGAAAACAGTACAGCAAGTGTGTTTTTTCCAAAAGACAGAGTACTCTTCAAGAAGCCTCCGATTGTCTGCAGTAAGCAAATAGTTGAACCAGTGTGTGTTTGTGTGTATGTGCACTCAAAGTGAGCAACTTCCTGGATCCAGCAGCAAATAAAAGGTGAAACAAGAGACAGCTTCTCCTGCCATTACAGTGTTTACAGTGTATGATCCGCTACTGTACTGAGGTGTTAAGAGATTTATCTGTGCAGGAGAAACACAGTGTTACAACTGTTAAATAGGCTATGCTTTAAAAACAGAGTAAGACACAAGTTTAAATTAATGCTGCATTAGAGTGTTACAGCTGCCCCCTGTCCCTGTTAAATCACATTTATTATACTAAAAGAGAGTCTCTGCTGTACACGTGGGTATCCACTAACAGACATCTATAATTTAAAGGTTCAAAGCAGCAAAGGCACGGCGTGCACGTGCGCGTCCACGAGGAGCAAAAGGCGAGGGTCTGGACTGTCTAAATGTACTGAAGTAGTTAAAGGCTGCAGGACATTTTTTCACTGACGCAACTGGGAATCATGACGCAGAATTAGCTCGTATTAATTTCTCTGTTGTGTTGAAATCCTTACAGGAATGTGATAGGAGGAGAGCAGGAGTAGCTTCCCGTTGAACTGAACAACAACAGTCATTAGGCAGGTGACCTCTTCACCCCTTACAGTCCCACTGACAACACTGTCACCCCCTGTCTGTCTGTCCGTCTGTCTGTCTGTCTCCAGGTCAGTCTCTCTTTCTGTCTGTAAGTCACAAGTTTTTATTAGTCTGACACTGTTAAGCAGAGCAAACTTATGCGGTTTCTAAACAGGAGACTACAGCACAGACAGCCTTCAGCCTGAGCCGCTGTTATGGAAAGTTTGTTTGAGTAGTATTTGTACTCATTTGCCCTCGTCTTACGGTAGCTAACCACAATATTCATAGAGCAACGGGAGACGACTTGTTATTACCAACATGATACAAAATATGAAACGATTTTCCGATTTCACATTACGAAGTCTTAAACGTTGCGAGGTGAAGGCTACATATAAAACACAATATCTAATGTAATAAACTGTACTTATACATACTGTAGCACTTAAAGAGTGTTTCTTTCGTCGGTTACTCACCACAAAGTAAACTTCAGCATAGTAATAAAGAAGGCAGTAATTGACACGAAGTTATGAGTCTAGTCCGCAGCCTGGCCAGCTGAGCATTGTGTGTCCCTCTGTGTTTATGAGCAGCTTCACAGTAGTACCAGTGTGAACATGAGCGGACTGGCTGGGAGCTGCCAAAGATCCATCGATAAGGAACAAGATAGTACCCTGTATTCAAACTTCGGCAGACCGTGCGCATGCGCAGAACTGGGATGTGAGATGTATTCACGTCCAAGTTTATAAAGAAATATCCGTTTCATTCAACTCTAAGAATTGTTGTAGAGAGTAAAACACGACTTTGCTCTCAAATTAGCACTATCTGGAGATGTAAATCTCGACGTTCGCCGTTTGCTAACAGTGAAAGGGCTTGTGAAGCAAAAACCACAAGACTTCAAATGTTTTAGCTCAAAATCGAATATCTGTACAAACGGCATATTTGTGTTAACTTATATATAACTTAAAGTTTACATTTAAAACCCAGATAACACTGGCAGATGAGCCGCTGACTCATCTGCCAGGCGAAACCAGAAGTACCTGTTCCGGGGAATCATCTTGCCTCACGTATCTCCTCTCGGTAGCTCCCCTGACTGCTTTGACGCAGACGGTGACACACGCAGAGGCAGCAGACGCACTAAACTGTCACTGCTTCCCACAGAACCGTGTATTTGCGTTACAACTACTGGTGTGACGGTAAATTTATAACATTTCAGCCCCCAGCTCGTGATAATCTGAGGACAATTACCCAGCGTTATAAAACGAGTGAGGACACACACAGTGTAACTAGCTGTCAGCATTATTTTACACTCAGAATTTTCTTTAAGGCAAAACGACAAGAAACTCCGTACTTTGAAGGTAGACATAATAAATGGAAAAACATGGATTGTGTTTAGAACTTGATAGAAGTGTTGCTTAATGCCAACTGGTAGCATTAAAGAATAAATTAGTGCTCATTGTTGACGTATCTTATGGTATGATTTGATAAAACTTGTATTATAAGACAACACCACAAAAGCTATTTGATTTCTGTAAGATCATTAATCTTTTTGGAGTAGTTCCCTCCTTTTTTAATTCTAAGACGGCATTTCCAAAAACTCAGGGTTAATTTTAAAGCATACAAATTCAGTGGTATTCAGATTTCAGCATCTCTACCAAAGCATGGTTTCATTTCCTGCCATTACTTCACTAGACTGTCTGATCTTTTGTGTCTGTGTTAACAACATCCAGACCCCTTTTAAAAAGGAGATCAGACAACCATTAAAGATGACACATACGGCCAGGTATTCATCTTACCTCACTGTAACATGACTCACCGCTGTACCAGTGTAAGGCTGATTTTTAGCCAGACACTCCCAAACTACAGGGAATTGTCAAGAAGATGTGGATGGGCAGGATTGATGATTTTTTTTTTTTTTTTTTTTTTTTGGCTTTCTTGACTGCTGAGTTTGGCATGATTTCAAAAAGACACTTCCTCATTTTTGACAGCTTGTAAATTCGAGGAAAAGTGAAAAAGCATTTGGATTAACATTCCTGTGTCTTTGCTTTACAGATAATCACAGGACGCTGTGAAGGAAGGGGAAAATGAAGCTCAGTGCTGGAAAAACAAAACAAACAGAATGAGCACTTCTCAGGAGTGCAAGCCCATAATAATACTGCTGATCTTCCACCTCTTGTTGATACACATTACTGTTTTCCAGAGAGACAGCTCTAACACTCAAAAACAGTTTGTCCACATACTTGTGCTGGAGGAAGGAGAGCTGGACCTGACCTCAGCGCTCAGCAGAAGTGTGTTATGAAAGTGTGACCCACTTTGCCTGGGATCACTTTAGTACATGTGTGAGTTTCTATCCTACTGACCTGCATGCAGAGTAAACACAGAGGAGACAGAGCAGCAGGACAGGAGAGGACATACTGAAGCTCAAGCCTGTGTTAAAAAACTGCTGTGATCTTTATTAAATTGTTTTGAAGGATTTAAGGGGAGATTTCGCAGCTTCAGGGTTCATCCAGTCTGTGTTATTTTCTCTCTGTGATATCATTGTGACTTACAAATAACAAATGATCAAAGTGCTACATGAGGCTACATGACTATTTATAGCACAATCACACTGCTTGTCCAAAAATACATTTTGTGCAATACAGTTGGAGTTTCCTGTTCCTTCTGCAAGCTGTTACCACGCACAGTGTGACTTCTCAGACCACACTGATGCAGCACTGAGACAGAAAAAGATGAGTCATACTAATAAATTAATATTTTACTCCTAAAGCACACTAGTGGTCATGCTAAAAGTAATAAAATCTGTTACTCTCCCCTGTAGCCTGAAAAGTCTGCACCTCATTATTATATCTTATTTTTGTACGGTCCAAATAATTGTCCTTCATATTGTGTCTCAAGGATGATCCTGTGTCTTATCTGACACAGAGTAAACCATCACTGTGCTTTCAGTCCAGAGTCCAGGTTACATAACTTATAGTCAACCTACATTCATCAGGCTGCCTCTCAGGTTGCTGCCACTGGCTCTTGTGTCCCCGTTTTCTCTCCAGTCAAGCTGTGTGCAGAGATGGCCCACATTTAGAGATACACTGACATGGTTTGACAAAGCTTCAGGCATGTGAAACTGTGTCCCAGTTCCTCCTTTCTCTTGCTGGATACTATCTCATCCAGAGATTTAACCCCTTTGTACTGCTGTGTAGAAAGTATCAGATTTCATGGAGATACCAGAAAGAGTCAGGATGAGATTTACAGTCAGGAGGTCATGGGGGGGTGACAGATACATACTGTCCACCTTTTTTTTGATAGATAGATAGATAGATAGATAGATAGATAGATAGATAGATAGATAGATAGATAGATAGATAGATAGATAGATAGATAGATAGATAGATAGATAGATAGATAGACTTCTAGGGAGAGCAGGAGGTATGATGAATGGAGGGTGGATTATTCATGATGAATAAATGAAAAATTGGTTTCATGGTGAATGAATCATACAGTGGGTGTTAAATGGACAGATGGATGGATGACAAATTGGTTATTGGTTTAATGATTAAGTATGAATTGATAAATTAAAGGTTATGGATGGATGGATGGATGGATGGATAATCATCATCATCATCATCATCATCATCATCATCATCATCATCATCATCATCATCATCACTATCACCACCATTATCACTATTTTATCACAGATAACTGACATCATTCTCAAAAACAAAAAACCCACCAGTCAGCTTTAAAAAATTTGAAGGCAGCCGTCTTTGTGAAGTTAAATCATCATCAAATAACAGTTAACATATCAATGATGAATTTTATTTACCATAATTTAACTCTTTTGTTACCTTAATTACAAAACAAATTAAAAAGTACATTTTTCAGTAAGCCAATAAGTGTGTAAGTTAGAGAGTTATTAACTAAATAGATGAATAAATAAGTAAAATACACTTTTAAGTCTTCAGAATTAACCTGTTAGTTCTGTTGGGACTTTACTCTAACGTAAACTTGATTCCATCGTTCTAATGTTTATGGGTGAGTATGATAAACACATTTCAAACATTTATAAACAGTTTATTGCAAAAGTACTTTAATTAAAAAATACGTGTTTGGACTTTATTACTGTTCATGTAAAGTGAAGAAATGTAAGTGATAGATTTAGAGAAATTGAGAAAGACACAACAGTGTTTATACATTTAATCATGCACAACTCACAGATGCACTGCATTGAATGTTTTTGACAAGATGCTTGTTTGCAACACCTGTTAATTGGGGGCGTTTGGTAATCAATGAAAAAATACTCAACAGTTTCAAATATGTATATGTACTTCTACATATTTGGAGATTTTATAGATATCCCCCCCAAAAAATTAAAAAAATAAAAATAAAATAAAAAACAAATAAATAACTTCAATATGAAAAACAGAAAAATTAAATCAAGACAAAACCCAAACAGCAGGGTGTAAGGTGGCAATAAATATATTAACATATCATGCCATCATGTATCAGTTTATCATACCAATCTAGAAACTAAATTTTGATCCTGATTTCTCATATTGATTCATTCCTTGGTCAACATATATCAAATCATAGATAACCCAGACATTATTTTCATTTTGTGCTTGTATAAGATTGTTTCGGTTCAAGCTTATACTCTGCTGTTTTGTTTCTATAGTTTTCAAACAAAACAGCTCATCAAAAATCACGTGTTCATGCTGTTTGTACTGATGAGATATTTCCAGCAGTTTTCACTTCAAACTAAGAGATGCTACTCTCACTTTCTCCTCCCTAAAAAGGCCATCAGATAAAGACTTTGGCTAAAATTTCACAACAGTGACTCCTTGGGTGATGTGTCAACCACCATCGTTTTGTCTGTGCAGTGGTATCAGTTCAAGGCTGACACGGGAGAACTTCCTGTGGCGCCCTGATGGCGTTGTGCCAGGTGTACGGCTGCCTGATCCTGGGACTGGTCCAGGGTTGATACTATGTCTGTAGAGCTGACACTCATGATATACAACATCCTGAGCCCACAATGCTCTCTGTGTAAGATGAAAAATTAATATGACATGGACATATACAGCTTTGATAGTGAGTGAGCTGCTTTAATGGAACATGGGCTGACATGTTATTGTTTTATGATTTAAATGCTTTAACTTGGCAGTCAGAGTAAGAGTAGGCTATGCTAACGATCCATTTTACAGTACTTTACTGCAAATATGTTGTCGTATTGTATGTTATTTATGATTGCAAGGGTAAATTTGCTAATGTTTACCAATAAAATACCAACAATGCATTATCACGTTTACAATATACTTGCAAAAGGAAGTCAACCTGCAGCCTTGAGTGCAAAGTAGGTTACACAACTGCAGTGATCTTATCTGTCACTGCATGTGAGCAGCACAGGCTCTAACAGCCAAGCAGCTGTGTGATTGGGTTTGACATTCCCCCTTTAACAATGAGCCTCTTGTCAACATTTGCCGCAGAGCTGCAGTGACCTTTCTTGCAAACATACAAATGGGCCTGTGACATGCAATGTAAGCACAAAAGGCGTTTCCTTGTAAGAACATGTCAAAAACAGATTTGTCTCTTCTTATCTGTAGTTTTATTATCCACACTTACAAAGTTGTTGTGTTGTGCTGTGTTGTGTT